TTTTGAACATTGTTTTAAAAGCTTTGTATTAAAGTGGAAGGTTTAAGTTTGGGCATTTTTTGGTTTTTGATTGGTTTTTTTTATTCCATTCTCCTACAGCAAGAGGAACAACCTCACTCTTCAGCATAAGCCATCTGAGTGCTCAGGATGTGGTGAGAACTCAGCAGTGAGCTCAGGACTGCCTACAACAGACTGAATAAGGACCCACATACCAGAAGAGATGCTGCAATGCTGAGCTCTGCTCTAGGAACTTGTTTTCTGCTCAGGTCTTCCTGGGTGTAGCTACACAGCTAAATACAGTCAGGCCAAGGAGGAATCTAGTCCTCACACCAGCTGTGGAACTCAGAGCTACTTCTCCCCAAATACCCAATACTGTGCATGTAGGCATGGCCCTACATCTGCTGTGGGTCCCATGAGACATCTCTGAGTTGTATCTGAGAATGTGGGTGGAGGAGTGTGGGCAGGAAGGAGCTCAGTCCTGGAGGGAAGAGGGGAACCAGCTAGACACAGCAGAGCAGGTGTCTGCTGCCACTGCTCTCCTGTGTCCCCCTGAATTAATAAAGCTTTTATCCATATATTCAGCCACTCAATGCATGCAGAGCACCTCCATGGCTCCTCTGCTCTTGCAGCCCCCCTGCCAGACACCCCAGATCCAGGGAACAGCACCAGCACTGAGTGCACAACAGGAGAGCACTGAGAAAGAACCGAGGGAGGGCAGTCCCAAAATGTGAGACACACCCAAGTGAGCTCAATGCAAACCCCCGTGGTGCCACAGGCACTGAAAACCTTCCCTGCCCTGCAAACTCCATCCTCAGAGAAGTGCCCTTCCTCCAGGTGCTGACCTGCCTGGGATCCACTGAGACCCACTGAGCCTGAAGCCACCAGGTCTCCTCTGCTGGAGCCTTCCTGGGCTATGAGCAGCCAGGGCTGTTCAACCCTGAGCATTCTCCACTCTCACCAGCTTGGATTAACCACACATTTAAAACAAAGCACCAGATTGAGTGTCCCGAGGATCTAGGCCTCCTATGGACTTTGGGTAATTATTTTTTGGTATGCAAAGCAAAAGCAATGAAGTTTATACACATCATTGCTTATACTGTTCAAAATTGCATGTGAAACTGTGGTGGACTTGGCTGTTTCTAAACCAATATGTGTTACTTATTTTAGTATTACTTTTTCCCTTTTCCCTGCTATTTGAATTTGCCTCCTAAATGAATTGTCCGCTCCCCACATGATTTTAAAAAACAATTCATTTTTTAGCTAATGTGCTCCAGATAGATGGAACACAAAACATGTGTTAAAAAAATTAAAAATTAAATTAAGAAATCCTCCCTCAGCAAAGAAGTACCCCCCAATCTTTACAAAAGGTCAACTTTTTTCTTTCTAGTTCCCCTGCTAAAACTCCACAAGGCCGTTAACCATAAAAAAACCCCAAACTGCATAAATTGTAGACAAGCCAAAGGAGCTGCCTGTAATTTTTTCTTTTTTAAATTGAAGTTCCTGCCAAAATCTCCCCCAACCCTATTCCCTTTCCTCTTTCAGTTGTGAGGACTCTTTCTCAGCCTCAGTACACACCTCTTCTCGTGGCTGGCAATGCATGGGCTGAGGCAAGCATAAACCAGCATATAATTATTTCAAACAGTCATGTCTTCCTTTTGCACTGGTGTGCAGCTAAATTAACATACTTAAAAACATTCCATGCACCTTATCTTTAGTACTTTTCCCAAGGAATGGTGTTTCTGTTGCATTTCAGGTGACAACCAAAAGGTATTCTAAAGGTTTACTGACTTGGTTATGTACTTGAGAAATAAAGGGGAAAGAAAAAAAAAGGAACATCAAAAAAGGAAATCCTTGCATCACTGAAATGGCTGCCCATACAGCAATACACCACTGAAGCACATGGAACAATTCATTATTTGGTCCTTCAGCCCTCCTGCATTTAAAATTGAGCATGTATTCAGCACAAAGATCAAGAAAAATTGACCTATCCATACATTTTGGGGTATTCTGTACTGGGTTGGCAGTAGCTCCACCAGTACCAGACCCCAGGTCTGAGGGTTCAGACCAGGTTTTACACATCCACTGCTCTGTGGGCTTCAGGCAGAGCCAGCTGTGCCTCCTCAGGGCTTGCCCCACACTGAGGGAACAGCTGTAAGCAGAATATTCACTGGAATAGCTGTATCAGTGTAATCACAGAGGTACAACTGTTCCAGGAGAGACAGGACATTAAACAGAAACCCCTAGGACAGGCAATGTTTACCACTGGCTCGTAGCTTAGTTCAAAAAACAGTGTATAAAATGTTCCTTGTCACCTGTAAGTGGACAGTGATGATTATAGCTCAGTCTATGTTATTATTGCCTGATTTTCCCTGTTTGGGCTTTCACATATTGACTCCTTACTCAAGGTCTTTTAACATAGATTTGAAATGTGAATATGTTTTATTTTTCCCCAGTAAATATACAATACACACTTCAACAGTACTATTAACCAACTTCTTATGCCAATTAAACTTTGCTGCACTAACAATACCAATGAAACACATTAAGAGGTCATACTTTTTCGTGAACAAACTGTAGCCAATAAACAGTTTTTAAAAAAAAACAAATTAAAAACCAATTCTAAGTGCTGCCACAACATCCCTTTTCTTTAAACACATTATTCACAATAAATGTTTTCATTTTTTTTTAAAAAAAGAAGAATACTTCTTTTAAAATAGTAAATTAAATGGCATTTTAAAAAATATGTACTGTGGTTCATTGGAAGTACACTGTATAGAAAAGAGAGAGAAAAAAAAAAGAAGAGACATCACCTGTAAGATAATGGAGACACTTTGCCATACACAACAACACCTTATGTAATATTGTAAGCAAATTATTAATGAACAAAAATGTACAGAAGCAGATGGACAAGTTAGTGAATATCATGGTACTGAACAGCTTTAATACTGACACACATTTACTTTCCAGTGGAAGAGATAAAACACATATTTGAAAGTAATTGGAATGGCTTTATCAACCTCTAAAGATACTGAATTTTGAATAGAACAGAGTGAGTAAGGTGTTCCACCAAAGCTCAGCACAAGCTTTTGAATTAAACGGGGAAAAAACAACTATCAGTGACTGAGTTAAATGTTTTCCAGAGAATTAAATTTGAATTGTACTCTGAATAGTCTTCTCTTCATATGGTAGATACCAAAATAAAAACCATGCACATGTAATTATGCTGCATTCTTTATCTTACTTGAACATTTTTGCACATTTTTATGTTATGTTTTTCACTATAGTGTTTTAACAAGCAAGAAAATGGCATATACTCATTGGTCACATATGTAAATAAATTCATACTTTTTTTCCTCAACTTTTTTTTTTTGTTTGTAACTAGCTAAATAACACATGTTGACCTTAAGGGAGCTAACTAGCATTTTTCAATATTCAATGGTGCTGAGTTATAGTTGATGGCTGTCGTGTTTTATCTTATCATGGAACAAGTTAATGAAATGAAAAGCAACACATACTTAGCATTGTAATTTACTTTTCTAAAATTCTGCCATGACAAAAAGTGTTCTTAATACTGGTGAGCTCCAAGGCAAAATATAAAACAACATAGACTGGTTATATGAAAAGGGTATTCAATGGAAACTTGTGTTCATGGTCAGATAACTAACAGAAATAAGCTGTAAGATGCAATATTTAAATTAAGCATCAAAGTAATGGGTGGGTTAGCCACACACAATAATCTAGGAAAAGCTTGAGAATTTATTCTTTGAGATTTGAGAGGTAAAGAAGACTTGGACAAAGTCATGAAAATTAATGAAGAGACAGGATGCTGTCATTAATGTCCACTTACAGAGTCTGGTTTATTCAAAAACTGTATAAACATGCGTTATTTCCTCATCATAGTAGAGTTTGAAGCCACTCACTAAAACACAGGTCAAAGATTTCCTTTACTTATATCCAACTTTTTTGGATGCATTGTATTGCCAGAAATATACTTAATGCAAGTCAAAAATAATTTGACCATTGCTTTCCTTCCAAAAACTGAACATTTTGCTACAAATTTAGTGGATCCAACTTCAGCTCTTGCAGGCTTCAGGTATGGAACAGAAAGGGTTGTGTAGACTGCATCAAAACAATTAATGTCATGAATTTCAGTGGTGCAGCTTTATCCTCTATCGTACTGTACATGTATTGGAAAGATGAAATAAGATACTCTGACATTTCAATTTTTTGGAAGCAGCCTGAATATGTCTTAGTAATAAATTGCGTTCTTATCTTCTTACTAGGTATTCCTTGTGTTTATGTGGTTTGTTTCCCCTGAAAAATCTCTGTCCTATGTTTTGGGCTGGAGAAATAAATGGTAATAATTCCTTTAAAACTGAAAAATAAAAACAGCTTTAGTGAAACACCTTAAAGTTCTTTTATTTGTAGCAAGGTTTGTTTTTCTTCCCCTTAGTGGCATGGGATGGCTAAAAGCAGATACTAAGGGTATCACTCTAGTGAAAGGGTCTAGGCCATCTCATGCTACCTTTAGTTTTCATTTTCACTCTTTAATCTCACACTTCCAACTTCTGACCCCTTCTTAAATAGGAAGAGCAACTATGTTGCTAGATTTTAAAATGTTTAAATCTGTTTCTAATGTCTTCACTGACATCAGTTTTGCCTGTCACTTTCTCATTTCTACACCCCAATGGAAAACCACCTAACATACTCCTTTACATCCAAAGTAGCTTACAGGATGTAAACCTTCTTCACACATTCAGTCTCTTTTTTTCTTCATGTCATGAGGAGTAGAGTTTTGTGCTTATCACCAAATAAAATTGCAGTGCAAACTTTAAACATAAAAGTTACACAATTAAAAGTTAATATATGGCACCACAGCCTATTAATTCACATATAGTACAACAGACCAGTAAAAACAGACATGAATATGAACATAGCTAAAAAGAAGGTGAGCTTGCATAGCAATGCAACAAAAGAAATTATATACAGAAGGAAATCCTTTTAATCCTGGAGGGTGATTTTTTTTTCTTTCTTTTTTTTTATATACTCCTGACAAGGAATAGTTTAAGGTGGATGGTGTATTAAAGAGAAGAACACAAGTAAAGTATCTGTGGGATATGTGTGGCTGTGTGTCTTTACATTGCATTTACAGTTCTTTTAATAGTACATAAATAAAGAAAATGTTCATTGCACTGTTTAGTGTCATCACTTCCATGAGTTCAGACCTGATGGTCCATCAGAGCAGCTTGCAATGTGTCTTCTCAACTACTCTATAGAGAGAAACAAAAGAGAGAGAAAGAGGTTGTAATAAGGAGAAAAAAACCACACAAAATGAAGCCTATGGCAATATTACTGCAGCACAGAATGAATATTCAATAGGTTGTGAGAACAGGGTTAATTGCTTCTAAGATGAAAAGCGAGGGATGCTAAAATTTAGCACTTACCAACACCATATCTGAGGCTGCACATTTCAGGGCTCCTGGGTCACCATTAGCTCTCTTACAGCTACAGGGCAGTAACTGCCAGGAGCTGCTGAGGGTTTGGCTGCAGCAAGAGGAGGCAGACATGCCAGCAGCTCCACTGCTTTTATGACCACTAATAAGTTTATTAAACACACCAGTATGCCTGAGTGTGCTGGGGTTTTGATGTTCTTTCTCAAACAACAGAGTCAAGCCTTTGGGCAGCTGGTACTGCCAGCACATACATAGCATCAACACGGCTTCATCAAAAGTTTAACAGATACTGAGTGATAATAGGAAACAAATCTGGAAAACAATTTCCCTGCCCTGGGATGCTGAGGAAAGAAGTGGAGATATAAAACTGAAAAACTGGGGTACGCAATCAAGAAAAGAGGACCTCCCAACTAAGAGAATACTTCTCATCAAGCAACAGGCAATTAAGGAGAAGGCCAAGGAAATCTGTCACTGGCATTTCCAAGACAAGCACACTACACTTTGCCAAAAAAAATTCCAAGTTACTAGAATTCCTTCTCAATTTTTCCCATGCTTCACTAGCATTACACACAGAGAGATGTACCATGTAGATAACTTTGGCATGGCTTACACAGATTTGAACTGGTCCAAAGCAAGGAACAGAAGGACGACATTTGTTTGCCATCACATGCAATACGCCTCAGAAGGCAAAAAGACCTGCACAAAGCTTAATCTGATTATCACACACAACTTCCTACTCCCTTCACAAGAGATTTATAATCTTTTTCTTTTATCTATTTGAGAGTTTTAACTGGGGCTGGAGGTAAACTTACATAATTCACCAGTAAACTGTCCTTGACTGTTTGCTCCCACATAGCCCATATCGAGAAGGTCACTGGCATTGCGTTGGTGACCCCCTCGCAAGACTTCACCTTTTCTGGGTCCAGTTGATCCTTTAGAAGAAGATGTTCCTGAAGAGCTGTGGCCACCAGGGGATGGGAAGTTGGGTTTACTATATGGTACGAGTGCCTCTTCTAGAAAAGCAAAACAAAGCAAAATAAATACCAGTGAAGTCCTAGGAGTAGGAATAAACAAGCATTCATTTATGCATGTCATATTAATTCATGTCTGTCTTTTCTCTTGCTCTATAGCATAACAATTTTACATAAGAAAATACACAACTAAGAGTTGTATCCCAAGGACAGAGAAGCCAGTATGAATTTAAATCTTGCTTCCTTGTGAACTCCTAAGTCAGTTTGTATTAATTATAAGAAGTCTAGATTCATTATGAATAAGAGATCATGAATCATAGATACTTTAATAAAAATAGGTGAACATGCAATTTCCAAAACAATGAAGCTATGATTAGATTTTTGCTTCAAGCCTACATAAATGTGCTTTTTCCTTTTCTTTAGCTTAAATTATGGCAACATTACCCCAATCAGTTTAGATAAAGAACGACAATATCAGCTAATTTAATTAGCTTCCAGCAACTCAGTAATTTCTAACGATGCAAAGTACACTGGCAATTTTTTTTTGAACTGGTGTTGAATTACATTGGAAAATATTATATTATACATTGCAGCTGTAATATTTGGAGCAGATAAATAATCCTGCAGCTTGTTTCATGTTCCATTATGGGCAAAAGGCTTACTTTTGCTCACTTGGATTCTTTTTCTGTGAAGACCTGTAATAATGAACTGCTTTCAAAAGCAGGATTAATGGCAATAAGGCATAAGGCTGTAAGTCCTCATATAGCATGAAGTAAAACAAGACATCACTTCTGATTAGAGTTTCCTGGAGATATTGTTGTAATAATCCAAATCTAAGAAGCATAACAGCAGAACTGATTTAACACTGAAATAGAACCACTATTTTATTTCTTTGCTGTGTATGATCCACTTTTGCCCTCTCAGAAGCTGAAGAAAGAGATCTTGCTAAATATAGTTTAAGTCAAGAAAGAACATGAGTATATATGCCTAACCTCAAACACAGCATTGTCCCTTCTGAAATCGGTGGGATTTCTACTGCTTGAATCTTGCCTTTTTTCAAAGGGAATTTAGGTCCAAAGGGTTTTCTTTATTTTGGTTTTCCAATTGTCTTCACTCTTAAACAACCTTTTGAGGGGAAATGGACTTTCTTTGACAGAGGGCAGGAACACAGAAAGAAAGGTAGGTGGGGATGGTTGGAAAGAAAGAGGAGAAAGAAATGCTTTTATTCACAAAGCAAAGCCTTTGCAAAGACTGTAGCAGGGGCATAATTAACTTGGAGAAGTGCTAAATGAGAACAAATTTGTGGAAGAAATGCAGGATTTCGTTATTTGCCACAAGAGAGTAGGATGTGGGGATTCCCCCCGTGAGCTGCTGTTGAGCTGAGCCTGATTTTAAGGTAAATCTCTTGCAGAAGAGGGCAGGCAGTTGACTTCTTTCCCTGCCAAAGTATCTCCCTCTGGTCCTGCCAAGGGACCAGAATATTTGTGCTGCAGGATGTAAGGGCATTATCAGTGTTTTGTGCTATGACTATGTGCAGTCCTTGCTGGGAAAAAAAAAAAAAAAAAGAAATGCTTGAAAGACTCTGTAAAACAGCATTTAACAGCCACAGTCTATCCTAAATTATGTTACTTGTTTTTTTATACATCAAGACCTAACAATAGAGTCAGATGCAAACCTAGTTTCCAAAGGCTGGCTAAAATATGGAACAGTTTTCATTAAGGCAGCAATAAAGCAAATGGCATAAATCAGTTCAGCAGAAAGCTGGATACATTTTTAAAGGATGAAAACAAAAGTCACTAGCATAGCAAAAGAGTTGGAAGATGACATATATAGTCAATTGATTTGTTTTTCTAGCTGGTGGACTCAGGATAAGGCCTCCTTCGGGTTCAATGAAATATTGAGGAAAAACGACCACGAATAAATATAAAGTGCATTATCATTATAGAGCATATGGTATGTTAAATTATCTGTTGTGCCCTCAGAAATAAACATAATCCATTAAATAAGGAATTGTCACATAAACAAAGGCTAGGTTTTACACAACATTCTAGCACATGAAAAGTAGTTGTCTTCAGTCCTGAGAATGGGCTCACATTTATTAAACTCTCCAAACAGTGCCCCATGTCCAGGCCTGCAAAGAATATGGGGAGGTTTTGCTGGTGCCTTACTCATTGAAATAGTGAGCCATTAATTTGAAGTTATAATTCTAGCCCCTGTGAAATCAGCATTGTGTGTAACAATGCTTCTATACCTCAGGAAATAACCAAAAGGCTTTTCCTGCTATCAAAATTATTGTAACCTGATCTAGCACCACTTTCGTCAGGGGGGCAGCTGAGAATGTCACATTTGATGTGCTTTAACTCCAATTCTACAATGAAGCCACTGCCAGGAACTCAGAGATCTTGTTTATACTGAAAGCAACCAGTGGAAACAGAGATCCCAGACTTGGGTATTTTTATTCTGTTCAACTTCAAACTAAAGGTCTTACTTTCAAAATTTCTCTCACGCTTGGTAACATCTGAAATTAATCCCATAAGTTGCATCTATTTTCTGGAAACTGTTAATTAATACTAGCAACTGTTTTTTGGAAATGCATTGAAAACTGTGACAGAATGGATTTCCAAAGAACTATGCCATTAATAAAGGGAAGAAGCACAATTGATATTATTAAAACACCTAAATTGAGTGATATAAAACAGCATAATGCACAAGAGTAGCCATTTTAAAATCTACACAAGAGTGCAGAGCAAGAAAGCTGAAGTGCAAGAGGCTGGAATGACAATGCAGACAGAGAGATATGAACCCCTGGCCTGTCTTGTGCACAAACTTTGTGAACTGCTCACTCCAGGATAAACTCATAGCATCTCCTAGAGGCATCCTTTTTTATGCATAAAGGATATGCACTTGCTCTTGGCATCCTGAATTTGACAAGAACAGGATACCTGTAACCCCTTCAGTTTAGGGTATTGGAAGTGTCAAAATCAAGTTTTCTTTGTTTATGGGCAGATAAATGCATCCCTGCAGGATGGGAATTTTACTACTGTATAAGCTCTGCATCTCAGAATAAATGACAAATTCTATTTACACACTTGTGATACAGAGGAAAAAGAAAGGACTTCTTTGTAAGCAGGTCAGAGAAGCACCCTTAATAATTTCCAAGGAAATGAGAAGTGTAAGGTATATTTGGGCTATTTTCTATGGGTTTGTATATCTTCCAAACTGCAATTAAAATTGCCATTTCACCAAGCAGCATGAATTTCACACACTATTTTTAAACTGTGATTTCACATTGTGATTTCAGAACATGAACAGCTACTCACTTGTTTATGCAGCCAACAAATTAGGGGGTTTTAACAGTACCATTATTGATATTTTTAAAAATATGAATTGTATTTTAAATATTTAAATTTTTAATACAGGTAGCAATATTTTCCCTAGGAGAACTTTATTCAGTAAATCCTGTCCCCATGACTGATTTGTCTGCACACTGCTCTTCTTTTTATAGGATGTCAATGGCACTAGTGTGTTAGATTAACAAGGAGCTTTAAGAGTGAACAAAGTCAATAAAAATATGGATGACAAGAGTACCTCTAGTATAACTGTGGGAGCTACATAGATAAGAGAAGAAACAGTATAACCCTACAAAAAAACTTTACACTCAGTATAATTTTTTGTTTAAATCTTATTTGTCCTCCTGTATCACTCTAATCAGCACTGCACTGGGATGAGGTGATTAATGGGCTAAAGAAAACACCCTAGGATAAAAGAGCAGCTTTTACTTGAGGTCAGGTTGAGAGAGGGAAACTGTGAATATTGTAGAAATCCAGCTCCAGCCTAGCATCCCCTCCTGTGCACATTTGTGCAGACTTGAAATCCATTTAGGTGCTAAAGTCAGCTTGGGGCAAGGTGCAGGTCCTGTATGAAAGTGAAAACCTGCGCTGTCATCTTGCTGGGCTTAAGAGATGAATGCTACTTTGTCATAGCCTGGAATAAAGAGAAGAGAGGGTTTTTAATGCAGCTGAAAGGAATGTCAGTAGTTTAGAAGGATCAGCCTTCTTGCAGACACGTGACAACTGCTGCCAACCTGGAAGCAGGTTGAAAGAACTGGAAAATATGGCCCTATATGTATAAATAAATACATCTAACAGAAGATACTCTAAAAATTTCTCTCCTTCCCTGCTGGCCTGAAATTGTTCCTATTTTCTCCATCGCCACTCTTGAGAACATTATTAATTTCCAGAACATTGCAAAGAGTGCACCGAGTCAGGTGCTAATGAGATTTCATCGATGCAGGAGGGAAGATAGCTGGATCACGAGCTCTCATTGCACTTTGCCTTTCCTTATTTTCCAGCCTGACCCTCGCTAGCACTTTCCCAGAGAGGTGTGAGGTGATCCCAGAGCCCTGCCAGGCACAGAACCCCTCAGCAAAGGGGTGGAGCAGCCCTCTTGGAATCTCTGTGGGTCACAGTGACCCTGAGATATGTACAGGTCTCTTTTCCCAGCCCAGGAGTTGAAGAAGGAGTCAGGATTGCTGTGGTTTTCAAGGTTGTTTATAATTTCTTATCTATAACATTCTTTCCCTGGCCTGCTGAGGTCCTTTCAGCAGGTCAGTCAGAGGCACACTGACCACCCTCAGGGGCGTGTTGTCTTTTTATACTAAAAACTACGTGCACATTATTTACAATTATTTTCCAATACCTATCACCTATGTTAGACAGTTTATTCCTACCTTAAACCAATCCAAAAGTGCCAGCATCACACAGAACATGGAGGCTAGGAAGAAGGAGAAAGAAGGACAAAACATGCCCAAATTCCTCCATCTTGAGATCCCATTCTAAAAACCTCAAAAATCTACTTTTCACCCTGTGACAAACTAGCTATCATTCTACTTAAACTTTCGTGGCTTGTCATTCTTCATATAAAGGTGGTAAAATGGGTCAAAATGGGTCAAATTCATAGGCACAGGGGTCTTGGGCTCTGTGCCAAGGTCTCTGATCCCCCTGGCAGGGGCTCGAGCCATCCAGGACAGCCAGAGGGATGTCCTGGCTCCCGACAGAGCCCCTGCCTCGCCTCGGCTGGTGCAGCGCGCACACACCTGATCCGAAGGCTTGTTTGTGTTGGGCTTTCCTGAAATCCTCTTGGCGGTCTGCAGAGCTTATCCACTCCTGGGCTTGCCGCTGCCACTCTAGTGATGTCCTAGCGGGCCGGTCCAGGGAGCTCTTTGTGTCATCTACGTTGGCTGCCGCGTGCTGCCTCTCCAGAGAGCTCCCCTTCCTCTCGGCAGAGCCTCCGCGCTGGCCGGGCACTATGGGCTGCCTTAAACCCTGACCGGGGGGCGGGTCGGGTGGTGGTGGAAGATCTAAAAAACGTGAATAATATTCAGGTGAACTGATTTTTTCCTTTCATTTGGAACAGAAGGTCTGTTTTCGACGCTGAAAAGTGCCTCGTAAACGGTACGAGCCACCAAATCGGTTTTAAAAGGAGGAAATTTCATGTTAATCAGAAAAGGGTTTTGACTTCTGCTAGCTCTTTATTCTGTGTTTCTACCTCTTTCTAACTTCCATAAAAAACCATAGGCTCTGAGCCCTGACTTACACTTCCAAGCATGGGACTGAACAACCCCTTGTTGTTCAGTAAAAACAAGGAATTAAGAAAGGCTGTGGAAAACTGATCCATGCCAGTTGACAATTTCCCTCCACCCTACTGGGGCTTGCTTCATCCTGGGTTTGGGCTACACTTTCAGCTTGAGGTGTAAACTCAAAATCTAACATACCACTTCATCAAAATGAATAAAATGCCACAAATATTGGGAAAAAATTGACTGTGAAACCTACTGTCATTGAAAAAGCATCAGTACATCTCAGACCAATGTGTTTAAAGGGAACCACCAAACAATGGGTGAGAATTTTAGTCAATGAAATGAAGAGCTAGACTCTTCAGAGACTAAAGGATGGCCACTCTTAAGTTTTGCAGTCCTGCAAATATAACCAATTAAAACACAATTTCAGCTAACAGAAAGACACTTGCCTGGTCTTTAACAACTTCTGTCCTTTTCAAGTTTGTGACTTGGACTACTAAGATGCTTGTAGAATTGAAGGTCAACCTTCTAAATACATTTTTGGGGGCAAAAACTGCACTTTTTTATGAGTCCATGACCCAAGGTAATTATAGACTCAGGATAATTCATATTCTAAATGCAACTTTTCATGTAAATGATATAATAGACTCAATGGTCCAGATTATTTAAAAGAAAAGAAAAATCAGAAAATAGAAGCACCTTTAGTATCATAATGAAAATTCTTCTATATCATATACACATTTTTTACAAGGAACAGTTTTGATAATTCTGTTTTAGGGCAATGGATAGCCCAAGTAAATCTCTGCAGCCACACCAACTTCACAAAAACCTGTGTTAGCTTACAACAGATTTGGGTCTGACCTGTTTTCTAGTCCTTTCTACCTTACTGTGTGGTGAAGATTTATCAAGGAATTGAACTTGGCTCAGTAATAGGCATGGAAAAGTAAACCTCTGTTTTGCCTGCAGGGAAGTCTGATGTTTATAACTCTAGTGCAACTGAAATTCATTTTATAAATTGGTCAGGAGGCCTTTGGAGGGAGTTGATTTCAAAGTCTCTAATCCAGCTTTATATAATGCTTTATATAATGCTACACAGAATTTTTTCATGTCCTTGCTGTAAGAGGTGATACTTATGCCTCACACATGGAGCAGAAATGCTTCCAAAGTTGCTGGGATGTCATTCCAGTCAACACCATCTCTTACAGAAATATGAGATGTGCAGGTTATTTGTGTTTTCAAGAGAAAAAAGTTGTACCCAGTGATGCTCCTGTGCCTTTGCTCACAGCTGCTGTGCTGTGCCCCAGATTAAGATAAGCACCCTCTGGCAAGAGCAGCCTTTTAATAATCTGTCAGAGAGCTTGGTGCATGCTTTATGTTCAGCACTAATTTATTTGAGAAATTTTTCGTTATGAATATAGATGCGACCTTTCATGACAATGACTGCACTTGAGTTACTGTAGGTGGAAGCAGGAGGGTATGGGAGCTTGCCAATGTTAAAATTGCTTTATAGTGCTGGCTTCCAAAGTGGCATTTCTTATAATTGATTTTATTGCCATCATAACCAGTTAATGTACAGAACCACAACACTGGCATCTGCTTATGCAATCTGAAATAGAGATCACTGAAGTTGTGATTTATAAGCACTTTGTGGAGATGCATTGAATCCAATAAACACAGCCATAACATGACATGGGACTGTGCAATTTTCCCAGATAAAATATTTACCGTTCAATATAAGCAAAATTTTCAAGTAGTAACACAGAAAAAAAAAAGTTTAAATTATTGCAGTATTAAAGTTTAAAAAGACTACCCTACTTCAGAAATTGCTCTCTAATAGTTGTTATTAATTAGATACTTAAAAGGAAAGAAAGCTTGTACTTAAACTATACTGCATGTTCTAGAGCTGGCTGCAACTCCTGGAATTACTGTAGGGTTACGGTGTTGATCTACTGCTAACCTGATTATTGCTTTTATCCATCCACAAAACAAGCATAAAGACTGACTTATGCATAGAAGTGAAATGAAAAATCATGTTTGTAAATTTCCTTGGGTGCTTTAAACCTATGGATGAGCTGAAGAGAAAAATAAAATGTATCTTGCAATGAAGCTTCATAGAATTCTAGAAGAACTACAGGTACTTTGGAATTAACATTAACTGGCTCTGGCCTGAGTACAAACTTACTGAACTGTGTTACAAGTGTCTGAGAAGATCTGTAAGAACAGTTACTAATTGTAGGCAAATATCACCTGACTAAACTGTTTTATCACCTCCTTACTCAGGTTGACAGCCACATAACACCTACCTGTCCTTTTTAATAAGAGAAGCTGGAAGGGAGCTTCATTTGGAAATGTGGCTTTTGATTTGCTCTACTACTTACATCCTGCATTGTAAATCTTTTGCCTTAGTAAATAACTAAATATTTTCTGCTCTCTTTTGATCAACCCATCACAAAACCCATTTTCTGATGGGTTGATCAAAAGATCCCATCTGGAGTCATGAGTTTGAGACAACATTGAGAGCAGTCTTGTCTTGCCTTGGCTTTTCTACCCCTGCTAAAGGGGTAACAGATGTCAGCTGAGTTAGAAGTCCCAGATCCTCAGAGGAAGACCAATTACCACATAAAGGCAATCATGTCAAGCCATCGTGTCAATCCCTTAAGAGAAGTTCTGAATTTAGAAATGTAGGGACTTCAGTGGGATTTTCAGAGAGGATACCCAGAGTGGTAACACTGATTCACCCTACTTCCATCTAAATCTCATTTATCCTTCAGGTGGTAGGGAAAATACCTGAAAGCCTGCACTGAGCTAGTAACTTTCTAGGTCAGTAGGATGTCATCCAGACTTTCATTTTGAAGCCTCTAATGGCAGGATTATCAAACCTGCAAGGCAATTCATAAGTACATTGGTGGGGAGGTGATGGTCTTATTGATTCAGTAATGGAGGGACTGTGATTGAGGAGCTGTAGGACATCAGAGTGCCTGATAAGGGGGAGATGGATATTCAGTCTGGGATTACTCCAGCCCTTCTTTAGAAGGCAGAGCATTGGCTAAATGATTCAGGCAGCAGTCAAGGTTTGGCACAGCTTCTCATTATTAACTGGAAAAGGCAGCAAGTTAAAGAACCTATAAGGACACACCTTTCTACCTGTGTCAGTGATTTTTTCTCATAGGAGAGATAATTACTGTGACATTTAATAGGCCCCTGAAACACTTTATAGCATCAGAAGGTAAGTATTTTCTCAACATTAAAAATTATTTTTAACACACAGTAGGAAGTTAGTAGCAAGGCATGGTAACATAAGTCTTATGTTCCAGTTCTCCTTTTCAAACCCTAAGCATATTTCCCTTCTGCCTCCTCTTTGATTTTTCTTTTTGCATATCATGCTCATTAAGGAAGGGCTTTTAACTTCAGTCACAAAGTTACTGTGCTGCAAACTATATGACAGATTCCACTGTTTTGCTATTCATGACTACATTGTTGCTAGGAAAACAAATTATTCCTTGAGCTCTAACACTAAAACCCCCCAGGTTTTTGTTTGCAGGTTTGTTTTTTTTTTCCATTTTTGTTTTTGTTTTATGGTGGACTGAGAGCTCAGAATGAAAGTTTGGACCATCTGAGGGATTCATAACATATTCTTCCTCTGCGGATTTGCTGTTGTCTCCATAGTCTTTCAGGATGTGGAAGTGAAAAAACAAGTTGTACAGCAAGACAAATGTGAAGACTCCATCTAGAGTCAGTCTCTAGAGGCTTCTGACCTGCAGCTGAAGGAAATGAAGAAGCAGGGTTTTAGGGGATTTGTGTGGATTGCTGTCAAAACTAAGCATGAAGTTGAGGCCTCAAATGCTTACACAGTCTGAGATGTGTGTGCTATGTGTTAAATATTACAGTTTCTTAGGTCTTTTGCACTGTCCCACATGGTTACAGTTAACAAGGAGGAAGCATTCAGGATGTGTGTGGGAATGGGCAGAGAAAGCTGGAGCTTTCTTAGTCAATGAAAATTGAAAATGACAGACATCCGGTATGTGATGAGACTTAAACACAGGATACCAGGACTCATCCAACTTGGGAATTTGAAAACAACTGGCAAACCAAGTATATTCTCACAAGACAAATCCAAGAGGAAGCAGTTATAAGGCAATGGATTGGAGACATAAGAAAAAACAGAGAAAATGTATAGCGATGCTTTTCACAGAAATCAGGATGGCCCAGGGCTGAATGGACTGGCCTGGATTAGGGCTTGGAATTGCTGGACCTATCTGAGGCTCTCCTACTTCCTCTTTCTAGCTATAGCTTAAGCATAGTGATATTGTCTGTCTTTGTAAAGTTCATTGCAATGTTCCCCAGAAAGCACCCAGTTGCCATTTTTAATTTCTGCGAACCAGAGATTCCTAAATTCAATTGTTTACATACATGCAGGTGGCAGCAGCAACTTCTAGCTTCCTTAATTGACAAATGATCTTTTGCAAATTTAACTATGACTCAGACTTGACATTACACTTTAATGACTCATATTCAGTAGGAGTTGAAGCGGAAAACTGTTCCATTTGTGTTTGTTTGTTTGTTCCTGTGTTAATACAGGATGGGAACTGTTCCTCTATTGCTCCAGGACATTATAAATTTTTGCAACATATAGCAAGAATTTTAACTAGGTTTATAAAAGGCAAATATTAATCTAATGGCATCCAAAGGCTGTTATGGTTTTGCCCATGTCTGAGAGGTTGAAGGAAATGGTATATCGTTGGTATTCTGATTTAAATATATGAAAGAAACTCCAGTAAGATTAGTATTTTATTAAGGATAAATATAAAGTAATAGGAGTCTCCTCTTTTTAAATGAATCTTAAAATTGAATCCCTTTCGCTTATTTAAAACAATGCCAAATTTTATGATGGAGTCACTCTCTGAGGAGCCCCACTTCCATCTGTCTCATGACCTGAACTGGATCCCCATTAATTTTCTGGTATCCACACTATTGTAAAACACTTCTGTAGCAACAGTATTCAGAGCAGAAGGATTAGTGTCCACCATACTGAGTGCACTAAAAACTCACATGTACACAGAATTTGCGGCCTAAGATGCTCACAGTTCAGGGTGACAGGATATGGCACTCAGAAGGGTTAGCAAAAAATGTACAGCAAGAGTATGGCCACCATTACAAGTGACATCCATAAATTTGCAGTTACTGTTCTCATAGGCACATCTATTCAATGGATCTGTGTAATAGAGAGACCTCTGCAATATATTCACAAGGGGAGGGAAATAATGTTTAAAGGAACTTGGATCCATAGGAGCAGAGTCTAAGCTACTTTAAGCTATTTCCACAAATAATATCAGAGGGAGAATGAGCCATAGAGCAAGAGATGTAACAATAATCCCTTCAGTGAACACCCTGATCATTTCAACACCTACAGGTGCAAGGCCAGGGATCAGAAGAAATGAGGGGGAGGTAGCCAGCTGGTCACCTTCCTATCCAGTCTTACTCAAAAACTAACTTGTGTCTTTTGTCAGACTCAAGAGGGGTAGACAAAGAAAATGGAAGAAAGAGCTGATCTTAATTATTAGAAGAGCAGAACAGACATGCCTGAAATTTCCATATGGGAAGTAGTCATAAGAGAGAAGTGGAGATGTAAAAGAGGGAGACACAGTCACTGAGGTCAGTGGATGCCAGGACTGGAGCAGCACGGACAAGAGGTGAGGCAGAATCATGGGAAAACATGGCACATGTTGCTGTAGCTGTTGGGTGTCTGTCAAAACCAGCACAAACCAGACAAGTCCTGTGGGAGCCGCTCTCTGCTTCTCCTTAGAGATTCATATATACAGGTACTGCTAGTGGTGGGTTCTTTCATAAAATGTAAAATTACAGGCCATTTTTCAATGTCAACTCATGTGCAATGCAGTCATTTTGGGGTAAGATTTATACTGAGATCTGAGAAACCCTAAGAGATGATGACATATGCAGAGCAGAAATGGGGAAAGGCTCCTCCAACCCTCACCCAAGCCCCGCACGGCTAGAGCTCCAACATGGCTCACACGGCAACCTGGGGACCCCAACTCCACCAGAGCAGTAATTGATATTCCTGAATTTGTATTCCTGGAAAGATGGCTCTGTGCACAGCTGCCTGCTGCAGGTGTCCCTGCCCAGCACTCACCGTCCGTGATTCCCTCGCGGCGATGAGGCAGAGCGGGCTGCTCCAAACGCCCGCCCTTGTGTTTCTTCGTGGGCCTCTGCCTCTGACCCTGACTGACAGCTGCACTCGTGTTGCTGTCAGTAGAAAAAGGACTGCCTGGCCGAGGTCTCTGAGAGGAAGAATATGCTTTGCCTAAAGAATTAAAAAAAAAAAAAAAAAAAGAGAGAAACCAGAAGAAAAAGTGTTATTGCCTTGAAATGGGCTGTTCTATTAGTGTCTGCTCTGAAATATTAAACCAGGTCTAATTCTCAGAGGCAGGCAAGTGTCCCCCCAAGGTACCCACTGCTAACAACTGCTTTGAGACACACCACAGCAAGTGAAGTAGGGAAATTTGGCTTTCTTTTGTCTTTAACTTCTATAATTACAATTATTCCATCTGTTGCGATAAAACTACTGTATGCCATGTAACTCCTACCTGCTCTGTGTGCTGAACAGATGTGTCATAACAACTCCTCAGCCTTGAACAGGGAAGGAAAACAGTTCTGCAATCATATCAAATTTATCTCCTCCTGCCTTCCACTTTCATGTTTTCTGAGCCAGATTCTCATTTTAGGGGCTCCCATATGCACTGTATATCTGGAGTAACTCCAGTGAGATAAACATAACTGATTTTGCAAGCTATGTGGCTTTGTAGCACTGTATACTTAAAGGCTCTCTTTTCTCAAGAAATAAAAATGGGGGTATATTTAAATGTTAACATTTTCCAGTTAATTTTCAGTACTTTTAGTTGTTAAAAATATCTGTTGTGACCTCAGATTTATTTATATATCGTTTTATATCTCATAGATATAGATATGTGTGTGTGTATATATATATGTAAATACACACTATTCAAGCTGTGTGATTTCTCTTAAAGAAATATCTTTGATGCTGTTCTATGGAGCAGATGATTAAAAGCCTCGGAATTTAAAGAGCACAGTTCATTTACTACATTCACTTCCTCTTATTCTGATATTTTTATTCTGTTAACTAGACTTAATATTTAATGATAACAGATGAAAACTAAAAATCACCACTGATTTTGCAAGCTATGTGGCTTTGCAGCACTGTATACTTAAAGGCTCTCTTTTCTCAAGAAATAAAAATGGAGGTATATTTAAATGCTAGCATTTTCCAGTTAATTTTCAGTACTTTTATTTGTTAAAAATATCTATTGTGACCTCAGATTTATTTATATATCATTTTATATCTCATAGATATAGATATATCTATATGTGTGTGTGTATATATATACACACTATTCAAGCTGTGTGATTTTCTCTTAAAGAAATATCTTTGATGCTGTTCTATGGAGCAGATGATTCAAAGCCTCAGAATTTAAAGAACACAGTTCACTTACTACATTCACTTCCTCTTATTCTGATATTTTTATTCTGTTAACTAGACTTCATATTAAATGATAACTGATGAAAACTAAAAATCACCATCTTTGACTTTCTTTTGTTCATGCGTATGTCGTTCCTGCGAAATTTTGGAGATGCTAACATCTTAACTCATTTAGAACTGGTAATTAAAACTCTTACACATTTAAATGCTATCTGCAGTGGAAAATGAACAAGCCAGTCCAAAATTCTGCTTTTTCAGTGCTGCTGTGGGCCCAAATGGTGTAAGAGATAATATAATGTGGTAAAATGGGTGACTTCTATTTTTCTGGTCAAGTGGGCCCATGATAGGAAGGAGGTATTTTTATCCTCTGGTTTGCTTAGACCATGGTCTAACCTGCAGGGAGTTATGTTTTCCAGTAAAACCTTCCAACAGATGTGCTTACTTCCAACATGCTGTCACATACATCCTGATCTAGAAAAGCCTAGCTGGGAGTAAGGTGCAGCTCAGCATCCTACTTGAAACATTCTCAGCACCAAGAGGGCAAAGTGAAAAAGTAGCCATAATCTCTCTAACATGCTGTTTCACATTAATACATACATGTTAGGATAGTATTTCACTATTTGACTTCTGAGATTTTGTGGCTGTCTTAGGCTTGATCTTCTACCTTCTGACTGTTTTGCACCCTGAGGAGGGCACTGCTCTCAGGCAGGCTTGTCCCCAGCTGCCCACCTGGGCCAGCTATCAGAGGTCACCACATTTGAACCCCTCATTTGGACATTCCCTAACCCTCCTCTACAAAGAAAACACAAACCAAAACAAAACAAAAACAATGCCTTTGCTAACCTAGCTCATTTTAACTGAAATTGGGTTACAGAATCCCTGCCCAAGCAGCTAATTCTGGAGCTGGGAGAAAGCAAGGAATAAGCATTTGGGAACATTAACCTCTATAGATGGCACAGCTGCAGCCAGACAAAGACAAGTGATCAAGCCCTTTTTTCACAGATAAGGATAACACAGCAGATGAACACAGAAGAAATATTAAGATTTCATTTAAAAATTAAAAAAAAGACTCCTAATGCAAAGAAATTCAGATGTGAGCCTGAAATTCCATCCCAGCTCACAGCACGCTGCACAGATGTTTTGCAAAAATAAACTCACAACATGCAAATGCAACTAGTGAGTGCAGGGCACAGATTCTTCACACTTACTCTTTTGACTAAAGAAATGTGATTATTCACTCAGAATGCTGGTTTTAAAAATAAATAGACACCAAACATTCTCTTTTATCCCTTCATGAAAATGAGGTAAAATAAATAGCACTGACCTAAATCATACATGGGGCAAACACAAATGATGTGCAGACTCCCATAGCACATTTTTCAATGCACTTAATAACTTATTACAGCACCTTGTATTTGTGTGGAGCCCTGCCAGTAAGAACTGCTGAGCAGTGTCAGACTTTCTGCAGCAGATTTAGTGTGTTTAAGTGGAGACAAGGATGAATCCACTAATTCTTGATTTAATTTCCCAAGGGTGTTAGAAAGGAAAGCTGTTTTAACTTCATGGCAAATCACATGATGGCTTCTGGAAACTGGAATCAAAGTGTCTGGCAGGAGAGACACATTGCATCTGGATTCACCAGTGCCTCTCATGCTTGGCAATCAAACATTCCCACGTGAGGCTATCAAGCTGGACACCTCCTCTAGCATCTACCCCTGAGAGTATTTCACAGCTGTTCTAAACGGGTGGAAATGACTGTCCAGACTGCAGAGGGATAAAGAGTCAGGACCTGCAGGCTCCCTTCAGGGCAATGAGCAGCATAACCTGCTGCTTCTGCACTGCCAGGCACTGGGCTGCACTCTGGGGGGCTGCAGGGCTGCAATGGGAGTGTCTGACTGAGCCTCCCTGCCCTGAGAGGCGACACATCCTGATGGCACCGCAGGGAACAGGGGCAGATTTTTTGCAGCGAGCAAAAAAACCATTTGCTGAGGTTTCTGTGAGGAAAAGGAGGGAGGGCTGTTTGCTTCCGTGTGGGTTTTTATTTTATTTTCATTTTGCCTGCTGGATCATTAAGAGAGTAAGAGGGTAATAATCATAAAGTCTCTGCGACAACTGCTGGATCCTTTTTTGTACCCTGTGTTCTAATGGTCTGTGAGGATTTACACACATACTCACTTTTAATGCATTTGTGACCTAATCAAGCTAAGAAAATACAACTGACAAGGGGGCTCTCATCCTTTCATTGTAGTTTCCATTCACATAGCTACAATAAAAAAATCCTATTTATTTTAAAGTGTGTCGTATTTATTCTGTGTTTGTATGTCCATTTACTTCTGTTATGAATGAGTTTGTGGTGGAAACTGCACTCATCAAAGGTTTGATACAAGCGACAGCAATTTTGGTGAATCTTTGTATTAACTTTTACTGGAGCAAACACCATCAAAAAAAAAAAGGTTGGAAAATATTTACTCCTTTCACTCAGAACCTGGGAGACTCTTCAAGGAAAACAGTATATTTTAAGTTATAGTTTGGCCAGATGCATCCATACTAGGTAAGTTAAAGTCTACATTAGTTTATGAGTTTTCTTGTTTTGGTTTGCTTCTCTTTTTTTTTTTTTTAAATTTTTTTTTAAGTGATAAGACAGATTTACTCAATTTTCCATTAATTGGGGGAAACAACTGAGGGCTTCAGCTATGGGGAAATAATCTTTCAAGGATGACTATGTCTGACCAAGGCCAGTGACAAAAATCCCAGTGATTTGAAAAAAGCTGGATTTTAGGACTTTGCCATCAACTCTTTCCTTTATTCCTAATGTTCCTAAAAGGCAGTCTTTGCCATGAGCTTATTGCATGCTGAAAGCATACAGTTTCCAGCCCCAACATGTGAGGGCTGAAAAATGCACACATTTTACTGAAGGAGAGACTTCATACCAGACTGATAGTCTAAAAAATTTAAATGATAGGAATATTATGGGACCTGTCATCTGGAATTAGCTGAGGAAGCATAACAAAAAATATGACCCAAGTCCATACTCTGCTAGATTAGATTTGTGGATTTAAATAATTAGTTGTTGTTGCTATTTTCACAAGACTAAGGAAATGTAAATGTATCCTTTTCTTTGTATTTGTGTATTTAAATAATTAGTTATTGCTGCTATTTTGACAAGACTAAGTAAATGCAAATATATCCTTTTCTTACCAGAATAAAGATAATATTTCTTTATATTTTTAAATAGAAATAAAACATATGGAGCTTTAAAAATAACTAAATTATATTTACTTTTCATTAATTAATTTCAGAAGATTGGCTATTTTCAAACGTAATATCCACTTTACCTGTGTTACATTTTACTTGGCAGATTCAATTGGCATAACCAAAATTAAATGTTATCAAAAGACATTAACTTATTGAATTAAGGATTTTTAAAATCAGCTATTAATTAAACTCTAAACAGTTTGTATTTTTAACAATCAAAGCACATCAATTCACCCCATGCTCAGAAAAACTTCACAGAAAAACACACTTTTGCAGGATGAAATGCAACAGAAGAGCAGGGATGGAGGTAACAGTTTAAACGTGGTGTTCATCACTGGAAAGGGAACGATTGTGAGGAGATTGCAGAAGATGAAATCATCAAAGACTGCAAGGCAGAATTAGTAATTTCTTCTCTGAAATATTAAATGAGCATAAGTCAGTAAATCTAGAGAAGAGTCAGCACTGAGGGGAACTGCAGCAGACCAAAGGTGCAGATTAAAAGCTTGTGCTATTCACTACTTCAAACTACTAAAAACGAAACACAATGCAAGGTTTGATTTAAAATATCAAAGAAGTATCTCCATCCACCTCATCCCATGCATGTTAGACAAGTGTGAGACACAATTTCACTGAGAGAAGGATAGGCAGAGACACCCTCCATGCAGAAAGCATCACCTTGGAGTCTACAAACCTGTTCTTGTCAGGCTGGTTCCATGCAGCCTAAACCCAGCTTTATCTGCTGCTGCAACCAGTGCTTGTGCAAAAGTGCCGCTGGTAAAGATGGAGTCATCTGAGGAGCTACCTACACTAGATCTATGGCTAGAAAAGTTACGGTCCTCATCAGACGCAGAACCCCATCCATTTACCATTGAACCTAAAAACAAATGTAGGGCGCCAGTGAGTGGTGCACATTTGATAGTCTTTGTTCATCTAAAGCTTAAAGACCCACTTAATATGTTCTTTCTCCACAGGATACCCAAAATTCATTTGACAGAGCTTGGTAGAGAAGAGCGATTTTAATTAAAAATTAAATCGAAATTAAAATTAATCTAAAGCTTACAGACACACTTATTGTATCCTTTCCCAACATTTATCTGCCAGAGTTTGGTACAACAAAGCTAGGTGGGATGTCATTCATAACTTGCTCCATGTAAACAAAATAATACATATTCTCTACAAATTCAAAGGTTCCACAGTAAATCCTTTTGAAAATTAATGTTTTTTTCCCTGTGATTGAATTGAATGTGGCTAGTTTTGTAATTTTTGTTTTACTTGACTTGTTACAAATATGGATCTAGTTTGATATTTGCCAAACCAAGTCTTAATTTTGGACTGCATATATGTAAGTCTCAGTAGATATGGCTAAAGTCAGACATGGGCTTCAAGGACTATTATGAACAAGACTGGCCCCATGTAATTTTATCAATCAAAACCTTAAAATAAATGAGCAGTTGTAATGGCCTAAAAATAGCTGATTTAAAGTAGTTCACTCTACTGGATTAAATAGCTTTTTTACAAGGTTAGAAATAATTAAGATTCAAGAGCAGAGCAAATATATGCTCAGATTTAACAGTGAGTCAGTTGCTAGACCAGCGCTGGCCCCATGGTACCTTCTAACTATGGATTACCACTACTGCAGGAGAGGAAAGTGATAACAACATCATAAAAATGCAGCCAGAAAACCAGATACCAGAAAAACATGAAAGAAATGTAGAAATCTTGACAGAAGTAAAATATAAAGAGCAAAATAGAGAAGGAAAAATCAACCTTATTTGCTCTTCACTTATATTTTTATTTTTTCTGAGGCACCAATCAAGCATCAATCAGCTACCCATCAATTTCAAAAGCTAGTACTTGGTTCATTTCTTTTTTTTTTTTTTTCCAAAGTACTGTAATTCTGTTTCTTTCAGGGTTTCAGATGGAGATGGTGGCGTTCTGTACTTCTGAAATGCCCCAGGGTCATTCTGCACCGTGCAGAGGAGCAGGAGGCAAAGGGAAGAACCAGCAGCAAGAACTCTGCTCTAGGAACAGGGCAGCCCAGTGAAATGAGCCACCAAACCCAGTGAGGTGTAGAGCCACCAGAGTGCTTTTGGGACCTGAGCTGCTGCAAGGCATTGAATAGTGCTGTTCTGAGATAGTACAGGCACCACACCCATCTCAAAATTCCTGAAATGTGCATTTTAGCTATAGCTATATGTTGGAAAAAAAGAAAAAAGCCCAGTGAACCTGGGAGAATCTGCAGAGAACTGGTTTTCAAAGACATGAAGACACGTGTGGAGGGATGCATCATGGCCCTGACTTTACTCAGTTAGCAGAGCTGAATTTCTGTAAATGCACACAAAATGTGTAGCTGTACAGTAGCCTTTTTTCAATCCATGTCCAAGAAAGCATTGCTGTGTTTAAAATTGTTAAGTAGTAAATCAATAACGACCTGCTTATTAGTTAATTGATAGGCTAATTAACTAATGGTGGTGTCAAATATTAAAAATGTCCTGCAAAAAATAGGTCATGAGTGCAATTAATGAATCCTGGAATTCAGTAGCATGCTGCACCACAAAGCCCAAGAACAGTGGATTATTTTGTGATGCTGCAGTGACCAAACCTTTTAATGTCAGAGAAGTGGCAGGCTATAATAACAAAAACCCGTGCACTCCTCAGATACAAGAAAAGAAACCAAAGAGGGCTGTGGAGGTCTGACAGGCAGGAAGTGTGTTAAGTGCAACAGAGAGTGACAGAGTTTGATTCTGCTTGCCAAAAGCACACATAAAATTGTTATTTTCCAAGCAGACTCGACCTGATGCAGACAGATGTGAGGCAGCCCAGATAACAGCAAGGAAAGGCTAAAACTGAATTTCCTCTGAGAAGACATTTTCTGAACTAACAGTCAAAGAGCAACAGGACATCATAGAGAATGGGGAGCAAAGACACTTAGCAACAGTTATTGGTGATGTATGAAAAGAGATACTACAGATAAAACACCTAATGAAGATGTAAGAAAATGAAATGCTATAACTGAGGACATTTTCAAACAATCACTTATAGGCACATTCCACAAAATACGTGAGCACAAGCTGAAACATAAAAATGTAACCAGAGCTAAGCATATCCAAGGATGATGCTTAGATGCTAAAAATTTAACATGTGTGCCATTAATTTCAGGGCCCAAGAGTTTTGTGTTATATATTCTATTGTCTATATGTAGAGACATATAAAACCATATACAGAGCACTTTTTGTTTTCAGTGCTACGGTCTGTGAGACTATGGATGTTTTAAAAGAACATTTAATTTCTATTTGCTCACATTGCTTTGTCCATTTGATAACCACAGCTGTTATACAACATACAATGCACATGGAAATTTGGGTGTGACTCTTTTCAGGGTATGGGTAGTAGCTGGTTTTCATTTGCTTTGTTAATTCATAAAAAAAAAAATAAATCTCGTTTTAGGTATGAAATATACTGAAAATCTGCAAAAGGCCATAGTGTGTGAATAGAGCTATTGTTCTACACACTCATACACATACCAGTTTTTCTAAAATTACCTACATTTTTATTATCAGACTGCCAGTTTTCTAGGCTAACCCTATAAAAAAGCTCTGTTCCCCAACTCCTCCACATTCCCATGGACAGCAAGTGCTAATAAGGCTGGGAATAGTGTGCTCTGCCTATGGGTCACTCCCCCTTCCCCTCTCCTCCAGAAGCTGCTCTAGGAGAGACCTGCCATGCTGCAAACATAGCTCTGTTCTTGCAGGGACATGAGTTTTAATTAAATGAGTTTTACTGAAATGTCACGACCCCACCCGGAGTTCTGCATCCATTTCTGGGGTCCCTGGCACAAGGCAGACATGGACCTGTTCAAGTGCACCCAGAGAGGAGCCACAACAATGATTAGTGTTGGAACCCCTCTTCTGTGAGGACAGGCTGGGACAACTGGGATTGTTCTCTGCAGCCTGGAGAAGAGAGGGCTCCAGGGAGATCTTCCTGCAGCATTTCAACATACAAAGTGGGGTCACTACAAAGGCAGAAAGAGGCTTTCTGATAAGGCCTGCAGTGACAGGACAAGAAGCAATATTTTCAAATTGAGAGAAGGTTTATATTATATATAAGGAAGAAATTCCTTACCATGAGGGTGGCAAAGTACTGGGACAGGTTGCCCAAAGAAGCTGTGGATGTCCCAGTCCTGGAAGTGTTCAAGGCCAGGCTGGATGGGGCTTGAGCAACCTGGTCTAGTAGAAAGTGTCCCTGTCCATGGTAGGGAGCTTAGAACAAGATGACCTCTAAAAGTCCCTCCTAGTCCAAACCATTCTATGTTACTTCTGGTTGCTGGAAGGAACTTTTTTATATAGAAGCTTCTTCTAACTGCTGAAATCAGCAAAACACCCTGAGACACGTTCAGCACCCACAGCTGTGTGTGACACAGGATATGTGTGATATGGGGAGCTCAAGGCGAAACCTCTACATTATTTCTCCTGATTCCTGAGCTGTTCAGCTTCCCTGCATAAACAATTCCTTCTCCCCAGCCAAACCTGCAGCAGTAAATCTCATTTTGCTCTGACCTGCAGAGGTGTAGATATTGCCCAGAAGGCATGGGAGTGCTGGAGCCCAGCCTGGGCACCTCAGGCCACCACACAGCTGTGTTAACACAGCACACGTGGTGACTGCTTGTTTAAAGGCATCCACTGGCCTCTTGCTTTCCAAATCAGATGCACATTTGTTTTTCTCTGAATAAAGGCAGAATAAGAGATGCTGACATTCCTTTCAGATCAACTGTGCATTTTGAAATGGGATGAAACAGGCTTTTAGTGTCTCCTTTACATGCAGCGCACTATGTGCTTTCCAAGAGTACATTTGAGTTTTTACGCTTTCTGGCAACTGTAAATTTTACTCTTGCTGACAGCAGCAGTAAATGCTTTATGCAGAACAAAATCAGCTCTGTGAAAAGTTGAACTCTGTTTTCTTGCTCCATAAAATATCTCTTGGTGCTAATGCAAACAGAAAGCTTCTTTGCTCTCAGGGAAAGGTGAGGAGAACAGAGGTGCTAGCTTCCAGTAGACTGCATGCTACTGCTTTTAGTGGCATTTTGCTAGCAATAATAATGTTGGTTTTTTTTTTTTTTTTTTTTGGTAAAGTGTACTGTTGCTTTACTTAAAAATAATAATAAAAAAAGTCTTAACGCACCTGTGAAATAAAAGCTGCTCACAACAAGCCTGGCACTTCTGAGAATTCCATTAGATACTTTTCTGCATCTACCAGCCTCTATGTGCTTACTTCATGTGTTTTCCTCTACAAGACCATCCAGCACATATTAATGCTAAGCCCCTGCTCCTCTGCAGTTTTTGAATGGAACAGGGATAGGCTGCTTAGGTTTCTGAAGTGTGGGTGACATCCTTGGGCACTGATGCTACTTCAGCTGAAATCAGTTACAGAATTCTCTCAGCCTTTGTACAGGAGGAAGATATTATCTTCTCTTGGATATATCTGACCACTGTCATGATTACACAACAAGAATGCCCACTGATTTTGGTGGAAGTGAGGGAATAGAAGGGACAATAGTCATTGAACCACCAAAATAAGGAAGAATAACAGAAGTGTTTGAATGCAGAATCTAAATATGATCACACTTCCAAAAGCTAGACTTTGTTTTTTACTTTCCTCCACCAGAAATGCCCATATATTTAAATGCATACACCTGGAATAAGCCTCTAGGTTTTAAATGTTTTATTTTTGGGCAGAAAACACTAAAAAAAGGAGGAAAAAACCATACATAGATATTCAGCACTTCACAGGTCCAATGATAATTAATGACCTTCATAAACATCTAATGAAAAATGAATTTATGTCACTTAGCCAAATTTATTTCTGTTTGCATTCCATCCTTTTAGATTTTTTTTTGTTTCCATATTGCTGAAAGGCACAAAAAAATCTCAAATTTATTCAAGCTGTTAGAAAAGAAATGCGCACAGAACATTAAGTAGTTGCTCAAATGTTGCTGAGCAGTAAAATACTATGATAAAGTGGCAACTTGCTGTGTCTCTATTACTTCTTCAGCACTAAAATTAATTTATGATCAGTCATCAATTCATTTACATGTCATTTTATGCTAAATCTATCGTTGCTGATGAATGCATATCCCTAGATCCATTAAGCTAGAGTAAAGTCTGTGCTTTATAATATGACCCTGCTAATTGTTGCATTACCATTTTTATGAGATACAAAAAGTAGCAGTTTCCTATTTTCTGAGCACATATTTAATCCATGAAGCACATTCTTCCTATTAAATGCAATCTGTCTAACTGCTTATAAACCAGAATCTTTTGCAATAGGTATCCCTAAGCAAATCAATACAAATATTGAGCTGAGCCATGGTAAAATATGGCTCATGAAAATGATATTGTGCAGTTTTCAGGAATTATTCCATTTGTGCACAGACACAGTGAATGATCAACTTTTTCCAAACAGACAGTGATCAGTGAGTCTTTTAATCAAGACCAAAACATGTCAAATAAGGGATATTCTTCCTTGCTGAGCTACACAATCTGAAGAGATTTTTATGATTTAGATCTGTACTATTCTATTGAGAAAAAAAAAATGTAACCCATTTGTTGAGGCACTGTTTGCAAGAATAACTCTCTGTTTATATCAGTTTGTATCAGTCAGATAGAAGAGGTCTTACTCTAATTTCCATGCTAGTTAATGAGTCAAACTCTTCCCTCAGTGAAAATGCACCAGGACTGAAGATACACAACTCACAACCAGCTTCACTGGTGCTGCAGGAGGAGGAGGAGATAAGGAGAGGGCAAAGAAAACCCCCAAACCATAACACTTTGACCTGAAGAAACCTAGGCTTGCTCTTAGTGATTTCAGTGAGAAGCAAATTAATTTCTTCTAAAATCATCATATGCAATTAATTAAGTCTATTAAAGTAGAATAATGCAACAGATTCTTTGTGGCCATTCATGCCATAACTCTGCACAGAAATTCATTATAAAGGCAAACATTAAACATAAGAGAAAGAAAAAACATATTTCATTGTGTCTCTGAAAGCAAAAAATAACCCTAAATAACTATGAATTAAAAGTCAAGTGAGGAAAAATTTTACCAGTGTTTTGTGGTTCTTTCTCTCTATTTTTTTTAAGCAGATTCAGTGACTCAATATCCTATCAAACCATACTGGGAATGAAGCAAAACCTTGGCTTTAATTTCATATTACATCCCACAGATGTGCAAATTTAAACCTCCCTCCTTGAATTCTCTTTGTGCTATCTGGAGACTGTTAAGATACAGTTCCTGTGCACTCCTCCTTTCTTTTCACTTTATTATACATGTCAACATTATGTCTCTGGCACCTGCAAAGAGAAAAGCTTAATAGTGCAGATTAAATCCTTGTCTGCATCTTCAGTTAGCTGTGACTAAAACTCAAGGGCCTGGAAGACAACTTGACTTTTAAACAGTTTAAAGGAGCAGCACTGTGGTGTCAGAGGGATCCAGCAGTTTGTGCTTTGGCTCACGCAGTGCCAGTGCTTCCCCTCAGAGAATCCCACACTTGGCACTGCAGGAAATCCTTGTTCTCAGCTCAGCCATGAAGAACAAAGCTCCATTTCAGTCCAAAAGTGGCTATCTTTGGGGCATTGCTGAGGCTTGCTAACACTACAGGGTGAGGAACCTCGCCCTGCTCCCGCCACAGCAGCTCTGTTTGGAGGAAGTCATGGCCAGGGGATGTCAATTTAGATTTCTCACAAACACTGAACTCCCAGGGCACTTCAGAATGAACAGAAATATTGCTTCATCTGGGTCAGCTGTTCTCATCTGCCTCCCTTTTCAAATACGTTTAGAGAAGTGAAAACGTGATCTATGAATTCTTAGAAAAATGCTGGCTGAAGTCACCAAAGGCTCTGTGAAAAGAAGTAGCTTATATATTCTCAGCACATGAAAGAACAATTTAGTTGTTCTACAGTATTTTAAAAGCAATCAAAATGAAGAATGAGAAACAGCTTGGGAACAACTGAAGCAATTTGCTACACACTCCTTAACACCATTAAACACAGCCTGGAAGAGTTAACAGAAACAGATAAAGAAAAATTAAAATTTTCTTTTGAAAAACAAAATTTGCCCAAGTATAATAGGCAATTCCTTTCCATCCTTAGGAAAAAAAGAAAAAGAAAACCAAACCAAAAAACAGGCCCAATACAAACTCTTCTAAAATCAAGGTTTTACCCATATAGTAACTGAGGAGAACAGAAGTAGTTTTGTTATTTGGAGATTTTGCCATCTTACAGACCCTTTATATTAACACTCTGGGTGTACTCCTGTAAGGCTATCATTCCTTAATAATTCAGTCTAAAAGTTGGCTAAGTGCTATAGGGGCAGTCTGTAATTTTGCTTCCCCTCCAGCTGCACATTCCCTTCCTGCAGTGCCAGCACACACCTTGCCAGGCAATGAACCAGAGGCAAAGAATGATCCAGATAGTAATTAAACAAATAAAAGAAACAGCAAAAGAAAAACCTTAAACTTCAGCTGGATGAGGCCACATGAAGATAGTGGTGGTGATGAGTGGAAGCATATTTAGATCACCTTACATATACTCCCAGTCTACATTATGAAGTTCTGCCCAATTTCTTCCAAAATATCAAGAAGCCTTTAGCAATCGAGTAAGTAGACATTTAACACTCCAAAAATTAAACAAGATTTTGAAGGTTATTCATAAAAGTATAAATTTTAATAAGCACTGAAGTTTCAAATTGGAGCAGGAATACAACTATCCCTTATTTGCTCTAGGGAGGGTGATCCAAACTATAAGGTGAAGATGCTAATGTGGAAACATTCATTTTCTGATTTACAGATACATAAGCATTGCCATATTAATATCTACCAATTGAAAAATGTATACCAACCTGTTTTTTTTAAATTTATTTATTGCTGTTCTACAGTCTAAAACTCTTAGTGAATTCCTAACAGAAATGCTTCTGAGCCATTAGTGAGATATGCAAAAATATGCAGAATTATAGCCTGAAGGAGATTACTCTAGAAATTCAAGCAAAGTGAGTTAACATATGCATGCACTAAAAGTTAACCTTCTCAATTCAGAGATTTAAACTTTAACTCTATGTCCTTCAGTTGCATCTGGATTTCAAATTGCAGCAGCAGGGATACAATTCTTAAATCTTAATTAGAGTGGCAAGCAGTCTGGCTCTAGGGTGAAGGAAAACATGGAAGGTGGGATTAAGCTACATACTATTTCATTAAAGAAGGGAAAGGAAGAAAATTATAGTATTGATGCTCCATCACTCTCATATTCCTGCAGTGTTTTCAGAACAGCAATCTTTAAGCATGAGTGCAAAAGCCTTGGAATTTCAGAGGGCCAGACAAAGAAGGAAATCAGTGGTGCTACGGTAGGAAGTTGTTCTAAACAAGTCTCCCTTAAGGTAAAACCAGCAATGAGTGTTTGTCTGCTGAGATCAAAAACTGAAGCAGAACTCTCTAACACTGTGACATTGGGGATATTTGGGTCTCCAGCACACCTTCACATTATGGACACAGGACATTACATAGAGGCCCTGGTTCAACCTAAAGAGAACTACACTGATGCTTACACATAGTGCATGATGTCCATATAGAATCCATGTTTTCAAAAAACAATGTCTTTCACTGCCTAAATTTCACCAACAGCACTTTAATTCATTCAGATTGCATGCATTAATTTATTATAGTAGGTCCCCTTTCTAGGTCCCCTTTGATGATGATGTAGCTTTCCAAGGCATGCAAAGGACAGGAAGGAGTGAGTGAAGGAGGGTCAGAATTATTAAACAGATTTTCTAAAAGGGAACAATTGCTAAATTCAGCAATACAAAGTATGTTCAAAATACACATTTTCCTACATAAATATTTACTCTAGAAATAAATGTTGTGCCAATCTAGCTACACTTACTCTGAAGTCCTTAACTTCCTTGTGTTCATCTCAGAAAGCATTTGCCCAGCAGAATATCTAAAAGTGTTTTAGGATAACATTTTTATGCTGCTACTGATTTATGAAATATATATTGCTAAGCTGAGGTCTTCCCCCTCCTTTTTATGTAACTGCCTTGCTTCTCTACTAGAATGAACCTTTCATGAAAGCCAGGATATAACTGAATTTTCTTTCAAGTCTTTAAAGCTTTTTAAAATTCATGAATTTCCTTATCATTTTTCAGCAAAGCAAAGTATTTCCAAATCCTTCTTTAACTTTAGTGTTTAGCATTAACATTTTAAATGTTACAGAAATTGAGTGGAATAAATTTTCACTTAGAAAGTGTCCAAATGGTGATGTTTTTTACTGGTAGTAACAAGTTGGTGTCAGTGTGTTTGGTTACCTGTTACAGAGCTCTCTAGATTGTCCATACTGGAGCCTGGAGTATGCTCTAGACCTCTTAGTGGCCTACTGATTTCTACAGTTTCTTCTTCAATATCATCCTCATCGTCATCGTCGTCTGGAACATCTGTTTCCAAATCTGAAATAAGGTTTCCAGATACGTATCCTAGGGGAGGAACTGGAGCCTGAGGAGGTTGTGTATTGCTTTGGATGTGCCTACACAAACAAACAGGAGAAGTTATCAGAATGGATGAGACTTTGCAGCCCATGGTCAATAAAACACAAGCCTTTCAACAAGTCCTGAAGTACATTTACAGAACGTGCTTGGTTTGGCCAAACTAAAGAAAATTCAGTTCAGTTATTCACTGCAGCTTCTAAGACCAGAGTGCCTGCACACTTTCCAGTCTAAAATAAAAAGAATAAAGATAAAATCCTCGAGGATGGGGAAGGTGAGGAGTGTCTTCTCACAGACAAAGAGCAATAGACACAGAGGCTGCATAAATCAGGTAGGAAACCCATGGAAAAGCACAGTTCTGAATCCCAGCCTAGCGCATAGGTGTCTCACCCAATATTCCCCCTTGCAAATCACACATTGAACCAAAGTTAAATCTCACTCCTTCCGCTTAAACAGATGCAGTGCCTGAAGCAAAAGTCACCCTAAAGAGGAGGAAATGGCCAGTAGGACAGAAGAAATTTTCAAGTCCAATGAATGCATCATCAGCGAGGCCTTTTCATTTTGCTTTATTCCAAGAAGTTTAATGGATTTAATTGCAGCAGTATTAGGGCATGCATGTGTGAAATTACTCCATGCAGCAATTACATAAAGCAAAAAAAAAAAAAGAAAAAAGAAGACAAAAAAGCATCCAGAGGATAGCTAAATGGCCAAAGGCAAGCATGGGATTCAGAGTTTGATGTACCTGGTCCCTGAGAGAAAAGAGCACCATCAGCTTTCAGAGCAGCAGTCCCCACAGCACAACAGGTACACAGCAAGCAGTGCCAGGGGACCCAGGCACGACTGGCCTTGGCACAAGAGCATGTACCACACTTGAAATTGCTAACTTAGGCACATGGGAATCCTTGGGTGGCTCTACATGAGGTGCTATGACCTGATTTGAATCGGCAGCACTCTGGATGGGATCCAGGATTCTGCTGGTCTCTTGCTTGGACATGAGTAAAACTGAAGAAATTACAATTGTCACCTGTTTGGCTCCCAGCTATAATACATTTTCAGTGGAGACCTTGTGCTGAATTATTGCCTGCATGAATGAATTATCTTTATTCAATAAGCCTTTTTTTTTTTTTAATTTTCATCATGTAAGTCTATCAGATATGAGAACGTCATGGTAAATGTTATGTACCACTGGTAACTTTCTCCACCTCAGTGTAGGTTTTACCTTATTGCCTATTCTGAATCTAATTTCCAGAACAAGTGCTTCCTTTCTGACATACAACCCCCTTCTGATTAACAGTTATTGAACACTTTTCTGCCTGGACACCAGGTTTTTAGTGTTTGACACTGTGTTCAAAACACTGGGGCACTAAAGGGCACTACCATCTAACTAACCCTTAATAAACAGTGTGATTAGCTCCTAATCAAGCAAAATGCTTAAGTATATGTTTAATGTTAAGCTTGTGATAGAACAATTGAAGTCAATTTCTCATGTACTCACAGTTAAGCATATACTTAAGTGATTTGCTGGATCAAGGCCATAATGATTATGTACTTTTCCAGTAATCTCTAATGGGCTCTTTCTTAAATTCCTAGTTGGCTGATGTCTGTATTTCTCAGTTGCTACACCCACAGTACCCTGAGACCCTGACAGGTCTCATTTTGCTGTTTAGTTTTCCCCTGTCTCTACAATGGGCAGGTTAACTTTGTGAAAAGAAGACTGAAAAAATATTCCTTCCCAGTCAAAACAATGGAGGACTTTCTACCAACTTTGACTAGCATGATACATTATCCAGCCAAAGAACAAAAATATATTAAAAATTCCATGTAATAAAAATCACTTGTATGTAAAAATCACTCCCAGCATTTAGCCCAATACTCAAAAGGTATGAAAAAAAGGTTATGTCCTTGTTTTGTTTTGGTTTTTTTTTTCAGACTTTCAGGCTCAATTACTGTGACTTTACACAAGAGCGACATTAAAATCTGTATAATCCTAAGCACATTATGAAACTTCCTGATCAATTTTCATTTCCCCAAAAAGGGAGCAAGACCTTTCCTGCCAGCTGCATGAGGCTTTGGTGTGGCGTCCTGCTCCGTTATCCGCGCCTGCGCTGGTTTGGAGTTTTGGAGGGCGTAGGAAGGGTAACAGCTGCACAATGCAGCAGCCACACACACTGTGTGGGTGTGCATCTGTGTGCTGGCTCAGAAGCCAGTGCCTTCACCAGGCCAGGTCTAGCTGCTGCCTGGGATTTGGGTCAGTCCCACAGGCAGGCTGGGGTCGGAGCTTGGCAGCGCGGCGCTGCAGCGGGACCGGGGTACCCTGTTGATCGAGTGCAGATTGCAGACAAGCCCCGAGGCTTCCACGGTGCCCAGGGAAAACAGCTGGCTTTGGTTTGGCACTGCCTGCCTACCTGCCTGATGTATTTATGGGAGCTCAAGCTGAATAACTTTGTGGCTTTATTTAGCAGGGAAGAAAGGCTGCTCCTCTGCTGGCAGCGTGCCATTCGGTAACTAGCTCTGCTCTGCTCCGCCGAGAGTCGCGGGCTTTGTCTGGGTAGAGGAGTTGGAAAAGGACAACTGCTGCTCAGGGAACATCCAGGAACCAAGTGACCTTCACCACGTCCCCAGCCTGGTGCAGTTGACAAGTTCTTTCTCAGTCCCTGAAGAGATTGCTTCTGTTTGTTTTGCAGGGGAAATGTTACTGTGGTATTTGCTTGCTCTTCCTTTAAAGAGGCATAAAGCACTCTGAAACACTAGATCCATCCTATAACTACTAACGACTTGCTTTCTGCTGTTTCTGGGTTTTTCCTACAAATCAGAAATTCTCATGGTAGTTCAAAGTACAGAGATGCAAATAATTCATTCTCATGTGACACAGTGTAAAAGCTGCCACATTACTATTCCAAGAAACTATCATTACTTTTAATCAGGAATTTAGACTCTTATTATTTTTGAAAATCCTAAAAAATTCCTGTCTTCTGCTAGCCTGAAAAGAGAGCACTCACAAGTGTATAAAAGCTGTCACGAGGTGGGTATTAACTACTTAGCCAAACAAGTGCAAAATTTTGGAGGAATATTGTTTTTACATGTTTTTAGACAAAATTTAGCATATTACCAAGTATTATGATTTAAAAAGCACATATGGATGTGTAGGGCCTTCCAACTGTGGGTAGAGTTTTGCTATTTCTTCTTCCATTTTCCTTCTTTGGAAACACAATTGAAACGCTGTTGAATACGGTCATTATTTATGTCAAAAAGGAATGAAGTATTGTTGTTGTTATTATAAATATTATTATTTCATTTCCCTGATCAGAGGTGACCCCTTCAAACATTTACCATGTCTGCTTTGCTATATCAAACTGGTAAGCCCTTGTTAACTCATCAAGGTGAGCTTGAAGCATTGGCTGCATCTCCTCTCGTGGAGAAGGCGTGAGAGTTGCAGTCGACTGCTGCCCAAAGGAGATGGCAGGAGATGAAGCTACTCCCCGGACAGGAGGTGTGGGGACACGATCATCATCTTCCTCAAGCTCATCTTCCATGCCCTGATGCAGGTAGGTCTGAACTGGCAAAGGTGGACACCAACCATCACTGTCATATCTACAATAAAAACCAAATAAACTTAGTGTATATTGAAACTCATCTCTGCTGCACAGTAGAAGGTGTAGAGGGTATACACAATTACTGATTCAGTTGGAAATCTTGCACACAGTGTGAGTTCTAAAATTTAATAAAAATAGGGTCTTAATTGCCTAGATTGTCCTTACTGAGTCAGTTTAATTTTTCCCACAACACCTAAGCAACTTGAATAAGATATGCAACAGAAAAATTACTGACCCATTATCACATTCATTAATGGTGATTAGATAATGTTACACCACAATCAACAACAAAAATGAACTAACTCACTTCCAGGATCGTTAATGTAGCAGAACGAATATTGACCTGGACATGAAAATAGCAGCATTCTTAAAAGGCAGAGCAAGCTTTATGTAGTAGCACTTATGCACTTATTTCACAGAATCCCAGAGAAAGCTGGGTTGAAATTGATCCACAAAGATCACCAAGTCCAACTCTTGGACCTGCACAGCACCATCCCCAAGAGTCACACCATGAGCCCAAGAGCATTATCCATTTACTTCCATCCTCCCCTTTATCTGTCTATGAATTTACCATTTGTTTCTGGTATGGAGCTTAAAAAAAAGCTCCACTTTCCTCATAAATTCTGGTCTTCCCACCCTGCACACGGGTGTCTCCTATGACGTGCAATACATCCATGTCACAGCAGCACTGACCCCAAGCATATGTTGTGTCACAGCACCAGCTGATAAGGTACATTAGCACACATGGTGACAGCTCTGCCAGCACCCCCACCTCCTAACCAATCTGTACTGGGACTTACCTAGACAGTGCTACATTTCTGAACACTTTCAACACACCTGCCCAAAGCAAATGGAAAGATTAACCACTAGGAGTATTCTTGGATAATAACAAATTCTTCTTTCTTCAGACATAAAGGGTGTCCTGGTAGGAGTCTGTGGTTTTTGCTGCCTTATACCATAGGTGTAAGGGGTGGTGCTATATCTGATCAGGGCTAGAAACAAAAACTTTATATTTTATTACCACTTCTTACACAAGTTTTGCCAGCAAGTCAATTCTTTTCAGTCTCTGCACTCATCAGAGGATCTTTCAATTCAGTGTTGTATGACAGTATCACCCTGGGATAATGTCCCTTAGAGACTCTGGCATCATTCCAGGTGGATAGGCCTTAGTGACTGTGGTCATTCCCTGTGCATCACCTCCCCAGAGTAATTCCCTAATCTGAACACAACTTCAGTTGTATGCAGCTTTGCTGACAATCACACCACTCAAATCTCAACTGTCTACTTTTTCCATCTTCAAAACATCCAGTCAGGCATCAGTCCCCTGAGCACCAGCACACATTTCTTCTTAACTTCTGGTGTATTCCAAAATAACTCAGGAAACACAGTTGCTTTTTTTTTTTTTCCCCCCCTCAAAACACAACCAGACAGCCACAAGCTCTCACAGCTCCTTCACTGTCAAACCATCACACACTCTAAAGGCCATTTCCCAGGCATCATCTAAGTCACTTTATCTTCTTCCCACCTTCAAAGACTGCTGACAAGGTCCTTTTTTCTGCAATGCAGGCAGGCAGTGCATTGCACGATACAGTTAATTTCTCAAACCAGCTTAAAAATACTCCTTTAAAGCTTCTGATTTGGAAGGAAGGATTTACCAATTTCCCAAAGAAAAATGAATTACTGTCAATTTTCTCAAGTGCAAAGCCAGGTTATAAAAAAGCTGGGAACACTGAGATGGAGAAGTTGCAAAACCTGTATTATGAACAGAACATTTACTTTCAGCAAAACCCAAGGATTTCTTAAATTAACTAAACTACTTTTTCCTTATTCAGAAGTCTGTAGTCTACATTTAAACACACAGATTCAGGACAGCTAAAACAACCTGATTTAATAATCCAAAAGTCCATGCACGATATATCTGGTAATTCACATTTGCATAAATTTAAATCTCTATATATGTAGATATAATCATAAACAGATATTCAAACACATATGAGCACAGAAGTGAAAATAAAGGCTGCTTCTTAACATCTGGCCTCTAGGAGAGGTTGAGTGATTGATCATTACCATTTTCATAACACAAAGATTTAAGAAAATGTTACATGATACATATTCGTCCTTAGCAAACAATTAAGATATGACCAGCTGTAATTTGTCTTTCCAAACAATATTTACTCAGGACATTTGCAACCAGGGCTGAAGGGACCATCCTAAATCATGCTGTGAAAACTGTGCAGTGAAACAGTCCTCTTGCTTCCTTTTGCTCTCTCAACCTCATGCTTTGCTATAATGCCTTCTTCTTTAAAAGGGACAGGGGAAAAAGGCACTCCCTGGTGACTCTGCAATGATGAATAAACCAGCTCTGGATGTCCTCGCCTTCTGACCCTACTCGCTTCAAATCCCCAAATGTTCAACTTGGTAGCAAAAAGGTTTCTTAGTAAAGAGGTTTCTCAGCGAAAAGATTCTGCAAAAGTACTGCACCTTTACCCAAATTTTGTTTGAAATGGAAAGCAGCCTAAGCCTGAAGTTCAGGACACTGAGAGTAAAGATTTCAGGTACAAGAACCTTTGTCTTCTTAATGTCAGGTGTCTGAAAAGCCACAAGCCCTAACCTTAATTTTAGAGAAAAACAAAATAAAGCAAAAACCCCCCAAAACCAACAAAGAAAAAAAAAAAAAGAAAAAGTAAACCTAACAGACTACATAGTAACTACATGCCACATAAGTGATAAAGCTATAGAAACATCTGGTATCACCATAGTGATTATTGGCCATATCCATGTTCTTTTTTGTTTTTTGAGTAAATCCAATGTGGTGAAAAAGCCACTTTTTTCAAGTACGCTTATTGAAATCTAAGTGCCTTAACTTCATTAGCAACCTCTGATTTTATTTTCATTATAATTAAGACCCTAATAAGTTCTGGTTAACAAACATGAGCTTCTATTTTTCTAATAAGTTTTATTGTACTGTCAGCACTACTATTCTATAGCAATCTTTTACTATTAAAATCCCTGATTCATTACATTAATAGATTTGTTCCTTTAAAATATAAAATAAAGGTGATAGATACAGGGCATATTCTGTAAAAACTGTGTTTCATTACACAAATTGTTGCAACAAATGAAGCTTCCCTCCCTGGAACTCACCAGAAAGGACTTTTTGAAGTAAAAGGTACTACTTCCTTAACTTTTCCTAGAGACAGACCATAAGTATCAAATATATTGACATTCAGCAGCTAATATTCCGTTTTGAGGTGTAAACAATAGCAAGAAAGAGAAAAAAACAAATGACAATATGCTGACTGCCTTTACTGGGTTGGCTCAAGATCATGCATATTGTTAGTGAAAAATCAAAGTAAAAGATAATGAGTAAGAAACAAGCATTTCTTTACTGTCAAGTTTACATAAAATCAAGCAAAATCATCTTCTCTGAAAATGGTTGGAAAGGGAGCATGTCAGTTTGGGAGCTACTATAGGAAAATAGAAACTTAATTGGCATAAACAGGCTCTTTGCTGAGGTTAAACAGGAATCTAAGAGATCCCCAAAGCTACCACATTGTATAACAGGGCTAGCTGGAATAAGATATTCACTTTTCCTTCTGCAGTTTATGGAAAATGGGAGGCAAATGTCAACCCTAGTGCCTCTAGGAAATAGATGGTACAGAAAACTGAGTGTATTTTTTTCTGTGATAGGTGAAGTTAGGGGTTTGTTTAGGTTTTTTTATGCCACTTGGTATTGTGGATTATCTTTTGCAACTCAGCAGTCCACTAGTGCTTATAAGGCCACTAGCACTAATCTCTAGTAAGCAAAACTAGGTGTCAACAGCTTTGAGGTTTTTTTGTGATAATCATTCCAATGAAACTTACATTTGAATTTAATTGTTATAGGAAGACACACAGAAAAACAAGTTTCTGTTTAGGTGCCACCCTCCTTGTTTTATTGCTCTAAAATTAAAACACTTTGAACTTGTCACAGAGTAAATCAAAACAAACCAAGGGGAATAAAAGAGTTTAAAAAATGTGGCTTTTTTTTTTTTAAACTAGTATGCCCAAGGCAACATAAGGAATGCAGTCTGTGATTTTTTTTCCCTTCTAGCATGTTGAAAAGCACAGAAACAAGACCAACCCCTAAATACAGAAGGATTATTAGTATTGGAAGCATCCTCAGAAAGTATGGGCATTGCAGATTCAGTCTTCACCAAAGGTGGTTGCAAATTACTGTAGCTCCAGACTGAGACTCTAAGTTCAACCTTCGAATTTTTCTGTGTTTGGTGAAATGCATGTAACAAAGTCTTGCTACCACCACTAATGAGATATTTGCTAATGAGATATTACAAAAACCAGAGAAGAGCAATTCAAGGCATAATCAGAGGAAAAAACTAAGTCTGAATGGTTGTGAACCTGGAGGCTGGTGATTACCTTCTCCTTAAATAACCAATGTTGTCTTGGTGACCAACATCATTCCTTCCAGCTAAATTACAGATGCTTTATGCAACTGAGGAGTCCAGCCCTATGCCACGAGGGATTTCTCTATAAGGTATTTCCATTTACCTTTAATGCTATTTCATTATTCTGAAGAAAATCCAAGTGATTTGCCTTCTATTGCACAATTGTTTTAGTGAAACGGTTGCACGTGTGTTTTAAGGATATAAACCGATAAAGACAAAATTATTTTATGGTGAAACAATTTAAAATTTATTTTAGCCTCTTATAACAGAATACAGAAGACAATGATTAAATGAACTTTTTGTTTTGAGATTTCAACAACACTCACAATCAGTAAGGTTATTAATTTTCCTTTACTTTGAAATTTTAACTATACAGCCTGAATGGGCCTTAATTTTAAGAAGAACTTCACTGACTAACACAGTCATTTATTGCTCATTATAAGAGTCAAAGGAGTTGGTATAAACTGAAACAAAATGGAATTTTTCTAACTTTAATTATGAAAGTAGTAATGATCAATTCCCCCTTACAATTGAGATAACAATTGAAGTATTTTTATTCAGTAAAGCTATTACAATGTATTCTTAAAAATGTTTCATCCTTGGGAAATATTGATTAATCCATGTATTGAAACAGACAGAAATTTGTCCCTGAGAGAAAAATTACTCTCAAAGACTCCAAAAGAGCTACTCACAGTAAACTATGTTTTTATATACTCTGATTTACCTCCAAAATTTGATAACCTGGTACACAACATAATTACACTTTATAAAAAGCAATTTGTAATTGTTGTCTGTGTAGGAAATGTCTCTTTCCTCTCATTTAGCACTTCTTGTGTGATTTTGTGTCCTTGAAGACAAGTTTGAGCTATGCAAAATTATGTTGAAGGTTCCAGAAACTTGAAAGTTGTTTGAATAATAACAAAAAAAGCCTATAATTAGCATGCCTTCCTCAACTGTGAAATTTCTTCTAAAAGCCGATGAGAAGATTATTATCCATTGGTTGATCTTCAAAAATTAATCCAATTTGGTGGGGTTTTTTTTTTTTGTTCTGTTGGCTCTAATATTTTTAAACATCAAAGCAGTGAAAAAGTACACAGAGTCAGATTATGTCATCCTTACTCACTCTGAGTCCCATCAGCTGCATGCAATCCCAGAATTCAATTAAGCTACCTGTGAAGTGAGATACTTCTCAGCATGAGAAAGCACTGAAGCCCTACATGATGATGAAGCAAGGTCACTTTTGTTTCCATCTTCAGTCACTATCCAGAGAAGTTATTCAAACATTCCTCCTCCACAGCCTTGAATCAGTCTACAGAATAAGTTGTTCTCTTTTTTTTTTTTTTAACAAATCAGAATAATATTGTCACTTATCAAAATTAAAAAAAAAAAAAATAGAAAAGGACTCATTTCTGCAAATCACAGATTTTTCTTCAAAAGAAAAAGAAAAAAATAATTTACCCTGCTTCTTGCTGATCCACCCCATAGTGTTCCAGCTCTGTGCCTGGAAGTGGCTGCACAGGAGGGGGTGGGAGGGGAACACTGGCCCAGGTTGAACCATTATTTTTCTGGGGCTTGGTAGTATTTTTGTTTTTCTTCTTTTTCCCTCCTTTGCCACCTGCAAATCCAAAAAAGAAAAATAAAAATGTTAGAGGTATAATGTGGAAAAAAAGGCCAGCTATTTACATTTCTTTGACAGAATTCTGATTCCAGAGCACATGCCCCAAAAAAGAAGATGGATTTATATCTCAGCAGAATCAGCATCAACGTGCTAATGCTGTCACAAGGTTATAAGTAATAAAAGAGTGGAATGGGGAATATTCTGAATATTTACTGAAAAACACTTCTTTTTAAACCTCTGTACATTTGCACCACAGTAGTGCAGAAACAAGGAAAGACAGGTTTTCCTGTATAAGAAATATATTTCCTGTTTTATTCAGGTACACTTTATAACTTCTTAAATTCGCTCTTAGATAAAATTATAATAAAACACAGCAAATTATTTCAAATGTCAGAATCCACTGTGATTATAACACAGTTTTGCATAATCACTTACTGTGGAAAACATGGAGGTTAAGGACACCATCCAAAAAAACTGTCATTGGAGTCAAGAACTTCCAAGGTAAGAGTAAATTGTCAAAACAAAAGAAACAGGGTTTTGTTGTTAGGAATTTCCTAATTTCTGGGTTTTTTTTAAAGAGTGGGAAGTTGTGCAATATTTTAAGACTGACTGTTTCACAGGATTCAAATGTCTTGCGCCACTGTCGAGAAGAGGTTTTATTTCTGAGATACAGCTCTAATGGATGAGGTAGAAATGCAGTGAGCAATGCATTTTGGTTAAACCCTCTGCTCTTATTGTCCTTGGATCCACTTCCCCAGCTGAGACACTTCCATTTGTGGGAGAGTGATCTTACAGAGAAAGCTCTCATCCCACTTGGTTTGCTTCTTTTATTTTTCCCTGACTTCTTTTTCTTGTCAAGAATTCATTAAGAGGAAGAACGGCTCAACATTTTGAATCCCTTGACCGCTTGGGGACTCATCTATTTTTTGGAACTTGTTGTGGCTTTCAAACTCTTTGTTGGGTGGAGGAATGGTTTGTCAGATGCCTTTTCAGTGGGGTTCCCAGCTGCTCTCACTCATCCCTGGCCTGTTGCAGAAAGCACAGTCTAATCCATCTTACCCACTGATGTCTCTTGATGATTTACAACGATCAGCCAACAAAAAACCCTCACATAAAAATGAATCACTGAATCTAGAAAGCCACAACTGACTGGTCAGGGAGGGTGGCACAATGTGCACTGGCAGGCATCACCCTCTGTGCCACGGCTCAGAGAAACACAGAAGGAGGTGCAATTCTAGTGACAGAATTAATTAATAAGACAGTTCCCTATCATGGGACTTTTTGTCTTTGAGACGGTGAGTCACAGGCTTTCTTCTGTTACCTCCAAACGTCACCTGGATGAAAACAGGGACAAATAGAGAGGGAAGAAAAAGGTGATTCTGTGACTCAGAAGTAGCTAAAACTTGTATTTTCACCTCCTGTTGTGCCTGCTAGAGACAGGCAACCAGCCCAGTAATATTTCCAATCGACCTGGCTGGCAGCACATTGGAAGCTTTCCACTACTCAATTCCAGACCAATTCTCTTCCTTCCTTGTTTTGGAGTATTTATAATAAGTCCAGCCAAGATCCTGTGATTCACTATGTGTGAACTGAGCTGATATTACTTCTATTAGGATGGAAAACAGACTCTTCCTTCCCTTTGTAGCCTGGCAGAAAGGACAGCTTTCTTGAAAATGGAAAGAACATTTTGACCGGTGAAAAGAAACCCCAGCGACAGTGGAGATAGAGGAACAAATATATGAACCTTCTGGAGGGAAAGTGAAGCTTTCAAAGCACAGGTAAGGCTAAAAAAGTGGAGTTAGAAATAGGGTCACTGAACAGTGCAAAGAAAGTAGGTTAATTTTAGTTTGTGGGACATGGAGAAAATTTTTTAAACGTCAGCAGGAGTAGAAACCAACAAGAACTAAGGCAGGAGGGGCTGCTTTAGGAGAAAAGCACATGCAGATATTTTTATGTTGCAGGAGGATTTAAACTAGGAACACACAGAGAAGGGAAATGCAAAGAACAACTTCAGCTTAGAGATTAGTTGAGGTGGAGAGGAAGATTTTAGAAGTGTAGCATCTTGATGATCTTAGGAGACTGGTATAATGTAGGTTGACGTGGAGTGCTAATATGGGAGTCACTTGGATTTTGGGAGTTTCAACGAGAGAAATTAGAGATAATGGAGATATTAGAAGGAGTGAAGCAGAGAGACAAGGGACTTGTTTAGATGAAGAAATGAAAGAAGAGAACTCCAAGGTCATTACTGGTAGAGGAAAGCAGCCTACACTGTACAGTTGGGTAGAATATTTCTTTTCTGTCCCCATGGACAGAGTTATTCCACTGTCAGACTGGTGGGACAGACACCAAACACATAAAGCCTGATTTGTGTTTGAAAACTGATGCACCAAATCTTTGTTTCCCCATAGCAACAAAGCCTGATGCTTCAATGTCTCCTCACACTGAAATTCAATTATATTGTTTAAATCTCCAGGTGAATCGGGTACTGGAGAAAGAATTTGCCATCTGGGCTGCTGATCCTAGTACAGATATAATCTGTGCAAACTATAGCTACAAAATTTCCCTGCCTCATAAAGCAGTTGAGGTTTTAGCTGTTTTCCATTCCACAGTGGGATAGGGATTCTCATGATATTCATGTAAGAGAGACAGAAACTTAGTCAGAATAATAAGTGGTACCTAAAGTACTAACCAAGGAAGTGAGAGAACAAATCCCTGCTCCCCCTGATGGGGACTACATAATCAAAGCTGGTCTCTGACTCCAGTGATGCTCTAATTATCAGACTATTTGAAGGTCTCCCCCAGTTTCTTGTGTATCACAGACATAATTATCCTGCATCAAAGGCATAATTAGTGGGCAAGGGAGAGCAAAATACTGACTCGGCAGTCCAATAATCTGGCACTCATCTGAGCACTGGGGCATCCAGTTTTGAGCTGCCTTGGTCAAAACAAGAGTGCCCTGGCCATATGACTGACTATATCCCCAAGTTTCCTAGTGTCATCAGGAAATTCACTTCTGGCTGAGAAACACTACACAGAATATGTGGCATTTGAAATATTTGATCAAAGTCCAGCCTTTGATCAAAAAGGGCACTTTCCAGTGACACTTCCTATTTCCTGAGAAAATTCTTAGGCAACCTTAGCTGTTAACATATCTAAAGTGTGATACTGCCCTCTGATTCCTGACATATATGTGCCTCAGCACATCAATTTCTGCATTTCCATGCAGCCTGGGGAGCAAGCTGATTTCCTAAGCTACTTGTCAATATATCTCACATGCAAGGAATAAGAAGCTTTCTTGAAGTATTTCAGCTTCCAGATACCTCTCTGACAATGCCATAAGCCTATTTTTTGGTCTCAGTCAAATCAGCTAATGCCACCCCTTGTGAACACAAGACTTGCAAACACATTTGACTATTTGAGTCATGGGCCAATGATAATAGGCTTCTTATCTCAAGATTCAGTTTGAATAGTTATTTAAATTGACAGAAAGAAGCTATTTCTAGGTTTGGTCTGTTACTGGGAAAACTGCTCCAGCTTAAAGTAGAAATTCCAAAAGCTGTGGATATATTCTGAATATCAAAAAGTCCATTCAGTGCTCTCATATTTCAGCTAGGTGAAATCCCAGATTTTCATCTTAACTGTTGCCTTTTCAGTTTTTGCCTTGACAGAAAAAAAAAAAGACAACTATACATAACATAAGCAACAAGTAAGCAAAATTAAAGGAATCAAGAAACAAGGTGTGCTCAGATATAACACACAACCACATGTACTATGATCATTTTCATCTGATGAAAATGCATCATGTTTCCAATAGAACATGCAGCACACACATAAAATTTACATCCTGTTTGTAGGCAAACTTGGCACAATTTGTTGAAACCCCAGTCACCTTTCAGGGCCCTACAACTATTTCCAACCTGCTTCACTGTGGAACAGCTTGTGGGAATGGGGTATCTGTTAACAACTCAACAAAAATAAGAATCCCCTCATTAAGTTCAGTGTGGGGAGACCTATAAACTGAGGATGGATGCAGAAATATATTTGCTCCACAGATTGTTTCAGAGAAAGGATGTGACAAGGCCAGGCTGGCAGCTGCGCCGAGAAGCGCACACATGGAAGGACTCTCCAGTCATCTCCAAGTAGGTCCTGCAAAAAGCTTTTTTGTTTCAGCAGAGACCCATGTGGCACTGCTTGCTGATGGGCAGGAACTCTCATGACTATCCTCAGCTGGTGCCTGGGAGGTGTTCTGCCTCCCTGGCGAGCCGCTGGCCAACACCCCTCCGTCCCTCGCTCCCCTGCGCACGGCGACAGAACCAACCTGAGAGGCTGCCACTCCTTTCGGAGCTGTTGTGGGAGCTGGTGGTGCTGAAATCCTGTGACTGGTTGTGTGGCAATCTATTAGCCAGTCCCTCAGCCACCCGGTAGTCAGGGATGTAAAGCAAGGCTAAGGGTTAAACGGCAGAGGTCACAGTGGCATCGTGGGATTAGTTGACAGCACAAGCACATGCGACACATGCAGTTAGCAAGTCAGGGGCAGATGGCGTGGGGAGGCAGGTTTTAACTTGGTTATTTTTAAAGGTACACCTACCCTAGCCTAATGGAAGACAGATGGCTTGGTGACTAGCACAGGACAAAGAGCATTAAAAGCACAGGGCAATGTATTTTGTGATCAGGTGAGGTTCAGCACACATGCAAGGTGTGTGGGCATTAGTTCAGGTCAACATGAACAGTGTCTCACAAAGCTAAAAAGAATTTTCTAATTCATGCACAGATGATACAGTACACAAAGCCAAGGGCTCTGGAAAATAAGAGCTGCAATTACCATTGTTGCCTTTGCCTTGGTCTGGGAGAGAGTAACCAAATCCCATGAGGTCATTTTTTTGCTGAATTGAGCTTTTCCACTGCGGATCTGGTAAATCGACGGCCAGCTCGTGGATGCTGTTGGAATGCAGGATCTGGGTGGTGGCATATGGCGTAGCCTGGGTTATTTGGCTGGAGCTGTTGTAACTGGTTTTGGTGGTGAAGTCGATGCTGCTGTAAATGGCTCCATCAGAAAGCATGGTAGCGGTTTTATCTCCTTGCCCTGGCACTGGTGGCAGCACATCTGTGGAACGAAACAAATCACTGAGGCATGGGAAGCCTGCAAGTACCAAGGTTTAAGCCGAGAAATAAACGTGTCATTTTGCACGTTTGCATTTCAGCTGAGACAGGCCCATGAGCCAACGAAGGGAAGATGATGTACAACCATGGCCAAGCTTTCAGCAGCTGTGACAGGCCTACCACTTGTCCTTCACGTCTCACTGCCTAAAACCATCTTTTTTTTTTTTTTTTTCTTCCTCATACCTTCAACTGTGAAAGTGAAGTTTGGAATATTTCTCTACTGAAGAATGTTTTCAATTGCTCACTCCATGTCAGAACCAATGAAACTGTCTGGGCTTCAGGGAAATGATGAAAGAAGAGAATTTACAAATCATAGAGGGAACTTGCCCAGCAAATATGTAGAAAAACTCTCAAAGTAATTTTTTAAGGGCATCACCTTGATTTCCTTGAAACTTTTTGCATCAGCTTATCTAATTTTCCTTTTGACATTAGCCAGTACATTCCTTCTTTTCAACAAAAGAAAAACCTGGCAAAAAAAATGTTATTTGTGATACATGAACGATAATTTGCTATTCAGAAAGGATTTAGGTGATCAGACCCTCAAAATGGCGAAGCAATGTTGATAATGGAGAACAACTTGTTCAAAATCTCCAGTACATTTACCTGAAAACCATTACAGCATATTTAACTAAATATCTGCTGAGTTTTCCCAATATTTTGAATCCTATCCCACACAGCAATTTGTATCTTTAATCAGTTAGATTGGCAGTCTCTCTCCTTACTAAACACTGAAGTGACCTTTGCTTGTGGAATACTAGATCTAGAAACTGAGACTAGTGAAGTGTGAAGAATCTAATGATGACTGACATGATGTCCCAAGGAGAACCACAGCTTAGCAGATAACCCTCCTTCCTGCTCTCTCAGAAGTCAATATCTCAAATGGTACTATTTTTACAATTTATTTAGACTCTGAAAAGTTGAATCAATTCCAGAATGTACTTCTTTAAAAAATCCTTCATTTATATGCCATTTTCTTTCTACAGCCAGATGGCAGATACAGGTTCCAACTGTTAGATCACTCTTGAGATAATGAACACTCCTATAGGGAGGATGTTCAGATCCTATTCTAGGGATAACAGCCATTTTTATGTACCTTAAGCCCCAGAAAGAAAAGATGATTCTTGCACCTAGTCAAGGGTTTAAGCTCAGTTCCAAACTCAGATGTGGGTTTTGTGCAACCTCAGGGAATACATCTGTTCTCTCACTGTCTCAAAGACTTATCCAGCAATGAGATGTGACACCATGGTCTCCTAACACTGACTTGGTATTTTTTGTCTGCTTTAGTTTTTTTGGGGTTTAGCATTTTTTTCTTTTCCTGGGATGAACATTTAGATCACAAAACTACTCTCTCTTGCATTCAGGTGTGCTACAGTGAACATTTTAACATGGCCCTAATAACATCTTCAGTCTCAGGGCAGCAAAATAATATTAACAATAAATATGGCAATAGCAAATGTTCAGCAGAGACACTGCAGAAAGAGAGATTAAATTTGGGTCTATCAGCATGATCTGGTTTTGCATACAGCAGGGAAATGGGCACAATCAAGTATTTAAAAGATCTTAATTATATTAACTTATATCTGCGGATAAATTTCAAGTGCAAAAAAATTACAATTAATGCAAACTATAGCCCATATTTCAAAATCATGTTGGTACTATCTGCACATATTCAATTTTGTTTGTGCTTTCCAGGGGCAGTACACAAACAAAAATGCATCTATGTGCAAATACAGCATGAGATGTGAGAGACAAGTGCAGTCCTATTTTTCTTGCATTTCATCCACAATATGAACATTTCTCCTTTCTACAATCAGCTCTGTCAAAGTATAATGGCTTGAAGTTTAGTAAATAAATTCTGTTGTTGATGTATAAAGTGAAGTAAATCCAGCTCAACCTGTCTGTGTTGGATTTGAAGACTCAAGGAAGTAAAAACTAGCAAAATGCTCATCACTGAAGTACTCAGACATACATCTGTCTTTTAGAGCATATTTTTGGCAACTGAAGAGGTATCATGTCTATACAGTCATTTAAAAATGGAGAACTATTCATGTGTACACACTTGAAAGGGAAGTTGCATAGCTGCCCACCAGCCAAGGACTTTCAGTCATTCTTACTGATAAGCTGAGGTTCTCCAGACTTTCTGGGAATTTTCAGTACAAGCACAGATTACTTTTTTAACCTCAGTGAGATGCATACATTTAAGCTCTCAAAGAGCTATTAAGTAGAGATTTTACAAAGTGCCATAGTCACCGAGTCAAAGTCAAGTGTGATTTTCCCAGCAAGCTGTCACAGCAAAAACACCACACTGTACATTTCAGACCAAAGATGAAGATGCATTTCCCACTGGAAACCTTCCCCAAGACTCTCCAAAATCCAACTTCTGCTATAACTCTTGAGATAAATGAAATAGTGCTGAAATACTTGTGCAGGGAAGCTCTTTCTTGCTGCCTTGGAGATGCAATACCATTTTGTGGCCTTACATGACTCCAAGCCTCACCTGTGCTTCCCACTCATAGCCTTGCTCTCAAATGCCTATCTAGGACAGTTGATCTCACTCTTAAGGGAAATTTTAGGACTGTCTGCCTCAGCTTCTGAGTTTCCAGGTTGAGTGATGTCACCCAACTCTTTTTTAAAATTCTTACAGAACTTTTATGTTATTAGAGACCTTTTAACCAGTAAAAGAGGCACAAGCTCCATCTATATAGTTAATATTCCCTCTCTACATGTTAAAATCTTCCAATCCATCTTTATGCAGAAACATCTAATCTCAGCTTCTGAAAGAGATGGAGATAAGTGATCCCAAACCACCCAGAATAAAAGTTTCAGCTCAACTGTAAAGATCATGGGTGGAATTAAGCTGCAGAATTTTAAAGTGCAACTGTTATATCTCTTGCATGAATTTGGACTTATACTTCATGCATATTGAGGCCAAAAATTAAAAAAAAAAAGCTTCCAATTTCAGTTGTATAGACCCAAATGCTAAAAGAAAATGGTAATTTTTCTGTATTATGTAGGCTTAAGAAAAGATGGAAAAGTACTGAAGGGTTTTATTTTCAAGATATTCGCAACAAAGAAGCTGGCAGAAATTCAGTTGCCTTGTAAATATTATCAAAAGTTTTGCTTGCTCTTAAATATTTTTGACAAGAACTTTACAACATTTTTATACAGAATATAAATCTAGTGTGTTTTGTTGTAATTTTAAGTCACAGTAGTCAAACCACAGGCAAGAGGCTTTTCATAGGAATGTATAACCAGTATGATGGATGGTCTTCAGAAGCAGATTCTGACCAGCATGCAGAATTAGCTGAGTTCCTTGAGAAACCAAGGAAGGAGTAGAGAGATGTGAATATTACTATTACTTTTAAAAATCCCAATCCTACATATTAAAATTCCCATTTGAGTTAAATGTTTGAAATGAAATAAGCCCTCTAAAGATTCCTTCCTCATTGTAACAATACATCTTTATCTCACTCCCCTAAAGGTGCTCTCTGAAGTCAAAATAGAAACAAAACTCTAAAAGATCTAAATAATTCCCTTTTATGTATCCTTTCCTCCAATGAAAAAGAAAGTTGTTTAACATTTTTGAGATTTTCTTCACAGATTATGGTTGACACTAATAGGAGACTCTCAGCAGGAAGAGGATGGGTAAGGTGACAGCAACAAAGTTCTTGTGTCCTTCTGCTGAAGGAACATCTTTCCTGCATCTCCAGTGTTCTCTGCTCTTATGGACATCCTCCATCCCTGGCTATACTGCCCTGCATGGCACACTGCTCATCTCCACAAAAAAGGGAATGAGGTTGAGACCCAAACACATTTCCCTTGACATCATAATCAGACCCTGTCTCACCACTGTGGGGCAAATTACAAACCAGACCTACATTTTTAAAAATTAAAACGAGATTAAGCAAAAGGAACATTTTAAAGTCAATTTTCAATCAAATCTAGAAAAAAATAAACACATAGAAAGAACTATAATGATAAAAATATTATACAGTATTCATCATAGATGTTAACTAATGGAAGCCTATTTTATAATATCGGGTGACTTAATAAAAGGAAACCTACCTCCACGACCAAAATTCCCAAGATCATTGGGTCCACTAGTACTGTTATTTACTGGCAGACTTGTGGCAGGCCAAGAGTCTGCAAGCCAAGGATAACTGGGGTCACTGGCATTCAACAGACCTGGTCGACTGAAGCAGAATAAGAAAAAGAGATATACACACAAATATATACATATATATAAAATTACAATACCTGTGAGATAAGTAGTGATAGAAGAGGGCATATTACTGTTCTTCTAACACCATAGGTAACTAACAGTTTAGGAGACTTTAATTTATTTCAAATTACAACTGTATAGCCTTTGATGATTTAAAGACCTTGAGCAGTTAATTAAGGTTATATACAAATCAACTTTGTCAGTAGAAGAGGGACTAGGCATCCGTCGTGACTCTGCCAGAATCCAAATGAACTCCGTTGTCTGTGTGAAACAGGAGTTAGGCAGCACCATCATGGGATCCTACGCCAGGGCTGAATGATAAATTACCACCTCAAGGGAGCCATCACTCAAACTGATTGCTCCATATCAGCCATTTCCAGGACTTTGGGCTACTATTTCTTCCTTCCCTTGCATCCCAAATGCATGCCTGTCATCTACAGGCTGGTAACTCTTTCTTTGAGCACTCTTGGATGGTTTAGAGGCGAACAGGTTTGAGGAGGATTAATGGGAAGTCCACAGCTATCTCTGCGTGCCACTGCTGCATGGCTTTCATACCCCTGTAATTCCCACTCTGAGAGCAGTGTTAAACAGGGAGCATGGTGAAAGAGAAGGCACACTCAGGCCATGAGGCATCGTGCCTCTCTCGCCCCAGGAAAAACCAAAATTTAGCAAGGCAGGTGGATTGTTTGTGTGCGTGTTCAGCAGGGGAAACAAATCATTTGCTGCACACACCCTTTCCTGCCACATGAAAACAAAAAGCCGTCCGCTGTGCCGCATCTTCCCTGGGTTATTAAAGCACTGGTGAAGTTGGAGCAGCATCTCCCATCACTGAGCATTCCAGACCCCTGCCTGGAACAATCCCTAAGAGAAACATCGGTTTCTATGGCAACGGCAATAAGACGGCCCAGCCGCATTCTCGCCACAGCTACTCGCTCTCATTAGGCCTAATCTCTTTTTGCTAAAATATTGATTAAACAGGAGATTGGAAGTTATTACCAGGGCCTAATTACAATCTCCATATTGGCAAAGGGAAAATAGATGAGGATATATGGGCCCGTTATCAGCTTTTATCAATTTCAATTGAGTAGCCAAAGTTGTGGAATCCAGTCCTATCAATCTACAGCCTATTCATCATCCATGAATCATTTATTTTGTGATCGATTAAGTGTAATTGTTCACTCACAGCAATTTAGGGGGAGCCAATAAGGAGTCTTAAACAACAGCAACTTCATTTGCTAATGTCTAATTAATGCAATAAACATCCCAGTAACAAATGAACACATTCTTTTTGATATTTACTACTCATTTCTTCCGGGACATCTGGGAGATATGAAACATCTGGGCCTGTTTCTTCCAAAGTGCACAATAGATAGGTCATTAAACCTCGTGGTAAGCTACTTAACTCCTCCTAGAGCTATCAGTCTTCCCAATGATGGGCTATAACCCAAGTGCATCACCTATAGCATTTTTCAGACCCCTTACTTTAAAAATAAACACAGTGGAAAGACTTTTATACAAAGAAACATACCTTCCATTGCTCATTAGTCCTCCATCTCCTCTTTGGAAGGTGACTGTGTTTTGGTTGGAAAAAACAAAACAAACAAACATACACACACACATATAAGACAGGGAAAAATCAATTAGTAATAATCAAACAAGTCAAACTGCTCAGTGTCCGAGGTCGGAGGTCTCTTGGCATCATCCCATAATAAAGTACAAAAGTGACAAGAAGAGGCTCAAGCACACTGGGGCTACAGTTCATTTAGGATTTCACGGCACATCACTGATTGACAGGACATTACTGATTGCTCTGTACCTTGCAAGGCAAAGCAGCCACCTGGGCAAAAGGCCTGAATCCACCACAGGCCCCTTCATATGACTTTGCATTGCAAGTCTGAGCCATGTGATCAAATTGTTTTCTTGGCATGCTTCTGCTTCAGTACATAATGACATTGCAGCAGTGAGTTAATAACATCATGTCGTAATGCAGTAATATAATGTCACCACACAAATATGTCATTTCCCAGGACAAACACAAAGAGGTGGCAGCTCTATTACAGCTGAAGGGATGGAAAAAAGCTGCACCTTTTCCATTAGAAGTATAGTTTAAGAACCAGCACTCACACATAAATGCATACATGCCAGTGCCACTGGGAAGAAAAAGTGTTTCCAGTCTTCCATCCATGGGGGATGCCAAGGACATAATCAGAGGGAGACAATTGTTTTTATCCTTCCATTCATGGGTGTTTGACAAAAACCAGCCTCTCCCTTATCTATCTATTAACAGGATTACATTTCAGGGCAATATATGTAAACCCACATTACTGGTGAGATGCTAATTGACAACATTTGATGATCTTTTCTGAAACACTGAAAAAATATTTTGAATCAAGGCCAACAGACTACTCTGGTTCTCAGTGGCAATATCCCATTATTTATTGTCAGGCATAGATAAGGCAGACTATTAAATTATACCAATGTCCTGGACACCTGCAGCCTTAAAGGCCTCTGACTGGATGAGGGTTTGAATTTCAGTGAGGAATGGAAGAGTTTATGACCAGCTTAATTTAAAATAGACCTTCACTTGGAAATACTATTTACCTTTGTAAGACAGGTGGTCCCATCAGTAAATTACAGCTCGCAGAGTATTTGCAAGATTTTCCAAGTATTAGTCCAAACTACTCGAACTCAGGATTAGGCTTTCTATTACACACTAATCAGACAAAATTACTACAGCCAATAGAAATTCTGTGTTCCTTAAAAAAATAATGAATGACATAAAGCCACTGGGAAAACTCTTCTGATACCTTATAGAATCCTTGTTACTTTATTAACTCCTAGGGTAATTTCACAGTGTACATTCAGCAAAGGGGACAAAACTGGCCCCTCTGGAAGCTCTGGTGGAAGAATAGTAGGGTGATTAATTACCCTTCACTGCACAGCAGACTAATACCAATATCAGAAAATCACTGCAGTCAGATGTCACATCAAAATGGTTAAGAGCTGAATTTTGAAAGGGTGTAATCAAACCAATTAATGGAAAGAAAATCAAAATGCAAGTATGGAAAGTACTAAATAAAGGTCTCCTTTGAAAAACAAGACATGGTAAAACATTGTGGGTAATTAATTTTAGAGGCACTGCTACTTTCATTCACATGGTATCTAACAGGCTGTCAAATGACTTCCACTCATTGCTTAAAAGTGAATAATCTGAAGTGCTGTGCATATCATATGTGATTATGCAAAGATGTGGGTACTGCCTGGCTTTGTTTCCAAGTATCTTGGTCAATAGTATATTAGATGCTGTTTCCTTCCTCCTCCTGTCCTCCCAGTTTAATACTTGATTTCTCCAACTTTCTGCATTATTCAAAGTGACAAGAAATAAGGAAAATGAGAAACAGAGGCTCGTTTGATAACAACCTTTATAAATAAAGTTTACAGATCTAACAGAATTGCAATAAAACACATTTTCTGAAAACTGCTTGGATTAATGCTCTTGTTAGACTGTCATGTATCAGAACTTATTTTTAAGTATAGCATGTACAGGTGTGTGAGCTTTTAAATGTGCATGTCATATGAAAAAAGCAAACAAACATTATTTGTGGTCTACAAAATATTTATATCCCCTTGTACCTTTATAAAGCAAAGCTAAAACTGGGGAACTAGCAGGAGATTTCAGCAATGTTTGCCTGACATATTTTATTTTCTGTGTAGGCAGGTATGGAAAAACTCCCAGGCAGGCCATGAGAGCTCCATCAAGAAGACATAACATAGAAACCTCTTTGCTAGAGCCATAATTGCTGCAGGTTGGCTGTGGCATAAGAGACTGCTGAGAAAAAAACAAGGATCACAGAATTTGCTCCTTTTTCTTCTGCATGTCCCGGTGGTAGGAGCTGTTTCCTGGTTTTTTGGTTTGTTTTATGTCCTATGTTAAATCATCTTACACCCTCTCAATATATGCATCATCTTTAAAAGAAATGTTCAGCTTGCAGTGACATTGTTTTTCCCATGGAAGACTGAGGAAAACAGGTTTTTTTTGTTTACCCTTCACCCTGGTTATAATCTCCATGAGATTATAACACCAATGGTTATAATCTAAATGAGAAAATAAACCAGAAAGCATTTTATTTATTTAATGTGCTTGGTGTAAAATGCTACGGAATATCAACCAAGCTTGCCAAAATTCTTCTTGAAGTCTGGCCATGTCACTGGGATGCCACAAGAACCCCCCATATTCCTGATGGCATCCATAAGTGGGCTACCTGAGGCTGGGTAGAGAAGGTGCCTTTCTTTAACATCAATGTTGTGAAAGGCAAGACAGCTAACAACAGAAGATATGGTCAGGCTGCCAAAAAAAGCACTATGTTTATCATTCCTGCCATACATTTTGTCAGCATTTTTTCCTGCAGTTTGATTTCTGCAATTACAAAACAAGTCTAAATGCCTGAATAGGAGCATACTTAATGCAATGCAGGCTTGTAGATGTCACTGTAAAAATAAAACACACAGACAGCTGGCTTTATTCATCCTGTCTCCACTTCAAAAAGCAGCAGAGCAATTTCAAGGGGCAATGTAAGAGGAGGGAGGGAAGGATGTCCCTATCACTGACCCACCTATCTTCCTTGCTTTTTATCACCAAGGAAGCAAAAAAGCTCTTTCAGCAGTCTTTGCATCTGATACATGTTCTTAGAAAGGCTGAAGACCTGCAGGGATGAGATTGGTTTTCAAAAGAAGATGAAAAAATAACCTCTGCATAGAGAGATTTTGAAGGAATCCCCACCAGCCTATACTTCAAGGACTGCAAAAATGCAGAAATATAATCCAAAGTGCATTTTAAATGCATAAATATTTCAGGAAATTATATTGTATATATTTGTATGAAAACCAGCATATGTTAAGGAGCTTTTCACATGCTTTTTATTAAATATATAAGGAGGTACCAAAACCATTTACTAATATTATCTGACAAGGTTAAACTTAATCTTCATGCCTGCTAGAACTGGAAAAATATGAATGTATAGTAAGTTGACATTCTGAGGCAAGGAAGCTTTAGAAAGCTTTAGAAAGCTTTCTGTATGCCTATCTCTAGTAGGCCACATTTTCCTACTGCAAATGAAAACTTTAATGTTGCCAGCCAAGTCTCATTCCTTTTACTGATAAGCTGTTCCTCAAATATGAATGTAGATTAATCCTCTTTTAATAAGCATTAACTCAGAACAGATAATCAGCACATAAAAATTCCATCAAATCTTCTGTCTACCTTTGGATGATTCTGTCACAGAGTTTATCCTCATTTAACAGTTTCTGGAGTTGCACATAATATGTGTAACATTCCATGATTCTCTATCTATTTTTAATTCATTTTCTATTTACTGGGTTTCAAAAAATCTTTAATCCCAAGAAGCACTAGTCACTAAATAAGCTTACCTATTCATAAGCAAAATACATATTTACTTTTTTTGCATGACTGATGGCCTAGACACTTGAAAACACCAAAATACTCTGGTGAGGGGGTACTGGCACAACAAGTTTGAGGGCACAGGAAAGATAAGCATTAAAAAAAAAAACCAAAATAAAACAAAGAACCCAAAAAACAAACAAACCCACCCAAAAAATACCCCACCCAAACAGTGCAGCAGTACTTTAGCTTTCACACAAATTCACAAAAGTGAGACCAATCCATCCTTTATACTACAGGAGAAATGGCTGAAAAGGGATGACTGTTGTCTTTGGTGTCCTTGTGGCAGATTTGGTTTTGCTGAGAGCATGTCATGGTCACAAAGATGCACAGTCCTTGTACAGCTGCAGGTGGTGACATTACTACTTACCAACACTAATCTAACAAACATATTAGCTAAATTTTGTGTTTTGTAGCACTGATATTAATGAGAATCAAGGCCTGGTGAGTCGTGGAGAAAAGGCAAGTGGAAGAACAGTGACGTACAGAATTGTGGCTCAGTAGCTACTGGAGTCAGTTCAACTGAAAATAACTAAAAAGATTTAGCTGTGATTATCAATGCCACTTTATCTGTGACCATCTGAGCCATTGATCAGAACTTATGAAAATATTTCCAGAGACAGAAAGCTACAAGTATTGAACTCCATCAGTTATTCTGCCCTGACACAAATCTCTACAAACTGCCTGACATTTGCTGTTTGCTCTTCTCCCACACATATTCCAGTGGCATAGTCTCAGAGCAGAAATTGTACATCTCAGGAGCCTAATAACAGAATACAAATAACAAGTGGTCCTAGTGAATGACCCATAATCTGCAAATGACCCAAAAAAACCATTTTTAGCAAGTAATTTAAAAACTGCACGAATTTGGACTTTTAAACAACTATTTTTAGTGTTCTATGTTCTACACACAGGCAAATACAGATGAAGAAAAATAAAACAAAAATATTCACATCAGAAATAACAGGGGATTTTTTCCTGAGTGTGAAATGAAGTAAGTATATAATTGTTACACTAATAGATTCAATTCTCTACCTAATAGATTGAATTCCTTACCACACAGTTAAATCTGTATGTTCTGCAACTCTCTGAAGAAAGAATTTAAAGCAGATGTCAGAACAAAAGGTGTGTACCTTCTAAAATCTGAGTATATTATGATAAATTCATCTTTAGGAAAAATTCACTGACAGCTGTCTCTGAGGAGATTCTGAAAGCTACATACCACTGTCTAAATAATTGTATCTAAACCCAAACTATTTATGAACCATAAAACTTTGAAGGGAACAACATGCAGTTGTGAGTGTCAAACCTCCACAAGCATGTCTTTCTAAATTATATTATCAAGGGCAAATTCAAATATTAAAGAATTAACAAAGTTTGTTATGGAACTCTGGGTCTAAAGATAGGAAACATGCACTATGTTCTTTCATAAGGAAAGTACTTTTTTTAAATTAAAAAAAAATTTTTTTGGACTCGATTACTGGAGGACTTAGGTCCTCAATTCCTCCAGAAATTAGTACAAGTCAGGAAATAGAATAGTTCTAGAAAGTCCACAAGATGTCAAAACTGCTTTTAAAAAAGAACATTTTTGGCAGTACCTCTGATACATCCCAGTTGCCCAGCAGATGTGGATCAGCAGCATGAAATCATGCTCAGACCCTGTGGCTCCAGCACAACCCTGTGTCATGCCAATGCATGCCACAAACAGAACAGTACAAATGCACCACAGTTCAAGAGAGCTGACAGAGGCACAGTCATAGGAACCAAATGCAAAGATGTATTATTTAGTTTTGGAAAAAACCCTATGCTGTGTCTCAAAGAAAAGGCAGTGAAGTGTTTAGGGTGGGATGTGTTATGCCATGGCTTGCAGTAACCTGACCAAACCTGCCTGAAGCCAGGGGAGCAATCCTGAGCCCCCAGAGCTTTTCCACAAGGATGTTTCTCTTTCAGAATGTCATGGGCTCCTGGGGCACACACCACCACCTTTGGTCATCTGCTCTGTCCTGCTAAGCTGAACACAAGCTGTGGCTGAAGACAAGCAAGAGTGAAAAAGCAGCTACTGAGCATGAGAAGACAGCTCTGGTAAAGGCAACTGAGGGGCCAAACTACACCCAAAAAGCTTGACAGGCTTCTTCTGGAAAACACCAAGATTTATCAGCCTTTAACACTGTAATGCTGAGGTATAATTATTTTTGAGTTTCTAAATCTTGAGATTAGGTATGAGAGCAGAAACAAATTGTTTGTAGGAATTATTATTATTAATTGTATACTCTATTTTTCCTGACTATTCATATATTGAAAAAAGTGCTTGCAACCTGCTGTTTCAACCACTCTTCACATATCTTAAATCATGCTTATGATAATTGTCTACTGTATGCTATCTTTTTAAAGATAAGAAAAATAGGATACCAGCTCTGAGCTGAGTAGTAAGAAAAAAACCCAAATATTTCAATTTCAAATCCCTGTAAAGTCAATGAATGCATCAGTTAGTGACTAGATTGCTTGAAGGTCTAAACACCTCACAGTAAATCTAGCACCTCATGTACATAATTGAGAGCTGAAGTAGAAGAAAGTTTCATTTCTCCACTTGGATCTGCTAAACTGTTTGAGCTTTAAAACCAAAATTCAGTTATATAAGAATAATGCTTGTTTATGTTAAGTTAGTTCAAGCATCTGGTCTTGAAAATTACTTTCAAAACTGCATTTCAGAGAGTTAGGTGAGTTAAGTATGCAGATTTATAGTGACAGAGACATTGATGGTGGTAGATTTTACTTTTCCCTGGAATCTAGAGGAGAATGAATCCTACATTTTTATCACAGATAGGCAGCCAGAGTATTTCTCCTTGTGCTTGGTTTCAATTCCTCCTATCTCACATGTTCATAAACACTTTGATAGCTAATGCTTGAAATGGTGTGTTGGTGAGGTAAGAGACAGACTAATGGACAGTACCTGCAGGGGTGAAGGTGAAGGACTGAACTGCAAAACAAGAAAGCAAACACATTGTGAGTTACACACCCTGACACAAAGCACTAATTGCAGGGCACGGGTTTCCTCTGGAAATCACTCAGTTGGAGCTGAATATCATAATCAGGACATAACAGCTGAGCTTAAAGCACCAACCAGCCAGCAGCCAATGAGAAATGATGGTTGGAAAGATGAGCAGTGAAGTTTGACAGTCACATTTGAAGACTCTCTGTGAGGACATGCTGTACTCCAAGCTGTAAACATTAGGATGAGCTCTGAAGCATGATCTGTTACCCACTTTCCTTGCTGAAAGCATACACAATTTCATGATGCAATCCATGTTCACATCACACTTAGATGCAGCAAACGCCGTGAGAAGGAATGAGTTGCACGAAACATGCTGGTCATAATTATTTACAGCTATGTTCTCCAAGTTATAACAGACTGCTCTCAATTCTCCCTCACCCCAATATGCCAACTCACATACAGGACTAATAATCCTCCTTTTTAAGGAAAGTCTAGTCTCAGCTTGTGTCCAAAGCTTTAGGTAGGACTATTTCCTAAGAGAAATAACACCACAGCTGTCTCTAGAATGAAAAAAATCTTGGGATCTAGAAAAATATTTCATGTATAAGTGTGTGATATATATATTAATTTCTCACTGAGAACCACCCCACCCCTCAGACAGTAAAAGTTACTGCTATTAAATGAAAAAAAAACCACCTTGGGACAAAGCACAACCCATGGATCACAGAGATCATGTGGTGACACAAAGTGAGGTTCCACAAAAACCGAGAAGGACCAAAAGCCACTGGTCTCTACTTCCTCTCTTTCCACTGCTTGTCTTCTTGTCCTTTCACAAAGCCAGTGGAAAACAAATGCAGCAGGAAGGATTGAAAACCAACATGGAATAGTTTCCTGCTGGTTTAGTGAGCCCAGTCAGGACACTGAGGAGTCTGACTATGGCTGAGCTGAACTGGGAACAATTTGGCTGTGACTGACTGTGGGTTTTTGGCAAGTTGTTGCTCAGCCATTTAGGGAACCTGAGCCCCTGGTTTCACATTTGATGACTTGTAAATAGAAAGGCACTTGTGTAACTTACATGTGATATAATGTCAACATTAAATATGCTGTCTTTAACTGGGCAAAGGTTTTCTCTTTTTAAGTGTTAATAAGAACTGCAAGAGAACCTACTGCAATATTTGAAGAATCGGGGGTTTTGTGTGTTAAATTCGGCTTCAGAGTAACCCATTTTATGACACATCCCCTGACTTCCCAAAAATTCATAAGAATTCTGAAAACAGAATAATACACAAAACGAAGGTTGGATAAAGGTGAAAATATTTTCATTTGGCAAGAGTATCTAATTTTCCAAATGTAGTTTTCAAAAACTAATTTATAACTGGAGCAAACACTAAATGAAAGAGAACATTTGAAGATGTTCTGCCTCTGAGACAAAACTGTTTATGGCTTCTGCCTTAGGTAAATTTTGACACTTCCCTAATACATCACTCTTCCAGCTACAGGTATGAAGTCACTGATTAAGTACCTTCATTTATGTGCCATGCACATGGCTTCAGAGACATGGAAATGCACAGGAAAGAAGAAGGAGAAGACAAAAACTCTTTTACTTTCCTTGTAAGGGTCTAGTCTAACTCATATTTGAACACACAAATGATGCTGCAATGCCAACAGAGTGCCTTCTGAGCAAGGGGCAAGAGGAACAGCTAATCCTCTTTGTACTTTTTTAATGCTAGATGTGCTGGAGATGTAAAAATACTGCCTTATGATAATGATGGAATGTGGTACCGAGCGATGATGCATTTAAAGCTTCTCATACACCAGCAATTTCACAGCATACATTTAAAACAAGCATACAGAATTCACCCAGGACACTTTTGCTGTAAGTTCAATGTAGTTTTTAGGCAGGTTTAGTAGCCCCTGTTCTTTTTATGATAGCACCTGCTGAGATGGCAATGAAGTCACTGCTCTTACCAGCATAATTGCTGAGCCCCTTCCTCTTCTTTCTCCGCCAGTAGAGCCAGATGCTGAAACCCATGAGGATGACCCAACATGCACCACCAATGCCAGCTATGAAGGCAGGCTGCTTCACCACATCAGTGATTTGCTCAGTTATGCTGTTGTTATTTTCAGTGATGACAACTTCGTTACGACCTCCTGCACAAGAGAAATTGAGCAGAATGTGGTTATTCTGCATTCTGCAACGCACAGTGGAACAAATTAAAGACACAAATTAAAGGCTTCTAAAAAATAGTAATAGATCTCAAAAGAATTACCCACAGTAGAAGAACTTTAGGAAGTAGCAATGCACACCACAATCTCAGTGTTTCTAGAGTAAATATCCACGGCCATTTTGCAGATATATATTTGGAAAGGCAGACCCATAGCACACTCCCAAGTAATCTAACAGATGTCAATCCACAGCTTTTTTTTTTTTTAACAATATACATATTTGCTAGTTTGTTTTTCCATAATTGTAGACAGAATTCAATAATGAGAAAACGGATCACAGGAAACTAATAAAAAAATAAATCAAGCAATCAATAAGTAACTTTTTCCAAATGAGTAATCCAAATACAGAATATGCTACATTAGAAGACATTAGAAGATGACCAAAAATTCTTACTCAACTCATTTTTTTCCCCTGAATGCTAGCTTCCAAATTTGAAATGAACAATAAAATAAATGCACTTTCCACTGGGGCAAAGATGCATTTTCTAGCAATTATTTCAAGGGGAAAGCAGTTCATACAAATTCTAAGTGTACCATCTTTGACACAAAGCAGAAAAAGCAGTTAACTGCAAGCACCAAACAATCACAGCAACAGATGCTATTTTTTCCACCTAGAATATGCATGCAAATTCCTAATATCAACCTGCAAGAAATAATTATTACTTGGAGTACCAATTAAAGTGAAATGCATCAAAAAATTACTATATAGGATCTTAAATTGTATATTACAGCAGAAAACTGCAAATTTCAGTAGATGCTCCCATTGTTTTTTTCCCCTCTTTCTCTAAAAGGGAACTTTTCAAAAGCAAAAGCTTGGCATTTAGCTTGAAAACAAATGCTCATAAAAATCTGAATGGAAATCCAGGAAATGCTAAAGCATATCGTTCCAGGGCCAGCACTTTCAAATTGTCAAAAATAGTTACTTTTAAAATTAGGAAATGCAGAACATATTTTTCTAAAAAAAACCCCCAAATTTTATTCTATGCATATTTTATATAAACTGCCCACATCTGCAGTTTTGAAATTCATGAAAGATTATCCATCCTTTCCAGTAAAAGCATTTATATAGCTCAATCCTTGAAATGTTTGTGCAATATTACCAGATGCCTGCATGCACGCTGAAGAGCTGCAGGAGTAGCTACTCCATTGAGACAAAGAAGATGTAAACAATATGATTCTCAATTATGAGAGTCTATCACACACATAAAGGTAGTTGAACATTGCAGTAAAACACTGAAATGGTCACTTGGAGGAAATTATTAGAAGTATTGTATCACTGAGCCATGCTGTGAAAATGTACATATTCCTTTTCTATAATTCAGCAATGCTTAGATTTACTTCTTCCAGCAGAGCAGCTTGCTGCCTCCAGCCTAAAGGCAGCACTCAGGGTCTCTGGCTGGAGCAGATCTGAGAAGTCTGACACTCCCAGCCCCATTTCCACTGACACCTCTTTGCAGGTGACCTGGATTTCACACAGCCATGCTTTATAGAAGGGGATCCTTTGAGAAGGTCCCTCTGGGACTGCCTCTGCCCAGCACTGCCCCTGCCAAGATGCAGCTTCAGGCCCTCAGTGGTGCTCAGAGCTGGGCTGGGTTAATCAGGAAGAAATGCAGTGCCCTGCATGCCATTGCTATCACACTGCTGATGGGTTTATTAGGCTTCCTCTCTTTCAGCACCACAGCAATATTTAGTACTGATGACTCTCTGCTTTGGCAATCAGACTGTGGAAGCTGTGCTAGAGCCTGGCTTGCTTTCAGTCCTTCTGGGCAAGGAACAAAACAGGCTCCCAGCAAGTAGAACAGGTCCCACAGAAAGATGCTGTCAGATGTACAAAAAGTGCACCAGTACTGATGTCATGCACCAGTCTATACTGGCCATGCTGGGAAGCTTTACCAGCAGCAGGCTCTGGGAGCTGCAGCTGTTCTTTGCCACACTTGCATCTTTTGTCTTGCCACTGCCAAAAGCCCAATGGCTTCCAGGCCTGATTCAGTGAGAATGAAACTGAGTGAGCAGCTGTGGCAAGGAAAGAAAGCAGGCAGCAGTGGCTGCTTTATCTGGTTTTCCATGTTTTTTTCTACCCATGGAACCAATCCATAGGAGCACCCCAGCGCTGAAAGAGGAAGGGCTGACAGAAAAACTAATAGAAAGGGGCTCTCCATGGCACGCTCTTCCAGACACAAAATCGATTTTCTAGTAGAAATCAGCATGGGAGTTGGAGCTGCTCTAATTACCATTAACTTGCAGTTAATTTCTGTGCCCTTTAGAGGAGAGGCCAAAGCAGTGGGACAGTGAGGAAACAGGTAGGCTTGGCACTGCTTCAGACACAGCCGTGCTACCAAGGGAGGGAAGTGCTGGAGACATCAGCTTTGGGAGTGGGTGCTCCTGGATTCAAGAATGAGTTCTTTTCACTAAAGCCTCCAAAAACATCTGAGGATCCTGTCTTCTCTAAAACCAGAAAACAGTCTTCTGAAAAGGGAGGATGGGAGAGCAAACTGCAAAGTGCCTGGGAAGAGGTTTCAGTGGATTGTACGCTCTTCCTCTCTTCTAGGGGAAGATACAATCTGTCTCCAAATTACCTTCTAAAGTTTGCAGTCTGGCTGTTTGCTCTTACCCTTCTGTGCCTAGCAATTACAACTGCAAAAGTAATAATTCATTTAAATGTCAAAATAACATATGCTTTGTGAATTTGATGACGGAAGAATAAATGGAGACAGATGAATGTTACCCACTGACTTTTGATAAAATTAATATAATTGTTGGGGGTTGGGGAAACAAACAGCATTAGTCTTGTACTTTATATAATATTTAAGCACAAGTAATAAATATGTCATCCAAGGTACCGGTGTACTATTTCATGTACTGCAGGTGGTTCTGTAACAATGCTGTCAGTTCAACTAATTAGAACATAGACAAGGGAAGTGTGCGACCTGCAACGCTCCATTGTTCCTGAAGACAAAACCATAATGAAATATAATGTCTTCCTCCCATTGGAGAGTAATGAAGAACAAAACTAATTTGTCGGACCAAAAATTAATTAGACACATCAGATTCGATTGTACCTATTACTGTGAAAGTTTGCAGCTGTTCCTCATATCATTATGCCAATGATGGAATGTAAGAGGGACCAGGCCGACTGATGAAGAGAAATAATAGCTACAGCATTAACCAGCGTTGCCCTTATTCCAATTTTACTTCTGGTTTTCCAAGTGAATGTTTTTTAGCATATCATTAGTGATCATAAAAGTTTTATTCTTGATTCTCTTTGAGTCTTCCGTAAAATTTTTCAACATCCTGGTTCAAGCATAGGCACAAGATTCCTGTAACAGTGAGACAATTTCTAACTAAAAGAATCATATACTTCCTACTGCTTCCTATTCTCCTTTTTATGCTTTCTGGATTGTCACAAGTCTGTTATCTAAAATTACTCTGGGAGGCCAGTAGTTGATTATTCACCATGAAAACCAGTTATTTTCAGAAAAAAAAGCCTGAAACATTTTTAGAAGAATGAATCCTGTATTTAAAAATAACACCTCTTTTTATCCATTGTACTCTGTGTTTCATGACTATTAAAAGTTTTTACTGCTTAGAAACACAGCTTAACTCTCCTGCACCACTGACCTGCTGTCTCCATAATTCAGCATTTCTGGAGCTGTTCATTCTGTTTGCAAGTTGTTAAATGGTATAGATAAGCACCAGATCATTTAGACCTCTATTATAATAACTCAATAATGCTTTCCCATTCATTATGATGTTTTGAGGTTTATTCATTAGCTCATTTTAAATCCATGTAACTAGGGTTTTTTTTAAATTTACTTAAAAAATAATTTTCATATTTTATTTTGATTCCCATTCAAACATTGAATGGTGCCAACTCAGGTTTTTCAGAAATGGTATCACCTAAACATTGTTACAATTATCAAGGAAATTTATAGTCTGAGAAATAACTGCTAGCAATTCTTAATCAATAGCAAAATTGGGCCTAAAGAAAAGGGAGATACAGACCATATATGTAATAAACACATCCACCTTCAGGTTCCAAAAAAAACCTCCAGAAATAACAACAAAAACATAACCCAAACAGAAACTACTCCCTGTAACTTCTCATGCAAATGACTCTTAAATGTACAAAGACATCACCAAACAAACTTATTGAAGCATAAATTCTGAGATCATTAAAGGAACAAATAAATATCACTAAGAATTCTGGGAATCATCCAGCAAAGACTTTTGGTGCAAGTATAACTCACAACACATTAAGTGACACAGGCTACCCATGTACTTAAAATGCAATACACTTGTGCTTTGCTGGAATAAGTGCAGTGTATGTCCTGCCTAGTTAGATGGACCCCTTAGTGAAATAATTTTTAAAAAAGGTCCTGGTTTCTTGCATTTTCAAAAAATCAATTTTTTGTTTTCACTTCTGGATATCTTTTTTCCCCTCTTTTCTTTGGTGTTTCTGTGGCTGTCTTTTCTAAACCAAGTGCTACCTTCACTTCCACTCTTGTATTTCTGTCTCCAGTGACACTTCAAAGGTGAAGTATCCTAGCTTCTGTTTTGATGAATGGAGAAACTGAATATCAGTGAACATTTAAGCAAAGCTTCTGGGATGGCCTTTTCTGAGGGTCTACACATAATAGACTAGTCCATGTTTGGGACAGTGTATTGACAATATTTTCTAGAAAGAAAATATTTAGTAACAACAGAAGTCCCCCAAACAAACAAATTTCCATTAGGTAATAACTAAGTTAGATCATACAGATAAAGGGAACAAAATTCCTGTATCATGCACCACTAAAAAGAGGTTCTGCTTTGCACAGCTCATTTCAGGTTTGCTAAACATAATTATTTCGAGTCTTCCATATTGTTCCCATCTTTATATTTTATACTCAGGAAAAATTTCAGAATAAACAAAAGCTGTGTTTCTCTCAGATCAGGAAATTAGTTCTGCATGGAGACCACTACCAAGAAACAACTATTACAAAGGCTGGGATGATAATGCTACCTTTGCTCTCTAATTTGTCTAAAGACAACTTTTGCTTTGACAGAGGAGGTTTGTCTTGGGATACCTGAGAAACACTGACTTTAAACATTCAGAAAACAATGGTAAACAGTGGAATGACTAAGGCAATATTCCAGCCATCTTAAGAGGAGGAAAAGGGAGCTTGGGCTCCACACGTCTGCCAACCTGCAGAAGTGGTAAATTCATTAAAAAAAAACCCCAAAATTTTATATCCGTTTCACTAGGCAATCTGCTTTTTTTTATATGTCTTGGGAACATACTTCCCTTCACTCTCTGCAGGAACTCTGTAGTAAGAGAAAACATCATCAGGCAGTGGGATGTAAAAGCAACTACCCAGCCCTAGCCAAACCTCGTCTCCTCCTCCACAGATTTTTATGCTTCCAGAAGTGATGCATGAAAGCATTTCTGAGAGGAAAAAAAACCCCACAAAAAAACCCCAGGCAAAACAAAACAACAGAACAGACAATAACTTACCTATTATTATGGGTTGTGGGTCACTTTTTACTCCCACACCTGCACTGGTGCTTGCAGCAACTTCCACGCGGTACTGGATACCTGGATATAGGCCACCTATTACTACAGACCGAATGGCTGCATCTACTGTTTTGTTGATATGAAATCGAGTCTCATTACCTAGGCACCAGATCTGGGACAAAAGTTGATGTGTTAAAAGAGACGAAATTCTTCACACTCACACAATCGCAAATAGGTATGACATATCAAGGTATTTCATGGCAATCGCTTATTTGGGACTTCTTGACAATCTTACTGCCCAGGAATTGCTGAAATTGGGATGATTTAGCTCAGCAAGGTATCCCAGATTAGCACAGGACCAAGGCAGCTGCAAAGACTGCTTGCAAATACCTCTCTGGACTCTGGCTCTCCATGGAGTGCAAATTCTGTGCTTACACTTAGAAGCACAGACCAGATCATCCAAGTGGCAAAGATGTGTTATACATTAATCAAAATCTTGTTTATCAAACTTTTTGCGTAAAAAAACCCCACATTTTTTTCCTTCTAAATTTCCTGCTGAATAGCAAAAGGATATGAGCACAGGATGAAACACATCTTAAAGCATTAAAGAATAAACAATTTTCAAAAATTTTTTCAACTTCCTTTCATTGCACAAGAGGGATACTTGAAATTTCTGAAATGGAATAAGCACAGACTCACATTTACTGCTGCCTTTGTGATTAGTTACATTATTTAGTAATCCAGACATCAGTTTCTCACTCAAATATTATCTAATTAAACAGAAAATCCACCCTATAATCCCAACTGGCATTTTGTGATGAGAACAGTCTGTGAGTTCAGAGTGTTATGTCTCCCTCTTGCAGTTTTTATAGGATTCTCCTAAGAGATTTTGAAACTAACTTCTAGGCATGCTTCTTCAGGTAATGCTATCTGCAAATACTGCTTCTGTATTACTAAAGAAAGCATCTACTATCACACAAGAAAATCAATGCATAAATATATCACAGGTACACTTACATAAAAATAACATCAGAAGAAAACACTATTGGTGGAACCATTATCAGTGACTAATGCATCTAAGCAACAGCAATAATATCTTTACACTTACTTTGACCCTGCTCAGTGTTTTACCACACCTTATCTTTTTTTTTTTTTTTTTCTGTGAAATGCTGAGAAAGATTTGAAGAGAAAAAAAACTATCTTGCTTTCCTAAACCTAAGGTGAGATCCTATTTGCCAGCCAGAATGCATTAAGGTGAGTAACTGTTGCATTCATTCCTTCACTCCTTGTCTGTCCTGGTCTTAGGTTACAACAGCTATGAGATGCCTCTAATTAAAAGCATTTAATTAATGAATGAATTAACAGGCATTCAGGTGCTTGAAGTGGAATCAACAGATCTACTTTCAATTTGTTAGAAAATGTACTGTGGAACTTCAGCAATTATTTCATACTCAAGCAAATATTAGACTCCCTGCACCATTCACTGTAGCCAGTTCACTACTCAGGCAGCCAGCTAATCTAACACAGGAGGGCTGTAATTATAGTGACTCCAGCTGGTTTTATACACAGCCCAGAGGCCTGAGCACTCACCTGGAACATGGCTTCTATTAGACATCAGCCCACTTTGTTTCATATCTACATGTTTTGTAGTTTAGGAGCATTCTTTTCTTGTTTGCCTATAAGGCCTGGATGGTTTATATTGACTTACACTGGAGTCAGGATCAAGATTAATTAAGCCAAAGGATAATTATTAATTGATATGAAAATTAGGTCAATAAAATCCTGGGATTAATAAATCTTGATATTGATTAAAAGCAAAACAAAAGTAGTGCTATGCTACACATAAACATTGTGAGCATTTACTGCATCCCTCTGACCTAGTGAAAAGCTGGAAGAGGTTGAACCATTATCTGATTTAGAAGCCAAGCACTTTCTCCCTTCTTCATGCTGTGCTCCCTCAAGATACAGCAGGGAAAAAAAATCTTTTTATGTGAAACAAACGGCAGTCACCACTTCCATCCCTTTGTGGGACTGTCAAGAAAGCTGCCCTGATCCATTTCAATTAAACATTTCACATTTGGTGTATATAGGCCAGCCACAGCAAGGTTAATTTACCAAACTGTGCTGTGACAAGGCTGAACCTCACCCAATCGTTTTCTCCACCTGAATAACAGAGTGCATTTTTTGTTAATGTTGTGAAAATATCCTTGTGCAAAAGTGATCTTAGTATAAAACTACAGGCTAAAGCAACATTTAATGTATAAGGAGTGGATATTGTGAGCCATCATAGCAACAAAAAGGAAGAAAATACAACCAATGCAAGAAACTCTCATGTAGCAAACTTTGGATATACTAGCTGTGTTCAACCTGTTTTTCAGAGCAAACAACCTGGCACTTTAAGTTTTGAAGCTTGACAAAGATAATACTTGGAAGAAGTCTTGAATTCTCCCAGAACCACAGTCCTTGACTTTGACCTTGAAGTGTTAGGATTAGCATTTTTGCAGAGGAAATAAGAAGCAACTTTCCTGCCAGCTTTGCTGCCAGATTGAAGGTACTCCAACACAGGGACTTCACTGCCTGTCTTTGGAGTGCAGAAGCCCCTTACAAAAATATCCCCTCTTCTTCTTGTTCCACAGCAGGGAAAAGCTAGAAGGATAATAACTATAAACTGGCTAGAAATTATAGCTCTCTTTCATATCAATCTCATGGTGTTTTTGCTTTTTAAAATAACAGTAGTAATAATAATAGTAATAATAATGATAATAATAATAAAGAAATCCATAAGCAGTCAGTCCTCTTTCTCCATATAATTACATGGGCAGCTGTAAATGCTTTCAGAACCTAAATCCATAAACAGTGCTTTGTTCTGTAATTCAAGCAGGCTGTTTCCCTAAACACAGAACCCTCCCATCAGACATGATGCGTACCTTGTACTCCTGGATGACTCCATTTTGGTGATCTGGAGGGGGAGGATCCCAGGAGATGCTGATGCTTGTGCTGTTGTGATTTCCAACTGTCAGGACAGTGACAGACTGAGGAGGAGCACTTGGAGCTACACCAAGGAGAGGGAGCAAACAGAAGCAAGGCATTAATCCATTTGCCAGGACATGTATTTTGCTGAAGCAGTGCAAGATCAAGCAGGCAGTGTAGAAAACTCACACTCCTAGGGATGCACTTTTGTCAGGCACTGACAATGTTGAAAAATGCCCTTCTGAAGAGAAGCACAGGGCTGAATGACAATGTGGAATTTGTGGCAATGGAGAATCAATACAAATCACTCCTGATTTATTTATATTTGGCATTTCTTAAGTTTGCATTGGAACTCTTCTCACATTTGTCTTTGTTTTCCATAATATGCATGAATAACCATGGATGTATCAACTAAGTCACATGTGAGGCTGCTTCACCTGGCCTGAAAGCTGTTTGGTTCTTCTATTTTTACATGGTCTAATAATGATGTGAGCAGCCAACATTTAATGACCCTTTTTTGTTTGTTCTCCAGGAAGACAATACCAGGTTCAAACATAGAACTGCATGTCCAAACTGGAAAAGGCTTAAAATGTTCATGGCTTTACATCAAAAACCAGTGAATAGAGCAGGTGCTAAGTTAGGTCACATATATACTTCTGTCCTTTTCTGCCCCCAGGCAAATTGCTTTCTCTTCAGAGTCATGTTCAGTTCAACCATTCACAGCTGTTTGGCTGGTCACTGCACATCGAGGCCAATTTTACAAGACAACTGCTTGCCAGCCCTGCTTGTTGTCTAGAAACGCCAAAAAAAATTTAAAAACATAGTTATTAGTGACCACAGCTATGCTGACAAAGCCCCTCTTGCAGCTACACCAGCAGCAGGGTGCTTCTGTTGGCTCAGGGAAGTGGTGCAGGAGCCCTGCTATGAAAAGGTCTCTTCTGTGAGCTTTTACCACGTCCATACTGGGCTCTCCTAGCATGGCTGTGGCTGCCAGGGCAGAGGACTGTCAATAGGGCTCTGCTCAGCCACCTAAAACTTCTTGCAGCCCCCCTCATCCTTCCCTTGCTCCCAGGCAAGTGTTTGAACCCCACCACAGTGGCAAGCTAGGCCACAGAGGTTGGCTGTGTTATATTAAGGTATAGTCCCTGGGGGGAAGAGCTGATGGATAGCAGCTGCTTGGAACTGGTCCTAGAATTCATTTATTCCATCTCTCCCAGTCCACCTACCCAGTCTTCAATGAAACTAATAGAACGAGGCCAGAAAAGTGTGAACTAATAAAGCAAGCATGGAGTGATACCTCTCCAGGACAATTTTCCAGTTCACAGGAGGCTGTAGCTCAGACACCTTCTGTTCTAGGGAGGTGTCTTTGTCTTTAATAAATACTTGTGGAATTTGTCTTTCATATATTTTTCATTGCTTTTAATCTGATCTTAAAACATTTATTTTGAAATATGAAAGCTGATTTTGAAAACTTATGGTAGACATCATACCTAAAATGTTTATCACTCTCCTGCCCCAACTTCAACCCTAGATAACAACGTGGTTTGGGCTGTCAAAGCTCCCTGACTCCAGCCCCCTGGCCAGAGTGACTTCTTCACTGCTAAACTCTATGGCACCAGAATTTTAGTCTTATCTTTAACAGATATCCATGCTCATCCTCGGACCATGTTTCTCAGAAAAGCCAAGAGCCCCTGGCATCTTTGCATTAAAGTCTGGCATGTTTAACACAAATAAGCACAGCTACAGATATCAGAAGTGTTCAAGCCTCCAGAGTCAATTCAGATATTTCTATTGTTCTCCACAGCTTCTTTGAGGCTGGCTGTGTTCCCATGTTGGAAGCTTCTCAGCACTTGACCTGGCACAGGCTCATGGAGCCGAGCTCAAATCTTTACCCTGATAACCCTGAAAAATTGGAGTGCTCTGCTGCAGGAATCACACAACTTCAAACTAGGGTATCAGAGGTGAGGACAAGGAACCACACAGGATTACAGCAGAAATAAAAATATTTTAGATGAAAAATGAAACACATATTACAGTCCTGGGAGGCTTCACGTTTCGACAACTACATTTTCAGATGCTGGTTCAGCTGCAAAGCTAATAATGCTTGGTAGAGTCCTTATGACCTTGCCTGTTGCAGAGAAACAGGGAACTGGAGGGGAGAAATGGAGCTGAATTGTGGACAATTTGACTCTTTGCCAGCTCGAGTGAAGCATGGAAAGGTTGCCTTGGGCTACTCCTTGCAATCGTGCAAAGCATAAAATTGGTGAAAAAATAGTTGCATTGTGTATTTTATGGCAAGTGAAATAATTTGCCACACAGTAAAAAATTAGCATTTTAAAAGTCTTCAAGTTATTCAATAACAATAAAACCGAGAATAAACGTATGGGTGTGATATTAATTAGAATATTTTATGTGAAAATAATAATCATAAAAATGGCAAAGCTTAATGCTGCATAACTCTTTCTGGTTTTAAGTACAATGGAACAACTTGCTCAAACATATTTACTTTCCCTACTGAAACAAAAAGGGCATTCAGAAATATAACATCTTATATATGCATACCTGAGGGGAAAGGGGAGTGTGAATGCAAAAGAAATGTAAAATGAATAGCATACTCTAAAATTTAAAAAAACCCCATACTGTATTCATTTGCTTTTACATTTAAACTGCATGAACATTCTAGTTAATATTCTACCAGGGTGTGTTGGTGTTTTTGAGGTTTTTTGAGGACATGGGATAAATGTGAAGCAAAATTAAAATTGCAGTTAATGAATGCAGCTGTGGAAATATCATTTTAAGAGCTGCATTAAAGTGAGCAGAATCTGACAGAGAGCAGCTGATAAAAGCTAGGGAGACTTCCATTCCTGTCATATTTTTGTGGTGACAAACAAGATGCAGGACAAGTACTACTCCATAATGTAATTCCAAAGGAGATTTTACAGTGGATGCAACTGAGAAAAAAAAAAAAAAATCTGTCTCTAGAGAAAGTATGAAAGAAATAGTGAAAATTATAAAATAAAATCTTCAATTTGGCTCCCACTGTATGTGTGTACACATGTTAGAATGTACCAGTTCAGCTTCCTCCCTCTGATAAAATCACTCTGTAAGCTGGCACCGTGATATAAATTAAGCCACTCGTCTGACACTGCTGCAGTTATTAAACAGATCACATTGAAAAATAACATTTTTAAAACCGTTTTCTCATTTCCCTTGCTGCTGGCTTGTGGAGAACACCTTGCCTGCTTCTTGACAGGTCAATTATTCCAGTGCTCAGCTTCTTCTTACAGATATGAAAGAACCCAAATCGCTGCTCATCTTTTCCAGACGCAGCCAAACAGAATTCCATTTGTTACCTTCACAAGGCCAAAGAGGCAGGAGATGGATGGATACTGAGCTGTTACAAATGTCTGATCTAGAGGAAAAGTCTAACTGCAGCAAAATTGATTTTTAGAGGTAGGCCTCAGAAGTAATATTGCACGTAAAATCCAATCCAGCAGAAAGTTGCCACTACCTTTCAGTCGTACTTTGCCTTTACCAGGGATATTTGCTTTGATGTTGCAAAAAAAACTTCCAACACTTGTATCACTTTACAAATTATTTTCTAAAAATACTATAGCTAGCATTTTTTAAAAGTCAAGTCTAAAAAAAGCCCATTTTTGAAATGGAATCACAGGCAACAGAGCACCTTTAAACAGACTGCCATCTTTCTTCAGTGGAAGGGGAGCAAACCACCGTCAGTAAACCTTTAGTTGATACTATTTTTGAATACAAGAACACCAATATAATTGCAAAGATAATAGGAGGAATTAAAGGAAATATTTGTAGAACTGCATCTACTGAATTTCTTATTTTCTTGTGGAAGTACCTAATTTTATCACCTAAGGAAAAGGAAGAATTTTTTTATAGGACCTGACATTTTTCTGGTGATAATATTACAGGTCCTTTGCTGACGTTTTTTCAGAGGAGATTCTTGTAAACAGACTCCTTGAAGGTTATATTAATCTACAAAGCAGATCCTAGGCTGTGAGTTATACATATCTGCAGGCAGGAATATTTTTTTTAAATCTTCACTATGTGGAAAGCTATTCCACATGAACAAAGTGTCCTTTAAGGTAGGAAATTACTTGACAGGCTCTGCTGGGAGCTAAGGTTTATAAAAACGAATGTCATTCCTCAAGTATTTTATAGAAATAGACAGGAGGTATAAGACCTTCTCTCTTTTTCAGTAGTTCTTAATTTACCTTTAGCAAGAAACAGATGAACTAAACAAACACTAAAAATCAATTGAAATTGGACAAGAGGAAAATCTGTAGAAATATTTTAAAGTATTTTTAAAATTTTCTTTTTTATTAAAAAATCCTTTGTTCAGAGTGCTGCAAATATATTCTTCACCAACTGATATGGGCTTTATAGTTTGAACAAAGAACTGGGGACCATAAAATCCCAAATTCCAAATCACACTTGAAAACTGCCTTCCTGCACACTCTTCTACGTGTTTCAGGACACTGAATTTCCTCATCCATAAAGTGCAAAGTGCTACCAAGTTATCTTCAGTTTTACTTACATGTTGGGTAATATTCATAACAAATCAAAGAGAAAAGTGAGTAATAAGCAAGTCTGTTCCAGAATTCAAGAGTACTTGGCAATCAGCACTAAATTAAACCTCAGGAGACCACTGTAAATGATTAAGATGCACTTTCAATAGGAAGGAAAGAGTACACTCAAAACCCATTGAAACCATATGAACGTCTTAAAACTTCACCAGTATTTCTTTCTCTTGCTTTAAAAAAAATCAAAAAATCAGTGACACAGAGAGAAGATGAACCCCTCACTGTCAGGACCATCCTACTTTTACAGGAGAGATTCTCCAGGCAAAGACTGCATTACATAGGTAGAAAGGTGGGTTTCTAACAGCAAATGATTACAATTACTAACATCTCACCCCAGTGTCTTTACTTTTCAAAAAAAAAAAAAAAGCCAGCAGCCCTGGAGTGCACATGCTTTGGCACAACTATATACAAGGCTAAATGCTATAGATATAAAAGCTGAGCATTTCAGAAGTATAAACTGTTCACTCTGTCTGAATCCTGACTGTTTCAGAGAGGCTTCAAAGGTGCTCAGGGGAATCCTCTGCAGTACTGAACCAGGGCAATTTCATGAACACTGTGCTAACAGAAACTGTGGTGTGCCCTTGAGACTGGAGTTTCTCCAGACTAGTTAAATATATGTCCTTCACTACTCCTCGTTTCCCAGCCAACTGTTCATCTACATTATTACCCATTCAGAAGGATGTGCTTAGTATCAAACACTCATCTGTGAGAGCTTGCATTTATTTTATTTTCAAAGTGCAGACCAAGGTCTTTCATTGCAACAGCAGTGGTTACAAAAGAAAGGCTGCAGTGAACACTTTTTGGAAGACCAAAAGCCACCTGTACCTTAGAAGGATGCATCAGCTAGAAGAATATAAGACCAGCACAGTGCTTTCTCAGGGGATATTTACAGCACAAAACTGAATATAATATCAAATTTTAACATCACCTCAGTGTGTAACAAACAGAAATCGCATGGAAGAAACAGAGATGAACACATGCAGTCACAGAATAACCTCCAGTGCCAGCTATGAAAGCTCGTTGCTTTTTTTTGAATACATGAACACCAATATAATGGCAAAGATAATATGAGGAGTTAAGGGAAATATCTGTAGAACTGCATCTACTGAATGTGTTAATTTTTTTGTGGAAGTACCCAATTTTATCACCCAAGGGGTGCCCCTTTTACCAACCTTCCTCTGTGGTACGAGCAGACTTGGATTCACTGTCCATGCCTTGGAACTCATTGAAGTAAGGGCGGACCTTGATCTCATAGGTGACCCCCTTTTTGAGGCTGACGAGGACGGCGCTGCGCTCGGTGGGCACTTTGACCTCCAGGTTCTGCCACGTGGCTGGGACGGGCAGGCCCGAGGTCTGGCGGTACAGCACGCGGTAGCCCTGGATAAACTGGGACTGCCGGTCCACCTGGGAATGGCAACAAGTAACACATCAACAAACACATTGCAGCAAACAAACAAACAAACAAACAAACGCCCCAACAAACCAACCAAACCCCAACAAACTGCGCAAAACCAAAACAAACAGCTGCCTAGAATAGTTCTGTCCTCATCAAAAAGAGAAAATTCACAGTTACAATGCTGAATTTATTAATCCAACTACCTTCTTCCCAGGATCTTTTGGTGGTCACTGCAACCCCGAGATTGTTAAAAGTCTCTTTTCCCAGCCTGGTGCTTGAAGAAGGAGCCAGAGCTCTTCAGTTCTTGATCTCAAGGTTGTTTATTGCGTCTTATCTATAAAATTCTTTCTCCTGCCCTGCTGAGGTCCATCCAGCAGGACAGTTCCAGGCACTCTGCCTGCCCCCAGGGTGGTGTTATGTCTTTATACTAAAAACTACGTATACAATGTTCACAATTACTTTCCAATACCTATCACCTATGTTAGACAGTGAGCTTCTACTCTAGACCAATCTGTAAGCGCCAACATCACAACAGAAGATGGAGGCCAAGAAGAAGAAGGAGAAAGGCCCAGATTCCTCCATCTTGCCTCCTGAACCCCCATTCCAGAAGCCCCAAAATCTACTTTTCCACCCTGTGATAACTTCACTAATATTCTACTTAAACTGTTGTGGCTTGCTGATCTTCATATAAGGTTGGTAATTTGCTCCACGGGTCATAATCAAACCCACAGGTGTTTTGGCCTCCGTGCCAGGGCTTCTGAGCCCCCTGGCAGGGATCTTGGCTGTTCTGGACAGCCAGAGGGATGTCCTGGGTTCCCACACCTTCTTGGAAGTCGATGTTGATTAATTGTCTACAAAGAGTATTTGTCTCACATTACTGGTTACAGAATGTTTCTTTCTGCTTTGCCTTCTCCAGCTCTATATATCATGAGAAATACCACCTTAAATCATAAAACAAGGCCCCCACCCCTGCAATAAATCATGAAAAGAAAACTTTGGCATAAGGCTTGCTGCATGTAAACTTACTAAGCACAGCTTGGCTACTGATGTGCTGAAATAGGAGAAGAAAAGAAAAACAAATTCTTTCAGAAAAGGACAAGTCTTTGAAGATATCCTACATGCTTACAATTAGTCCATTACTTGGCTCACAGCTCATGAAATGCACAGCAAATTAAAATAAACATAAGACAGATGCAGAGAAAACAACTTCCAAAGACATGTGCTGTTTCTTGTGTTCACAGCCTATGCAGCCCCTTTGCATCCTGGGGTTGTGATGCTCTCAGGCCATCAGAGGGAGATGGAATGTTGGTTTTGGTTTATATTTTATTTGTTGCTAGGCAAGCAGAATTCAAGATTGGACCATGGAAGTTTAACAATTTTACCCTATGAATGGGTTTTTTATTTGAAGAAGAGCTTTCTATGTGTTTTATCTTGGAGAGGTTGCATGCATCTATTTATCTTCCAAAAAAACAAAAAAGCCAAAAATCAAGGCATTATGATTCTTGCACAGATTTTTCCTGGGAAAAAACACCAAAAAACCAAAACCAATTTGATTGCTAAAAGTAAACCAAACCAAACTGCTTCTGTAGCTGCCAAAAAAGGAGCAAAGAAAGTGCAGTACAAATAACAAGACAATGGAGCAGGCTGTTTGGTAATTCTGTGTTATAACTTAGACTCAACAAGTAGGGTATTTCTTATGCTTTTGTCAATTTGCTTGCTCAAAGATATTCCAGAATTAGAGAAACATTTGTTTGACTACTCTTAAGATTAAATGAATTTAAGGCTGAAAACACAAACCATGCTCTATTATGCTCCTCCTATAATCTTGTTACAGTTTATTGGAGGCATTCAGAGGGGACACAGATTCTTAGACATTAAAAAGCAAGGCAAGCAAGAAGAAAGTTTTATTTATGAAAGCAAGGCAGAAATGTCTTTCATCAAAACTGTCACTGTTAAAAACCTTGCAACATATGTTACAACAACATTAAGCTTGCATTTTATAAACTTCTCTGCATTCACTTTAAGTGAATTTATGCACTGAAAGAGGGATATAACTCACAATAATAGCTTGTTAATACCGAAAGAATCAAGCTGTGTTTTTAAGAAGAACATTAAGCAGCTGTTTCCAGATGAAGGGAGTCTGTAAATCAGAGTAAACTGTTTTTATCCATGTTTGACTTTGATTAACTAAATGTTTTATGGATATAAAGACTTTATGACCCTCACATTTACTACAAAATTCAGAAAAAATAATGCTTTCATCCACTTTGCAATAGAGATTTTTAACGTAAATTACAATATAAGGTTATGATGTTTAATAATCAAGCACTGAGTTTGATTCTTGCTTTACTTCTTAGTTAGAAGCTACACTGAAAGATGGCATAACTTTGTTAGAACTTTCCATTTTGCTCTATTTTTAAGCTCTACTGACTGCTGCCTAGTGGAGAAAACTGAAAATTCAGAACTGACCTGACTGAACAGTAGCACAGTGTTGCTATAACACAGTGTGGAAAGCATTTTGTACAGCATGGCACAAACAGAAACCCACCCCCCAGCTCCCTGAGAAGATAATAACTAAAGAATACCAATTTTCAGTTCCTCAGACTTTTGTATCTACTTCCAGACAAATTGTCCATACACATCTTTTCCTCCCAGACCTCAAAGATCTTAAATTGAAAGGCTAAAGGCTTTCATATTCCATAGAAGGACTATGAAAGCAGAATGCAGTAGTGCCACAAGGCTGTCACATTTATGGGTGCTATAAACTAGCTTGATTTGAGGCTTGCTTGAATCTCACAGAGCTTTCAATTAGTAACTTGATTACAGCAGGGCAGAGTGATCTGCCCAAATAGCAGATTATTGACATTATTTCATCATTCAGAGTCTGGGAGGGTACCAACAAAAGAAAATATTAGACATTTTTAATGTTTTCTATAAACATCCAGTCACATTCAGTATCAAGGAGAGGATACAAAGCTGTTTCCCATACCAAATTAAAGCTAGTCTGTATGAACAGGGCCTTCTGTAGGTTCAAAATGTTGGGAAACTACTCAGAGGGCACTTTACTTACTGAGAAAGGTGGATTTTTAAATTTTGTTCAAAGTTTCCAAACTAATCCAAAAATTACTCTTGGATAATTACATGGTTTAACCAGAAATATTTTTGAGAGGTAGGACAGGTATATTTCACATATACATACACACATGTGTGTATACATGTGTGTATGTTTATCTACAGTTACACAGTCATATTTAATACAAAGTGACAGTGACTTCACAATTTTCTCCATTTCTGTGGTAATGATGTGTCATGCCACAAGCAGGCTACTAAAAATATCCTTATATGATTAAAGACATTAATTCAGCTATGCAACTGCAAATTTGGCACACATTCACACGCAGGCAGAGCTGCAGAAACATGCACTCTGGCTTGATGAAAGGATAAAGAATGTAAATGGTTGCCACTTCCTTACACAAATTACTCAGCATTATTTCAGCAGTTGCAGGAATTCTCTGTGTTGAATACTGGGAGCAGAGAATATTTGTAGTGGGTGATATCAACTCAAAAGATCTGCAAGAGTTGCTGATATAAAGACACATTTGCTCCCTCAAAGGGAGAACATGCAGATGCTCCTGGATCAGCACTAAATTAAACCTCAAGAGACCACTGTAATTATATATATATATATATATATGGGTGGGTGGTACTCAACACTGATCTAATGTGATCTACCAGCAGAATTGGTCCTGGGTGCTCCTTCTCACCCTCTTTAAAAGTCCATGGTGCAGGAGGCATCTACAAAACCATTTCTGCAGAGCAGGAAGCTAATTTTCCCTGCACATGCCATAGCTGAACACAAGACAGGTTCAATGGCTATTAGGTTGTTAAAACAATGGCAAGAAACTCATAATGCAGCTTCTGCTGCAGATATAAACTCCTTTCAAGTAAACCTGCTAGTCTGCACCCTAAATACATTTTGAAATATGCTCTGTAGCATGCAAATTTCTATCCCAAAATATCCTAAGAAATCCTCTGCTCCCACAGCAATACCCACAGCAATTCTCCAGCTGGGCAGAGTAGCTTGCATGCCGTGCTGATCTCCCTGGCACAGACTCACAGGAGTCTCTGGAAATTCAAACTGCACTAGCATTTATGTATCCTACAGGAACAAGGCAAATGGGGATGATAATCTGGACCTGACTCCTGAAGCTTCCAGTGAAGTACATTCATTTAAAATCTACATCAAATTAAAAAAAAGAAAAAAAAACAGAGGTAAATAAATTATCCTTCTGCCTGCTAGCCTCCAAAAAGGCAGTAAGGATTTCAAAGAAGCAATTCTTTTGTCATGTTGAAGGACTGATTTTTTTATTCCTGCTTGTGCCACAGGGCTTCTTTATAATGCCGGGGAACATTTCATATTTGGTCACTAATGAAACTTTCAGTTTAATGCCCACTGAGGCTAGAAGTGCTGACCCATAGCTGAGGTCAGCTAAAAAAGCTCTTGGAGTACAGAATATGCTCTTGCAATGTGAAATGTTTTAATAAAAGTAAAAATAAATCATGTTCAAGGCTTAAAATTAGCCATTTGACAACAGTGAGCATGTCTGCCTCTACAAGTCTCATCAGCAATAACTATCTCTGCACCTCACCTCTCTATGTGTAAAGTTAGGATAATGACACATTTTTATCATTGTGATGTTAAATTCAGTATTATTTGTGAAGCACACAAATGTTACGGTTGAGAGCATGACAGATAAGCAAGCATGTGCGACAAAATAATAATTTTTATTCAATGCAAGGTTTCAATGCTATGAATTTAATAAGACCTGGCACCACACAGAGAATAAAGAAGATAAAAAGAAATGTTTAATAGCTCCATGAAGAAGAGATCCTCTATGTGACCAGATAATTACAGCTATATTTTAATATCTACACACTAGAGGAATAAATTTAAGTGGCAATGAAAATTTAACTTTTGACATTCCTCTTCTTATTTTTTAACACTGACATTGTAAGCCTGACGTTCTTTTCAAAATATGTGTGTATATGTATGTGCATATTTTAAAACTGCAACACAGCCACAGGGAACTATTTCCAAAATTTAAACTCAAATTTGAAATAAAGAAGAAAAAGAAAAAGCAAAACCAAAACAAACAAAGGAGAGAAGAAAATGGTGTTAATTTGCTGTGAGTCAGGATGCCAGAAAGTCAGTAACCAAGGACATTCCTTGGCATTCACCCTTTGAACTGCATAAAACCCACACAAAGAGTCTTATGACTCTCATGGCACTTCTGTCCTTTTGTATGATAGCTACACTATCTATCCATTTTATGTTAATAGTGTGGACTTTATTCTCTGGATAGAGTGGGGTTTTTTCCTAGAGACTATGGTTAATTAATTGTTTTTGTTCTGGTTGCTGGGTAGTTTCTAATTAGCTGCTTCAGAGATCTTTCTTTGTGTCTTTCTTCCCCTGGGCAATTCCAAAATGCCTCTACAGAGGTCTCCGTGCTTGTCAGGTGGCACAGAGGTGGCTTGTCAGGTGCTTTGAGGGATCTTCCCAATAAGCTGGGACCCATAGCATTTCCAGCAATTTGTCTTTATCTTACCATTTCTTCACTCATTGTTCAGTAGGGGCACCAGAAAATTGTTTTAGAGGAATATATATATATTATATATATAATATATAATATATATCACATACATACATACATAAACACACACACACACACATATACATATATATATATATATATATATATATATATATATATATAATAAAAATATAATGATGTTGGTTACATGGTATAAAACTGAATTCTGTTTATACTCGAGCTTCCTTTTGCAGTATATGCTAAAGCAAGGGCCAGCCTATGAATCTGTATTTCTGATAGATGCCACACCCAAAAAAGGACTTGAAGGAGCACCACATGGATGTGATCCAGGTTTACAATTACTCTCTGCTAACATCCAAATTTTCTACTACTGATCCATCTGCTTGGGCAAAAGGGTTTGCCACAAAGGTTAGTCAGCCTGTTCTGGAGGAATTGCAGATGAAACATGCAGCATTTTAAGAAAGCCAAGCTGCGTGTTGACATCTCTGATGGCAAAATGCAGTGACACATACTCTAAATTTTAATCTTCCACAGAAGAAAAAATTGTGGGTTTCTCTATTTATTCTAATCTGTTCCCTGACCACTGAAATCTGTCAGGACAAGGATGGTGCATAAGCCCTCATAATAATGGCTGTGTTGTGCAAAAACAACAGTAATCCTTATAATACACAATCTATCATCACACTTCTTATCTCCTCTTGTGTAATCCCCTGCACACATTAAGCTCTCAGCAATATGACATGCAGAAGAAAAACCCTGAGCATTGTCAATGCCCCCTTAGCAGAATTCATCCCATAAAATGCAACTGTTTTGATGTTGTGCAGGGCAGTTTTCCTCTCACTCTTCATCTCTTGGATCTTCTTCCTCTGGGCAGATGCCCCAACAGCAAAGCACCCTTTTCTGGTGTGCAGAGCCCTAGGAATGCTCTCCTACTCTTACAAATCCTTTCCATCAAGCCTCAGGAAGGGAAACAGAGCAATTTGAAAGCCAAACACTATATTAGAAATTCTACCCAGTAGTTTGACCCCTCAAATAGAAATGTTGTTAAGCACTGCCCAAAAGACTCTGGTCTTCTCTAATGAAAGGATATTCACTCATTGTGGGTAAGGCTTGTGCTGGTAAACCAGATGATAGACAGTGTGTCAGGCACTAGCACCACGTGCTTCTGACTTCTCTACAAGTGCTCTGTAGGAAAGATAATTTTGATTTTCAGGTCACTAAATAATAGGGTATTGTCAGAGTTCTCTATGACTTGAAGGAGACAGTACTTTTTCACACAGCAGTTTCTTGTTGATATTTAACTTTGATTATTTCCTGACATGCAGCGTAATGAATCTACAGATCAATTATCCTTCAAACAGACTCATTTTTATAATGTTTTTCTAGTCAGACAGCTAACTTGTTTCAAGCAGAAGACTGAAGACATTGACCCTGCCTGGCTTGAAAGAGAAAATGACTATTCCATTGCCATATTTATATACACATATACACACATATATATGTACACACACCGCTGTACGTTAGGTTGTCAGAGCACTCATATTGGGGTCAAGACTGGGTGGTAAAACACTGAAGGGATAAATAGGGAATATAAGCAGACTGAAAGCACTGTTGAGGTAAGAACAGCAGAAGCTTTACCGTCCAGGTGACTTGCACTGTCGTGGGTGTCAGCACAACAGGATTGTGCAGCCGTACAATGACATCTCCCAGCTCCTTCTGGACTTGCCTGTGATCCACACCTTGTGCTGGGGGGCTGATATCTGCCAGGCACACATAGGAAAGCATCACTTTAATGAGAAGAGCTATATATGGCATCAAAAAAATGTACTGAGTAGCCTAATGACCTGACTTGAAAATCCTCTGTTATAAAAAAAAATACAGCACTAAGGTTGAAACCTAGACAAATATCAAATAATGCAAACAAACCATCCACCTCTAGCCACTTAGGAAATCATGAAATATAAATATGATTAAAGGAGTATTCTGACTAGATGGCAAAGTTTTCTCAGCTTGGGTAAATGATGAGAGAGATGCAATGTTCACTAGCTCCAAAGTACTCAGATAATAATAATGCTGCACAGATGTCTGGAACCAAATTGGTTAGTATAATTGAAGAAAATGAACAGTGCTTTTTTTATTTTGCTAGAGCACACATGACATTAAGTCATTATATGTTTCCAAACTTTCACTAAGCTTCCTCTCCCCACATGCCATGCACACAAGAAATTAAATACTAAAAATAGTATTTTCCCCTGCAAAACAAATTTTCCCTTAACAGACATAGCTAATGAAATCCAGTGCAAACATGAAAAAAAAGATTTAATTTAGGAAGCCAAACTGATTCCCATCTAGTAAAAGGCCAGCAAAAACAATCTACCACAAAAAATTTCCCTTCAAGATGACGTGCCCTTCAAAGTGTGTGTGGGGAATTGTTTCTTCTAGTCAAAATCTGATTATAGAGATATTCAAAAAAGGACTGATAAATTATGGTCATGCCTGGCTAGGCATCTCTGAATTCTGCTTGGTCTTCCCTTAGGATTCAACAGTCAAAGTTATAGTCACAGTTCCTCATTTTTTTGATCAACATCATGTCCTTGTGAAAAAGATACATAATTAAGAGTTTTTTCCCTTTCTGATTGACTTAGATATGGGAATAGGCACAATATGATTTCTGTTTATCTTTTAAGTGCTATTTAAAAGAAACAATAGTTGTCTTAAAAATGAAGCCTTTAAATCTAACAAGTGTAATCGAGGATCTCTAGGTCTTGAAAGTAAGTAGTTTTTGATGATCAATAATCCACATTCCTAATTCTGGGTTGTTATGGGTTCTGAGCCACCAATAAACAATATTGCCACAGGCTTCTATTGATATCCAAATTAAAATGGCTCCATGGATCTCCAAAGGGAATATAATCCAAATATGAGTGTCAGTGAAGGTGGTGCTCTATCAAATTATGTTTATTTGAAGCAGCCAAGACTCACAGATATTATAAAATAAAACTGCAACTCAGACTGGTCTAGAGGATGATGATTTATGCTTCTATCCACAAAAAGCTATGATTATTGCTACAATAAACCTACAGTTATCCATGGCTGCATTTTAATTTAATTTATACTGTGGTATACAGCCAACAAAGTACCTGTGCATTCCCTCAGAGGAAAAGACATTTCAAAAAAAGTATTTTGTATGAACAGCATTTCATCATTTTCATGGCACATATGTCCAGAAGTAACAGAATGACATGGACTGATAACAGTAAGAAGTGAATGCCAAGATGTACATGTGGAATTCAGTTTTCTGGTATGTACACTTAAAAACATGTGTGATGCTCCCAGTGTAATGTCATTTTCACAAGCCTAGGAGGCTCCTGGTGGAAAAGCAGTTCATCTGTCTCTAAGGGTACAATTAAGTATTGGAATAATAGAATCATGACTCAAGCAAAACTGGTGAAAGAAGCTACATCCTGATCACAATTAAATTGGTTAGATATTTTCTCTCTCTTTTATCTTTTATTTCAGTGAATATACTATTATTTATTATTATTTTGATTTCAGGGATAGGAATATAGATAGTTTTTTGGGAGAGATTTTTTAGTATATTGTTTCATCTATTAATAATCCAACAAGAAATCAACTCCTTCATTAGAGTAGTTACTGATTTCTCTGTCCCTATTTCACATAATTCATATAAGACAAACCTTTTGAAACTACCTGGTTATCTACTTGCAGTTCACTGGTGAAAATTTACACTAAATCCTATTATTTGTATTTGCTACACTGAATACCAGGACATGAAATGTTCAGCTATGAAAGCTACCACAGACACCTGTTGCAAATTATTATTTTATAGCACTGCCATAGCTGCTTTGTTATTTCTCCATGGCCACTGTGAATAGGCTTTCCACTGTGTGTCAGCTTCTTCTGTGAGCCTGAATTGAATTCAGGCATAATTAGAAATCACATCAAAACATTATGTTAATTTTCAATTGATTTTATGATTTAATTCTATTAAACTGCAGGCTTGCAAAGAAGCTATAAATCCTGTACATGTCTCAGTGTGCTTGACTGCTAAACAGCTTCTGGAAATGGAAGCTGCAACACATGCTGTAGCTAATTAAAAGACATGTTTTTACTGAAATCAAATTGCTTGTCAGTATGTCAGATAAAAAGTCTATACTTGACACTCAAATGCCAAACAAAGTTGTTTTTTTTTTTTTTTTAGCTAGGTGATAAGTTATGCAGACTAAAAGGCTGTTGCAATAAAAAGCATGACTCACCCTATAATAATGGGAAAATAAGAAAGAAGGAAACTTGTGATACTTCATGGATAATCAGGCCATGAAATCCCTGCACAACTCACTCTTCCAGTTTTTTGAGAAAGCAGTTCTGTTTTTCCTCTTCCAGCCATAATTACTATTTTGAGGGTATAACTATTCAGGAAAGATTTATTTAGCACTAGGCTGGGATAAGGGAGGCTGGATGGTTATGTGATAAAGAAAAACCAGCCTACTCTTGTTTATCTCTTTCCATCCAGCAAAGGACCCAAACAACTTACAACACACATGCTGGAGACTGACTCAGGATGTGCTCTCCATGGGCACCTTCAGATCTCCAGAGACAGAAGTCTCTGAATAACAATAAACAGAGACAGAAGATTTAATTTCAAATTAACTGTGACAGGGGCTATTACTTTGGATTCAAAAAATTATGATTCCAAAGAATTATGAATTTCTGTATTACAACATGTTTAACACAGAACAACACTCCTGAATTAAGTATCCAAGCTATGTCTTGTCAAAACCAAAAAAAAAATCCAGGCTGTGAAGGGAAATCTGTTTGTGGCAGTTATATTCAGTTTGAGCTTGATGCAAAGTGAACAGACTTCAGTAGGTGATTCAGTAGCAATGGAGGATCACAGCCACCAATCCTATCACCACCCTACAAATGAGCAATTTCACTTCAGCCTTCTCTCTTGGCTTATGCAATGGATTAATACAAAGAATTCAGAAATACAAGTATATAAACAGAAGGCACATACCTTTCTCAGAATAACTTCTAGATATTCTTAGCCTGCAAATGCCTTAATTTATGTGAATTCTCTGCCTAAATGTTGGCTCAGATTAATCAACATGTGTTGTGCATTTCTTTTGATTAAACATAATTCTAAACACAGTTCCTTGCCTGTTATAAACACTTGTTATCATAGCATATCCCTACTAACGGAGAGGAAGAAAGGACATGGAGAGGAAAGATATTCTCCATGAAGTATCTGTGTAGTAAGGAGAGGAGAGTATTCAGAGTGCTGTTCAGAAAAGCTTGGGTAACTCACATTGCTTTCAATAGTAACCAGGGGCAAATGGAGTCTAAGTGAACTGCAAACCAGAAGTTCTACACTGTACAGAGGATTAAGGATATAACCTTTCTCTCCTAAGCCCCAGACTGATGCAGCAAACATTGGACTACTCTCATCTTCACTGGTGAAACTCAAACCACGATTCCTTCAGTGAGCGTGCTGAAGCCAAACAGCCAGACTGACCTACTGGTGAAGCCACAGCTCCTTCCCTCCATTTTAGCTGAAGCACATGAAACTTGGACCTGCCCCTTACCTTGGGTTCGGACAGGGTCTGACATGGGGCTGGGGTCGCTCAGGCCCTGGGGGTTGATGGCTCTGACCATGAACAGGTAGATGGTGTTGGGGCGCAGGCCTCGCACGGTGTACAGCGTGCTCTTCACGTGGTTGGCCACCGTCTGCCAGCTGTTGCTCACAGACTGACTGCAACAACAACAGTGTGGAAGATTATAAACTAATACCAGAGAACAATAAAGCTGTGAAAGGAACAGTGTCCGGTTTGGCTGTCTGTCTCGGCCCGGACATGGGTAGGGTGGTTCTTGGGTGGCACGCGTTTCAAAGGACGAGTCTGGACTCTTCAGCTTTTCGATCTTCAGATTGTTTATTGTTTCTTATCTACAAAATTTTCTGTCTGCCCAACAGAGGTCTGACCTGCAAGGCAGCCAAAGGCACTCTGACCACCCACGGGGCGGTCATGTCTTTTTATACTAAAATCTACATACATGATATTTACCTTTATTTTCCAATGCTTTTCACCCATGTTGGCAAGTGCACCTTCACCATAAACCAATCCCCAAGTGCCAACATCATCACAGAAGATGGAAGACAAGAAGAAGAAAGAAGAAGGACGAGACACACCCTGATCCCTCCATCTTGTCTCCATAACCCCCCTGTACCAAAAACCTTAAAGTCTATATTTCACCCTATAAATGTGTCCTTTTTACACCCTTCACTCCAAAGTGATTCTCATGTCCTCAAACTGCTGTCACTTCTGTGGATGGATCAAAATCAAGCCACCAAACACTCCTGGCAACATTCAAGGATTTCCGAGACCCCCAAGGGTTCTCTCGGTAACTCTGGACATCCAGAGTGATGTGCTGAGTTTCCACAGAACAGTGTTGTAACCCTGGATTGACTCTAAGTGCAGAAAAAAGTAGTAAAAGCAGGGTGAAATTAATTTTTTTTTTTCGGTTAGCTCATGTAGATCGGCTAAAAATCATAATGCAGCTGTCAAAAGTATTTCTCTTTGCAATAAAAGTAAAACTTTTTGCTGTTTCTCTAAAATACCTGCAAAAGGAAAAAGGTAGAAAGCTGTAAAGTAAATTTGAATGATAAGCAGGCTACTCTTGAACAAAAGGCTTAGAAAGGAAAGTTCTCTTGAAAGAATAATTTTCTATACTGCTAAGTAAACTATTTCAATAAACTGTCATTGGAAGAAAAGTGTTCTTGAACTAAATTCACTCTCAAAGTTAAAAAAAAAATTGAAAACATTCTTTGAAATGGAGGAAATTATATGAATATTTTTTCTGCCATTACATTTTCAATTCAATATTATAATAATTAGATTACAATCCGCCATATGAAAAGATTTCAAATGTGATTGTTAAAACAAGTTTTAATGACTTTTAACGAGTTTTTAACAACTTTTAAAATAACTTTTAATGTCTGGCTTTTTAAAAAGCTATTGATGGGATGCCATTAAAGCTTATCTAGGGTGAAACATCACTAAAGTTTAAAGAGAAAAATTTATTTTACTATGCTTTGTTGCATAGCATTGATAAAAAAATCTTTGAATATATGAAAAGGAAAAAGGAAATGGAAAGCTACAAGGTTTATGTTGCTTGAATCGCTTCATTCATACAATGCATAAAGGGTAAGTTCTAGAACAAAACCAACATACTGCAAATACTGTAATGTTCTTTACATACATAACATTTGAGCTAAAATTTGCACGCACGTGACTATGAAAAATTCTTACATGAATTTTAACTTAGAGATGAACTGAAGTATTTGGCATTTTTGTAATATCTGGATTAAGGAACACATTTAAGAAGGTGCAGATTTTTAAGGTGAAATGTGTTATAGAGATACATGTCAAAATATGGCCTGTGCTCAAACAAACTTGCTGAATTGGAGCCCAGGAGTTCTTTTGTACCACACAGTAATTGCTGCTGTGTGCAGGGGAGCACCTGGATTCTTTAAAGCCTCAGGCTGCAGGATAAAAGCCTAAATTATCAATACTGGTCTTTTCAGTTAGAAGTTTTCATCTATCTAAAACACCAAAAAATAGAAATTTAAAGCACTTTGACCCCTTAATACTGACTGCTTTAACAAGAGCAGGAATGAAAGTTTGCAGAGAGGCTTCAGGATTACCCATTTATTTCCATATTGTTTGTACTATGATAGCCAAGAACCTGCAGCATTCCCACAGGAGAGCCTCACTGATCATCACTGTTAAAGGAAAAGTGACAAATAATTACTACATTGCTCTGTTATATTCTTGTTGACATGAAGAAATAGGTAGACGTCCTCCAATTAATCACTTAGAAAAAAGAGATAAATTAGAAAAAAAATCAATGTAAAGAATATGAATCAATGCCTTCTAGGGAGTTGAGTCAGTTAATGAGCTTCTAATGATATGTGTAGAGCCCAAAAGAACACCACAAAACCCTGGTACCAGGGTTTAAGCAAAATTAGAAAGAAAAGAGCTTAAAAGTGGTATAATTCACATACCTGAAAGCCTCAATGATATATGCACTAGCTGGTAGGCTTCCAGGGGTCCCTGGCTGCCAGGACAGGGTGACACTGTTCTTAGTAACATCAGTGACCTGAGGTTTGGATGGTGGCCCAGGGAGGTCATTTATATCATAATTTTTACTGACTGTTGCTCCACCAGATTCTGTGAAGGGCAAACACAAAACGATTACTTTTTATCCTTGGTTATATAATTTGATCAAAGCAGAAGATTAACATGAAAAACATGGCAAACATCTGCAAAATCAGCATAACGGATGTTCTTAATCTATAAAGAACTAAGTCAACAACTGCATTACTACCACATGTTTTTGGATGAAGGGTTCTCAGTCTTTAAGTACATATTAAAGAAAAAAAAAAGCAAAACTCAAAAGTTTATACATAAATATATATATATATAAAGAAAAGAAAGAATAACAAAAAAGTCGAGCTAGTTGAAATCTATATAAAGTACCAAAAACTTAGCTGCTGAGAAATTTCCTGTATTCAAATCAACTGCAGTACTCACAGGGAGCACTCTGGATTTTTCTTGCCCAAGCCTATTACTGGATAAATCCATGTTTTATTAATGCTCCTGTTAGAAGAATTAGAGCATACTGCAGTCACTGGACACAGATATGATGTGATGCCAATGGGCATTACAAGACAACAGCAATGAAATACAAGATGTGTGAGAAGGAACACAGCCTTCTTTCTCATCCAAAACTTCTCCATGTCAAGCCCAGAAGTTCTAGAATCATTTGACTCAGACTGATGTCATACGGACTACACTTTCCTGGTGTGCCAAGTGGAGCACATCCCTGGGCATCTCTTACCTGTCACCTCCAGCACAGCACTCCAGGACGTCTCCCCACTGGAACTCGTAGCAACGCAAGTGTAAGTCCCAGTATCAGAGAGCTGGACATGAAAAGGGCATAAGGGCAGCTTTAACAACCTTTTAGAATCAGCTGAGTTTACTCCTATTTTCTTTTTCTAAATGCTCCTTGCTAAGAAGGACTTAGCCTACATTTTGCACCAGACTAGAAGGCACCAGACATTTTCAAGCAATCATTTAATGGTGGCTTTCATTTAGAGAACTATAATAAGATTACTTGCTTCTAATACTTTACTAATTCTAATTTTCATATTGTTAATGGTACCAGTACTGTAAATGCTCCAGAATGGAGCACTGACAGTGTCAGTGTTTGCATTGGTTACAAAAAATGCAGGTGAAATCAGGTTACATACATATACAATATAACAACTATTAACCTCTTAGAGGGTAAAATTTCAGCATTTCTTATCCCAGGATGACCCATAGGTCCAGTTTCCAGTGCCAGGAAGGATATTACATCACCTTAGAGTCTTATGACAGATGAAGTAATTTCTATACACCCTACATACAAATGCTGCTAAAACGTAACAGTTCTCTCTTAACAGTGGCTCTCTCTACATAGACAGTACTCCAAGCAATTTCCCAACAGCAGCATTAAGTCAGATCCTACACCATGCTTACCTTTCTTCCATCTCACATGGGATTTTATTTCAGGCTTGCAAGGCCCTTTGGTAGTAAAAAAAAATTGCATTTGTATAAAATTATTGTGATTCCCTTGTCAGTTCAAATATTTTAGATTTATTTGGGGAAACTGCTTTGAATTAGGTTGCCAATAATAATTTTATTAGCAAATTTGCCAAGGGTTTTCCTATTTCCTGTTTAAATTTTTTCAAATAAAGATTTCTGAGTCAGGAACAAGTGAAGACTACAGGGATGGATGGAAAATGGTAAGTTTAAAAAGCACAAAATATATAGAGGAGCTCTCCTTCCATGATGCATAAAGCATGGTAATATGGAGGTGGAAGCAGAAAAGGGAGAGTGCTGACTCTAGTGATTAAGAAGAATTTTATTCACCATCACATGACTTGATGGAAAGAGAACTTGCATCCAAGAAGCTTTATTGGGCTTTAAGGAATTGTAATGAGTTTTCTGTTAAGTGCAGATTGGCACTGTAGCATACGTCCTTATATGTCAAGACAAAAAAGCAAGATGCTCTGTAGATTACTTGTAGATATATACTTTAATTAATTTTTAGCTTTGTCATGCACGAATTTTGTTGCTGTTTTTCTTCAGATACACTGAGAATGCAGCGTACCATTCTTAGGCGAGGAAACAACTCATTAATGCCAGCTCAATTTTCTGAATGAGCATAACTTGCATTTCAGGAGATGGTTATTTGTGTGAAATACAAGCAATGATGAAAACCCCTCTGACAATGGCTCAAAGACTCAAAATACAGCAGTGCTGCTACTGAAATGAGAAAGACCCTTGAAAGGAGAGATTTTCCAGAGGAGAGAGCCTTATAGCATTCTGAAGCAGTCTTTTATTTTGCTTCCTCTGAGATTTTATTAAATATATAATTCTTCATTATGTGATAATGGGGAATATTTCTCAAGGCTATGGTTCTCAACTTCATTTGTGTGCTACTGTGACAGATGGTGCACTCAGTGAGGTATGTGGTGTACACAACAGAGTAACTTGTAGAAGGCAAACAAAGCAAGCTGGAAGTACACTCCTTTTTGCAAGCTATGGCAAATTATCTAACATCCAGGTTGTGGATGGATTAGATAAAGATTTAGTGTGTTGGTAATTCAATTATTTATACTTTTTTTGTACTATGAAAAAAAAAACCAAACGGGGAGGTGAATAGAAAAGTCTCTACTATTTAATAAAATAGAGTTTTGCTCCTTAGTTAATGCAGGTGTCTAATCCTGGTGTGGCACATTTCTACAGCAGGAAGGAGTTTTCCATCAGTCCTGAACTGTCTGAAGGTGAACTGAATGAGTGATATATGTGAGTTTTTAGTTGTGTTCTTCAGGGCAACTGAGAGATTGGCTGATCAGAAAAATCTCTATGTTCATGTCATGACCGTGGCCCATGTGACTGTTGCAGGCTCATGAATCAGACTGTGCTGTAACAGAAACAGCAGAAAAGGATCAGAAAATGGTTTGTGTTGGAAAGGGCCTTAAAGATCCTCTCATTCCATCTCTTCCCTGCTACGGCTGCTCAGAATTCCATCCAACTAAACCAGGATTCTCAAAGTCTCATCCAACCTGGCCTTGGACAGGGATGGGGAATCCACAAATTCTCTGGGAAACCTGTTCCAGTACCTCACCACCCTCACAGGGAAGATTTCTTCCTGATACCTAATCTAAATCTACCCTCAGCCAGAAGGCTGAGGACGTGTGAGTGGAAATTATTAATTCATTTTGAACTTGGGGATGTAAACATACTTGGACATTTTCATGGCCCTTTTTTTCTTTAGGAAGTGCTGCTAGTCCTTGTTTAGGTAGACCTGAGAGAAAAGTTAAGCATTTCTCATTTAAATCCATGTTTAATTAAAATTTGCAAGGCACAAGAGAAAAAATATGTCTATATTTCTGTGTAGTTTTTGTTCTTAAACCTGAGTCAAACAAACAGTGCACATTACTGCTACAGAGGAGTTTCTAAAAAATGCCTTTCTGAGCCTTTAAGGAAAATTGGTTACTAGTGAATGAGCCACTTAAGAATCAATAAAATCCTCATGTCTTTCAGAACCACACTCACTACTAATACTGTTTTCTTCTCCTCTTGCAAGCAATTTTATTTTCCTTTAGTTTACAGACACAGCCTTTAACAGTGAGATTAATGCTCTGGCACGATTCAGAAGCAATTTCATTGTTTGCATAGCAGCATGCAGACAGGTATCCCAAGAGCTTCTGCCTCGTGGACACTCCACAGAAGCCCATCATCAATGCCTGAAAGTTTGTTTGAAATCACTAAGCTTCCACCTTTAATTGCTGCTTTCTAACACTACTGGGGAATCTTGGCTATTCAAGCGCACCCTTTAATCCAGCTCTACAGGAAAAATGCATTAACCTTCATGGCCTAAACCTGCCTTCAGCCCAGGGAGGAACGACAAATTGTTTACTCAAGGCAAGCTAGCATAAATTTTTTAATAAATTCTATTTTGTTCCACGGCAGTTCACAATTCATCTATGATCACTGATGAGATGGCATCAGAAAACATAACTGCTCTTTATTTCTTGCCATTAGTACTATGTTTATTGACATTTTTTTGGATGGGAAAATTAAGTGCAGACATTTCTGCTGACTAAATTAAATGGTTTCTAAAATTATCTTCAAGTTCTTGACAAATAAGTACACTTAACTCGCTATTTTTCCATATGCACGCTTGTCCAAATACACACAAATACATGTTTATCTTTGAACAGGGAAAATTAAAAGCCAAAATAGAGATTAGTGATGCAATATTTATCAAAAACATATGACTTTATCCTATTAGAAGTATTAGAGATTATTGTACTATCTCATGTGTAAAAATGTAAATATTACAATAGGTATTTAATTTTTAATAGAAATCCCTCTGCATACGACTGCATGTATGCTACAGTATTAGTTGTCTTTTCCCATTTGCAGCCTGGTGGAACATTTTCAGGAAGCATAACACTGGAATAAATCAGCCAACTCGGGACTGATGAGTTGTTGATGGAGAAAGTGCATGGTCAAGGCCTGATGAGCTCCAGATCACGTGTTAGCACAAGTACTTGGAAAATTACAGTCAGGTGCTGCCAAGGAACTGCTCTAAGTTTTGACAGAGAGGCCAATGGCTTCAGGGTAAGACCAGTGAAAAGAAAGGACTGTTCTTTTATATTTCTATCTATCCCCAATTCATGTGTTTTATTGCAACATACACAAGATCATAAACACCGATTCTGTTTTTAGGCAATTCTCATAGAAATATCTGAAGCTAGTTTCGCTCTTCTTTCCCTGCCCTTTCCTACACAACATCAAAGAATGGATAACGACTTGGTGAGATCTGCACAGCAGCAAAGACGAGTTAATTCTGAAGACAAGAGGAAGGTGGCAGAGCTGCCTGAGGCACACACCAAGAGCTCCAAAGTGGCCATGCAGAACCCGTCACACCCGTGGTGCTGCCATCACTCACCCGCAGAGCTTTGATCTGGAGCGTGCCCTGGTCCTGTATGGATGTCCGAGGGTCCCGGCCCAGGAAGGTGAACCCCTCCTTGAGCCAGCTGATGACAGGGAGGGGGTCGCCGGTGGCCTTGCACTTGAGCAGAGCTGTGCCATCCACTGCCAGCGTCTGGTTGACGGGGCCCTGGAGGATGATGGGCGGAGGCCGATCTGTCAGGACTAAAACAGTGGCACAGACATTGGTATCCACACCTTTAACCACCTCTGCTGCTGCTGCTGCTGTGAGCCCTATGCCACCATGCAGGACAAGTTTTTTAAGAAGCCAGCCTCTAAGAGGCTAAAAACATTATTTTTGGAGGAGTCATAGATACAGGTTATCAATTAGTTGGCAAATTTGAAAAGCATTTCACTAAGAGTTTTGTTTCACCACTGCAAGATAACATGTAGATAGAAAAATATCTGTTAGCAAAGATCATCAGGCTGATTTGGTTTACATAGGATGAAAATTAAGACCTTGATTCAGTGAAGAATTGAAGTGCATCACTCTTTTCTTCCAATTTGGGAAAGCACAAATTAAAACACACCTTTGATGTCACATCAAAATGTGTTTAATGGCTTACCCAATTAATGGTCTAATAGAGAAATCTGTTCAGTTAAAGTGAAACACTACAGCTACAGCTATTCTAGCCTGGGTACCAACCACATCCCCCATTCCTACTCTATTTGCAAATTTTCACCAGCAAAAATATCTAACAGTTATACAAAACATTTTCATAATCTGAGTGATCTAAATGACAGTACTGTTCTTTCCAGCAGAGAAAAGCTCAAACTCAATCACACCATTTAACAGCTTACTTATCAGATAATTTCCTCACCTTTTAAAGCCATGAACTCCCTTTTTTTTTTCCCTGATAATTTACATCTGCATGCTTGCAATACTGAATAAAGAACCCTGCAACCAGTGAGAGAGTGCATGGCTGTGCATAAGCCTCATTCCATGACCAGTGGGATATCCTGAAGACGTAAAATGCTCATGCTCACTTTTCTTGCAAGATCATTTTATCCCACATAATTCTGTTGTTGAATATTTTGTCTGAGCCATCTGTTAAGCAACAAAATATGACCTTTGTTTCTAAAGAATATGTTTATACAAACTGAATGTGAAATACTTGAATATACACATGGCTGGAACTGATGCAAAAAATCAGTATAACAGAATTAAGAATTCTTTTTCCTTTTAATGTATTTTTATATATTTACCAGCCATACTGCTGCTATTTTAAATTTTGAACAAATGAACAATTGTGTGACTGGTATTAAATATTGTAGCAGGCAGGATTGACTTCTAAACTGGTGCAAGTTAGCCTGCCTCTGCTGATGTCAATTGAGTTTGAATCATTTATTCTAGCTGAGAATCTGTTTACTGTAGTCCATACACAACACCTGACTCTAACAATGAAGTGAAAACAATTTATTGTGAAGCAATATGGCTTCTGTTGTATTTGAGCTGTTTGAGATGCAGACCTCTGGAACCTTCAACATATCCAAAGTGCTTTCATTGCATTATTTATTAAATAAAACATATCAGGGATATGTTAGTGGCACATTTTATGCCTAAAATAATTGTTTCTGAAATTTTAATGTTGCAAAAATACTACCTATCTTTTTATTTGTTAACAAGATTCACAAAGATCAGAATCATTAATATTGTCAGAATCACACCTTGGAGTGTGAGCTCATCACATTCATTGAAATTGAAACTGAAAATAGAAAGCCAATACATATTTTGAACTGAAAACAGAAAGCCAATGCAGCCAATGTGTTATTTCTTAACACCAGAATGTGAAAGCTATTTTGGAAATTCTGAAATATCACCCACTGAACTTAAGAGATAGGACGGGAAACACTATATAACAAGAAAAATGTAATGCATTTTCACCTTGATACAAAATGTTTAATCTCATTAAGGTTCCTTATGACTGCATAGTTGTTCAGCCATTTGGCAAAATAAAAACGAATCTCAGCTCCCACGTACTATCAGGGTAGCTGCAGCATGAGTATATTCAAATTAAAACTCAGCTGTGCAAGTTATCCTTTAGATTTAATGGAAACCAGCAAATCCCAGTATTCTAGGTAGCTGGAAATTAAGGAAGAATTACTATTTAAGTTGCTAGCTATTCCACTGCAGTTATTTGCTTCATCTAAGTGTCTTCCATATGTGTAGCAATGCAGGTATTTTCAAAACCTACTGCATTACAGAAATTGTTCTTTGGCATGTAATTAGATTTTTTTTACAGCCCAAATGAGGAGCTCATAATCCTTTAAATAGCTCTGATCAATAGTGTAATTGAAAGCCTCCTGGCCAGAAGGAATCTTCATTTTCAAGGGTGTTATGGGTGAAAGACCACTACAGGTTTCCATGACACTAAGGCTAAAGGTTAAATGAACACTTAGAGTTTCCACTGATCTGTGAACGGCTGTATTGTCTTCACAACCATGACTTGTAAATCTTCTCTAAAACATGTGTGTGCTTGCATTCCTGCTACTTAGGTCCTCATTAGTAAGGATCCAAAACTAGGTTAGAGTTTAAAATAATAGATATGTCAGAAGCATTATGAAGAACAGAGAGATAGTGAAAAATAGCCACAAAATGCTGTGGGGACTGTTATTTGCTTTTTAAACCTTTTAATTGGCTTCTTTTCATAGTTTTCTCCTAGCTGGAAACATCTGTATCTGTTCCACAAAAACATTTTGTGTGCCCACAAACATATTTGCATGGTAAAACAGAAGTTGATTTCAAAATTACTTTAATTTTTAAAATGGTTTTGAAACTATTTGCCAATATCCATACATCCTCATATTCTGGTAACTGAAAAATTAACAGATTCCTTTCATGTTAAAATGCATCTTAATTTTTGAAGAGATGATAGGAACAGGACAAATTATATTTGTTCATTAACATTTTATTCACTATAAATGCAGGTTGGATCAACTGAAACCATATTTCAATTTGGGGATATGTGGTCAAATTAAAATGGAAATTAAGAGAAAGACAAAATGAAGTCTTTACTTTGGCACTTCCAAAATCAAAATTTAAAAAAATTTTCCTGGTGAAATGATGGGTAAAATCAGACAAAAGTAAGGAAATCCACATCATGAACACTCATGATAGAGCAGGGTTCTGTCTGAAAGGTAGAAAAGCAGAGACCAATCCCTGGTCTGTCTTTTTTTTTTTTTTTTTTTTTGCAGAAGAGCTTCCCAGGAAGTTGTGAAGTTGTTCTGAATTTCTCCTGTTTGAAACTGTCACACTTGCCATAAAACATGTAATATACTTTGGATGAGGGCTAACAATCATGGTGGTCAGATTTGTAGACAAGTAAACTGTGAAACATTTATTAATAAATTTTAATAATTTTTGAGGAGAAATTAAAATCTTCTCCAAAATATTCTGTGCATGATTGACAAATACTAATTGGAAACTATTCTTTTTATGTTGAGCATAGACAGAGATGGAAGCACTTGGTTTATTTGCATGATCTGTCATTGTAAGATTGTGAGCTGCATATTCATTTCTTGGGTTTGAAAGGATTGCTAAGATTCTTCAATTTTTAAATTGATTTTGCTTTTCCAGATGTGCATTAGACAGTGAATTACATGATAGCCTTTCAAGAAAACACAAGATTTGAATTTCAAATACGCTGAAGGCTCTTAGCACAGTCCATAATCAGCAAAATTATCACTCAACTCAGCACATTTCATCACAGCTAGTAATCTCTTCTCATGTGAACACTTGAGTTAAAAATATTTCCAGTAAAGACTTGTAAGTGCAAAAATGTAACAACTGAAACACTGCTATATATGGTATAATTAAGCACTTGTTTTTCTGCACATGACATGTTTTCATTCTGTATTGGAACTTCAATTGGATCTAAATTACTCTGGATCAAACAAAAATGTGTTCAAAATGAAAAAGATGGCTCGCCACTATTATTAAATCATTAACCAAACAGAAAAATTCTGGGCTAGGAAGTAAAACTGAAATCACCAGCCAAAAACTAGAACACTAATGCTTAAGCATATAGCTAGCACGCACAGTGTTTATCTTTTATTATATTCTTAAAACTATTAAATTAGATTTCCCTGCTGATAAAAGTCATTAGCTCCCATAACTTCTGCTCAGCATCAACCAAAACAGATTATTTAGACATTTATGGTTAACTTCCTAACTAAAAGCAATTAAAAAAAATATCTGTGATCTAATGGTACATTTATTCACATAATCTCAGCTCCATAATGTTGTTTTGGCACTTTTCTTCTGACCTCACCCGCCCTTTGACTCCGGGATGAAATGGTATTTCTATAAAGCAATCTTGTATTATTTCATAATGATCATGCTGACAGGGGGTTCTGGAAAGCATTTGAGGAAGGCAGGCCCTGCACTCCTTGAGAGCATTAGCTGGTGGCTCTGCTGCTCTAAGGCTATGTGGAATGCACGCAGCCTTTAATCAGAATTACCCAGAGATGAGCTTGACTTTCAGCAGGGACACTTTCCCTTGGCTTTCCAAACAAACTAATGAAAATTCCAAAGGGATCAATTAGGATTTATTTTTTTCCCCACACAAGAAATAGATAAAGGTGGATCAAAGCCCTTGGCTGTCAAAAGGAAGAATTTCTCATCACTAGCATCCTTGAACCTGATTTGATCCGCTCAGCGCCTGTTGCTGTAAATCTGTGCAGCATCAGCAGGTGTGACCATTTAACAGCTCAATGTCCTCCCAGCCAATGTTGGTGTGTTCTATTTATTCCAATCACAGTCATGGCCCTGAATCAGGCAGCACTATGGACAGATATTAAAAAATATTGCCTTTCCATTCCTTTTAAATGACCTTTTAATCTACATTTAAATTTGAATTGAATGAAAATGCATCATTTTGTCATAGACCATGAGAGGAAGGACTTAAAGACATTGCAGAGCAAAGCCAAGTCTTTAGTCTCCAGGAACTACAGAAAAGCAGTATGCTTAAAGAGATGCAGGGATAAGGCAGAAATTATTTCCCCTTGTCATAAAAATATAGGCAGCTTTTGGAAAACAAAGAAAAGGCATCAAATTAATGCTCAAACCTCTATAATATGAGCCTGAACCTCTCTACCTGTCACTTGTGATGAATATGCTCTTGTGAAAAGGCAGATTATTCAAAATTAGACATCTTTTCAAACTTTCATGGTGCAGGCAGGTCTCTAAGGGAACAGTAAAAGTAGACCTCTGCATATAACAACAGTTTTAATGGCAAAAATTCATCAAAGTCTGTCAGGAGATATTTAATGTGTCAGTTAAGATAAGGAATAATGATGCTGGGGAATGCCACTGTCTCTGAGTATAAGAGGGATTCTCTTGTTTTCTTTGCTAACATGAAAGGATGCAAACTGCCTTCTATCCACAATAAGATGAAGAGGGATATCAACAGGATTCCTGACATATGAAAAGGATTCATGTTTGTAGATGGGAAACCTCAAGGCAGGATGAATATCAAACCCAAAAATTTGAAATGAAAGGCATCAAGACAGACCACATTATTCTTTTCCTTCCCTGAAAACTCTTCTCTATCCAAGACCACATTATTCTTTTCCTTCCCTGAAAACTCTTCTCTATCCATGGATTTTCATGACTTTTTTTCACACCTACTCCTACTGAGGCATTCTTGGAACACAGCTCTGAGGCTGGTGCTTTATTCATGGAGGGACTAAAGGGCTACATGCTGTAGGCAGTCTAAACCTATGGTACTCCACCACCTCCAGAGCAACTGTGTTCATTTAATTGAGCTAAGAACACATTACCTACATGTCTAAGATAGGACTGGGGACTGGTAGAAATGGAGGTACATTTCTTTGCACTTCAGTTCACTGCTTTAATTACAAACCTATTCATTCGCCATTTTTGGGGGGTTATTTTTTTCCAGACCTATCTTAGCTCTAGCAAACCAAGCAGCTTCATTCCTCACCAAACCTATTCTAAGCTGGTGTGTCCCTTTTTTCCATTGTTAACAAACTTCCAGAAAGCAAGTAAAAGGCAAACTAGACTTTGATGCCTTTTTTTACTCTATAGGCAAATACAGAGACCTTTTCTCACTTTATTTCCTATAGAAAATTGTCCATTTACTTGGATGATTTATGTGATCTCATACGCCTTTATTTACACCGCTTTTAATGTACTTTTGATAGGAAAAAAAAAACAATAGGAATTTCTAAGAGCTCACCATCAGTAACCTCCAGCTGAGCCTTTGCTAAAATGCTTCCAGCAACCGTCAGTGCTTGACAGATGTAGTAGCCTGCATCAGACCTCTGGATGTTGGTAATGGTGAGGTCCCCAGTTGGTGACACTGAATATCTGCTGTTGGGCTGCAGAGGCTGGTTTGGGAAGAGTAGGTTCTGCAAAGACAATTCATCTCACATCAATTCAAAACACAAAAGCACCACTTTTCCTTCAGCTACAGAGACAATGATTTTTCCTTAAAAGTACTATAAATAATCGAGGACAAAAAGTAAGTGCGGTTCTGACTTTATGAACACATAGAGCTGCTTTCCCTGCCTTGGGCAACTCACAGTTTAAATTAGAAACAGCCTTTTGACAGCTCACAGCACTGTGTTCTGACTGGGGTGTAGGCAAGGAGACATTTCCCAACAATCACACTTGAGTGATTTATATTTGTGACACATTCATCTTCAGTCTGAATGCAATTGTAATAATATACTCAGCTATCAAACCAGAAGGACATCACACTACAGCAAACACTAGAAAACTAACAGCAAGCATTGAATCCTGGAGACCTGAGGGAGCAGACCACCATTGTTTGGCTATGAAAATGTTCTGAGAAAAGGAGAAAGTAAGAGCATGGCACATAAGTAAAGCTGGGAGGAAGGTAGAAGCATGTCATGAAGTAGGAGAAGCTGGCAGAGCATGAGAGTTTAAAGGAGAAATAAAAGGAAATTAAAACTGTGATAAACCAAAAGAGAAATGCAGCATAGAGCCTGGAGGGTGAATAGAAAGGGTATTAATCTGATGTGGAAATCATCAGAGAGAAAAAAATAATTTCATGTAGGATAAGATATCAGTTAGCACAAAACAGGGAGATTAGTTTTTGCCTTTGGGCTGGATTGGAGAAAAGAGAGATGTCAATAATAATAACTGGAATGGCTCTAGTAGTCATTGCATATGATGAAGGACTGAGTGAATCAATACCACAGACCCAAAAAGGTTTTAGTGGTGAGAGCTGTGTTTTCAAGGAAAAAGTTATACCCTCTGGCACAGCTCTTGTGAATAAATAAGAACAGGAAAAGGAAGGCAATGTAAAGAGAAAGGTCAGCAGTGTTGCCCAATGAGACAGAAAGGAGAACAGCTTAAACAATAATTAAGCAACAGTAATTCCAGTAAAATAGGGTCTGGATTTTATGTCAACTCAACAAGATTCTATGAAAAGTTTGCATCAGAAATACCCCTAAACACTGTTACCATGCTGTGATAAGCTTTCAGTCATTACTGCAGCACTGTCTAGCTCTGCTGTGCTTTCTAATGATGACTCCCTACTAACTTTTAAGCTTGTCTGTATTGACTAAAAAAAAAAATATCTAAAAGTGTGGAGTAGAGTATTAAATGAATTTTCTGCATATCTGTTTCTTCTGAAACAGGCTTTGATGGTTTACAAAAACTATTTGCGACTGATAAGCAACAAACTGCTTAAGAAACAAGTAAGAATTCAAGTAAGTAACAAATTCTATTTTTAAGTGAAACTCACGCCTTTATCTCTATGGTTTTGGCAGCAAAAGGAAAGAAATATGCTTTAGATAAGATCCAACATTCCAAGTATCCTTATAATTGTATTAACCTACTCATCACACAAGGCTTTTCTTTTGCTGCCTTTCAATAGCAATGTTTGAGAAATTTATAACAGCAAATGTTTCCTCAAAAATCAATATTCACCCAGTAAACATGCCAGATAATATGGAAAAAAAGTGTTAAAATTCTGAAACAATTTGAGGTTATAAGACTAAGTGGGTCTCAAATAATTGCCCTGTTTTCTGAACTGCCTTGAAACTTTCAGAATAATTTTTACCTGGCACAAGATACCTACTGCACGAGGGTATTATGTAAATATTATGACAAAGAGGAGAAATTTGACATAGCTGACCTTGACTTCATTTATCCCTCATTATGTAAAGTGTAAAAACAAGCTGAATGTAAAAGACAGTGCAAGGATTAAGCTCCTAATTCTTAAGAGAAAAACAGCCAAGAACCCTCTTTATAATTTCATTAAAAAGGGGAATCAATCCTTGTTTATATCTTCAGTATGGGCTTCTCTGTTCTGCAAAGCTACCATGTCTCAGTGAATATTCCACACATCAGGAGGAGTTCACCAGTCTCAGAACTCCTCCCTTCAAAGACCAGAAACTATGAACTATAACTTGTTCTAAATTCCAGTACAACCCCTTTTTAAACGCTTTTCACATTTTCACTAGTTTTAATTAGCTGTTGGGCTGCTCATCTGGGCACAATGGTGGCATGCTGGGCTGCAAACAGAGGGACCAGAGCCATCCCTGATATAGCAAGACTGAATTTATCTCAAGGAAGAATTTAATCCAGGGAGTCTAAAGGTTACACACGCCCTGCCCTCGCACATATCGTCAGCAAGCGGCTGTTGGGCTCTGGGGAAAAGGCTACCAAGCACAAAGGACCAGCTGTTTATACACAGGCTGGCACAAAAAATTACTCAGGAGGGAACAGCTCCCCTCCCTTCCAGCTGGTTGTGCTCAAAAATGCAGGATCAAGAAATGGATTCACAACCAGAAATGCCCAGCAATTACTGGAGTGGGATAACGTGACTGTATAGCATTACTTTGAACACTGGAAGTGATGCTGCAAGCAGTCCCCCTAAAAGCAGAAACAGCATTGTAGAGACAAGCAACAATTAATAGCTGGGAGGCAAAGGTGAAAAATCCTGTGATTTGGCAAAATTCCATTCTCCATTGCTATGATGATATACACTGTGGAAACTTACTCACTCTGTGGCATCTCACAGCAAAATATGGCAAGTTATACACTCAGATGGCAACCCCAGCCTGTGTTACTTCACTGATGATCAATTAAGATTAACATGAGAATGTTGTAAACTACATTGAGCCATGTTTCAAGGTTTGATTATAAACCTTGCAAGTATCAATTTTTATGTTGCATTCATTTGCCAAAAAAGTCTATTCTAACCCTTAGGGATCTGGTTCTCAATATGGTAAATAATTTTCCAGGTTTGTAATTAAGCAGCTTCAACATTGTACAATCAGTAGGTAATAACATTCAATTAAAGACACAAGATGCATTTTCACCTTAAAATGTTTTTACCCTTGAAGTGATACAAATGGAAGAGGATAAAATAGAGTATTAACACTTTTCAATTACGCTAAATGACTTTAATCCTGAAAATGATGTCCTACTTTAATTAGAAGCTCTTCTCTTTATTACAGCATGATGGATGTCCACTTTATTAGATTCAAGTGTGACACTATAAGCTCACTTTACATAAACATTACCATGTTATTAAAATGCTCTACAAGGAAGGGGTTTGAAATGTTTGCTAGCACATCAGTACTTCCTACTTTAATTTCAATATGCTATTCTACCTTCCCCTTGGAAAAATTGTCACCTTAGTGAGATTCTCAATACTGTGTTTACCAGGATGTAATCCTTGGAGGCTAGATCTAAATTTCTCTAAATATTACACTGAGAGATACCCACTGAAGGTTAAGCTTGCACTCAGACAATAAAATAATCACACCCATAAAGTAATCGTTTTGTGTCTTTGTAAGCCATCAAGACAGCAGAGCACAAAATGCTGTCAGCCTGGTCCTGCCATTCTGGACCAGTTTTCTGATCTCCTGAGAAGGTGAAGCAGAAGCAGGTGGGGCAGAGAAGGAGATCTATGGTTCAGCTCTTTATTTCACCTTTTACCTGAGCTGGTACACACAATGCCTCCAGTAAAGAAATGTGGCATCACATTGAGACACTAAGCTATAAAGTTAGTAGTATGGGCTGATGGCAGTGCCAATCAATTGCTGCCTCACAAATTTTGCCTTTAAAGAGAATCAGGTAAATTTTTCCAAACCAGATCTGGAAATTTCTTGAGACAATTTTATTGAAGAAAGCATCTGTGTGTTCAAAACCTTTATCTGTAAGCTCTATGAGAAAATGCCAATGCAAATCAGCTTGCTGGATACATTTTGCTTGATCATGTCTAGACAGGTTGTGAACTGTAATTACTGGCTCTGATTAGTTCAAAATTGAGTCATACCTTTTTTTATCTGCTGTGCCTGTCTCACCCACCTGTTTGTTGGGGGCTTCAGAACAAAAAAAAAATTGTTTCTTTCTACTCATCTATACAGTGCGTAGCACAGGTTTCAACAACTTAAATGGCCTTTGTGTTCTTCAGAAAATTTAAAAAAATAGTGACACAAATTTCAGTAGAGAATAGTGATAATTTAAAAAGACAAATTTCTGTGAAAGATGAAAAGAACTGTGAAAGATAATGTAAATAATTTTCCTTAAAATTTAACAATACAACTATTTAGAAAGACTTGAAAGACTTAAAGGTGCTTGCAACTTACCTGACTTCCTTCTTTTTGCCAGAAAACAGCTGGCTGGGGATTTCCTTTAGTTTCACAAGGAAAAGTCACAGTTCGACCCTGGGCTACAATCTGGTCTCGTGGTCTCACCACAAACTGTGGGGGAGCTACAAGGTAAGAAAAACCATGGTGTAAGTTTAGCTTATTTTGCAAGGGAGAGAAAGGGAATATTGAAGGAAAAAGACAACATTATGGAGATTTATGTCAGAGGACATGACACCAGAAACATTCATTAGTATAGACAGAATTAATATATAAACAGAAACAACAACAGCGACAGAGAGCAGCAATATATGTATGTGACATCCTTAGGTATTAAAAAAAATTAAAAAAGGAAAGAAACATTACAACCATACATGCTAGAGTCAATTCTGACAACATTAAATGCTAAAGAGCAGGAGTCAGGTGTTTCTATTGCTGAGTCTGGATGTATTCTACCTTTGCTCTGGGAAGGTATCAGCACCCTCAGATCCTCTCACTCTTCACAGAGCTTGCTGGAGCTATTGTGTATTGCAAGGTATGAATTAGGATAAACAGACTGCCTTTCTTAATCTGCCTCTCTGGACTTTTAAAAATGATTGAGAAAGGAGAGGAAGGTCTGGATGACAGCAAAAGAACCCAAGTTCACGAGCTCCCTTACTCCTCTTAGAAGCAGTATGGTCAAGAATGGTGTGGGGAGGAGGACGTGCTGTAAAAAGAATTGTTGCTAAAAGAACATGAACTTGGCAAATCCAGGTTTCAGCTAGTTTAAAGAGTAGAGAGAAGCAAAAGTTGAAGAGTTGATGAGGAGAGGTGAGTGGCGAGTAAGAAGGAATAGGTATTTCAGGAGGTAAGGAAGACACAAGGAAAAGAAAAAAAGGAGACTGGAGTTAAAACAAGAAAGAAGAAGCAGGACTGGCAATGTTTTCAAGTCACTGGCATTAACAGTGTTCAGTCGTAGGGGACCAGGAAGCACAGTCAGAAGTGAATAATTTCTAAGAGAGGGGCATAGTTTGACTGTCTGGAGGGTAATGGTGGAGAATAGAGAGTCAATGCTTGGAAATGTGAAGGTAGAGAAAAGGTGCTAATGAGTAGAAAGAGAAGGGGGAAGAAGTGTTAGAGGATTTGAGATAAACTTGAAATCAGTAACTATGTTGAGAAAGATGTAGAAGTAAAGCAAATGATTTTTCTGTGTGGGACATGAAAACTCTCTACTCTTGGTTCACCACTGGAATTCACTGGGATTTGTACTCTTTTGCATATTTTAAAAATGTAAGCCATCTCCAAATATTCTTATCAAAAGACTAGCTAACTTCTGGGGCAGGCTGAAGCAGGGAAAAAAAACACAAAAGAAACTCAAACCCCTCAACCCACCCTTGTTTTCTTCTATTCCACTATTGGTTTTGTGGGTGTGCAGAGGGATGGTTTAGGAACACTAAGCTTTCAGGTAAATAGAATTTAAGTGTTTTAGAAAACCGTATTTTCAGCATTATAATTACAAACTATTTAATTAGGCACGAAGAGCAATCAAGACCCAGCTTCCGATTACACCTGCTGACAGCACAGACACAAACCTGCTAACTGCACAGAAATGTGAGCAGACCTGATGCTCTTGAAACACACTTTGCAGTTATCTCATGAGGTACTTCCCAAGGCTTTACAGATCAGCAGGAGTCTAAAGAGCATCAGTTGAGTAGTGCTGGCACTCTTAGAACAAGAACTGTAAAGCACTTAATAAACATGAATCACAATCAGTTTAGAAGGTAGAGGGTATTTTATTCTGCCTCACACTCCTAAAGAGAGGTTTGGGCCTCTCTGGAGAGAAATGTCCACCTCTTCTTCCACCTTAGGAGGTGTTAATCTCATGAACAGGCAGGACTAAGGGTGAGGTGCCCTCTTGCTGCCTGTTTACAGCCGCGTGTTTTGATGTTTCTGTAAGGTGTTGCTAAACATTCTCTAGGAACTGAACTCATGCTACACCACTCCTCAGGTGCTGAGCTACAATGAGTTTCTTGGGTTTCCCTCACCTTGTTTCACCCAGCATATCCATTGTGCAACCCCCACAGGTGCCAGGAAGGGACAGTGTTTGGGTGGCCCCAAGACCACAATCTTCCTATGGTGCCTAAAAACCTGGTGCCAGAACCCCATCCCATAGATCTATCCTAAGCAGGATGGATGGCTAAATTCACTCCTTAGGCTTGCTTGGTGCCCTGGGGGGTGCACAGACAGTGCTCCCAGACAGCTCAACAGAAGCAGGAAGGGCATGGCATTTCCATGGGACATGCCTGTCCTTCCAATCATGTAACCGAGTAAATGCAAGGGAGGCAAGTTTAAAGGTTCATCTGAAACATCCTCACACACACAGATCTCTGCTGTAAATCCATAACTCAGAGCTCTAAACAGATACCACACAACTGAATTTGTCACTGTAGCAGACCTTCCAAGGATCAAATTAAGGTAATTTGGTAGTTAAGGAACAATAAAAAGAGAAAAAAAACACACCCTGGTTTCTACGTAGTTTCCAGTTTTTGACCTGTTCCTAGTTTTCAACATCTCTCACTTTCCTGAGAGCAGAAGAAATTCCTCTTTTTTTTTTTTCCCCCCCCAGTCAGACAAGGAAAATAAACCTGTAGCTCTGACATGGACTGACCTTGCTGCTCTATTCTCTCCCTGCCACACACCAAGTCCTCTCCAACATTTGACCACACTGCATGAGAAGATATTTAGCTTCACAGTTACTAGGTCAGGCTTTCTAAGGACTCCAGCAAACAATCACATAGTTATGCAACAATATCTTTTCTAGCTTTGCTCTGTAGCCCTGATTAATAGAAATTCACTATAAAAATAAATGAATCAGAGCTTTTACTCACATTAAATAGAGCACAAAACCAGCTCCTTCAGCCAAACTATTTAGGACCATATTTTAAAAGATATGAAAAACATTACTTTTCAAAACAAAATTATTTTTCAAAACTAAAATTTTGCATGCATTTAAAAAAAAGTATTCAAAGATGGAGTTATATAATTAAGGAAGTCTTCATTTTGTTATAGTTTGTTGTCATATTCAGCTATAGCTCTGTTTACAGACAGCCTCTGATAAAAATACCATTGTTTACAGCATTTAAAGACTGTTTTCACCACATCAGTTTTATCTGTCAATTTCTAGTTGAACTTGAAAACTGAAAGTAACAGCTAATAATTGCAGGAGTAATTCTTGGTCAAATGTAACTACCCAAACACTGTGACTGTCATTATCCCCAGGGAGTGCAGCATGACCCTGCTCAGAGACAGCCAGGCTTCTTTGACAGAATAAGCACTTGTGTTCTTCCATTTTCCTACAAAGAGAGCTCATTATGTTCACATATGGATGCTGTTTATAAATACAGACAAATATTATTACTTTCATTCTGCAGAAGGGTTAAGTGAGATCACGACTTGCTCCAAGCCCGGCTTCAGTGGAACATTGGGCAAAATTTATTCAAGCCATTATTGCTGCTTTCAAAGTAGGTGAATTTCTAAAACATTCTGAAAATGTACAGTTAGAGAAGTAACAGCAGGCTTGATATGCTTCAGCTGTTAAAGTTATGGGGTACTTTAATGTTTAGCTCAAGCTAAACATTAAGATCATTAGAAGGATCTATTGAAAAAATTTATGAAGCAGCAACCTGAGTGTTGTGCCTATCAGAATATTAGTTTTTACTATTTCAGATGTAACATAAACTGGATTGGAAGAAGCAGAGTGGAAAACCTCCTGCTTAACTGACATCTGAAAGTCAAAGACAGTGGCTCTAAAATGAAACATATTGCTTGGATTCCAGCAGACTAGCAAAAACATGGGAAGGAAAAGAACAATTAAGATTACAGACCCAATATACTTCTATTGAAAATGCCTTTCCTTTTTTTTTTTTTTTTGAGAAATTTAAATAGTACACAGTAAATTAGATTTGATTTTTGGCAAATTATGCTTTGATACTGCATTCAGCAAGCGCTGGCTTCAATCAATGTCACACTAGAGCTCTGTTATGCTAATAGATGATATGGAAATCAGATGGTTGAACATGAATAGAAAGCACAGGCCATGTACGAGGGGGCTTTGAGATGAGGGGATGGGGGGACCCTAAGGTTAATCACATCATGTTCAGAACTGTTTTTACAGCACAGAACAGTATTTGACTGCAGGAACTAAAATGGAGATAGAAAAGCATGAGCAGTAGTTATGTTGTTCAAAATGGGAAGAGTGCATTCTGTTGTACTCTTTTAGAATGTTGGTGGTTTGTGCACGATATTTTGAATTGATATTTTATGCTGTTAATAAATGTATATGAACATAGCCCCTGCTCTGGTGTTAAAGAGTTTTAAAAAATAACAACCAAAAAAAAAAAAAAAAACAACTAAAAAAGCTGCATATTACTTCAAAGGGATTTTTCAACTCTACTCCAATCTTAATATTTAGCAGAATCTCTAATCTGATAGGATGGATTTCATGCATTTCTCCTTAGTACTGCTGCTGAATACTAAAGGTTACACTGAGTCAACAGGAGCTGATAAAGCTGCTGATGCAGAAAGCTTGACTGAGACAGAAAGTTCATCCCCTTGTAGGTGAACTCTGGTCATCAGATAAGAAATGTGGCAGAAGACTCAGAAGGGGAGGGGAAATTTAATATATAAAAATGTGAATTCATAGCAATAAAGTCCATTGATCCCATATCAAGTACTAGCAACTTTTTTTTCCAGTGACAATTTTCCCAACTGATCTTGTGATTTGGAGTTGACATGGAATTCAGTGATCCTACTGAATTTTATTTTCGTAATTTTAGGAATTTTATTATCGTAACTTGCTCACAGTACCTTCCCCAGACCAGAAGCCCTTGGATTCATACATTATATTGGTGATTTTAATTAAAAGCAGATATTGTAGCAAGTTTTTTTCTAATATTTCTACTGCAACAGACAGGATCAATGAATGAAGGCAAATTGTAGGAAGTGCAACAAAGCCAAATTCTGGATCCTGTACTTGAGTCACAACAACCCCAGGCAGTGCTACAGGCTTAGGGGAGAGTAGCTGGAAATCTTCCCAGCAGGAAAGGACCTGGGGGTGCTGGTCAGCAGTGGCTGAACATGAGCCAGC